TATATATATGTAGAACACCACTTAGGATGAGCTGAATTTAAGAAAACTAAGCAAGGGCAATGCTAAAACCAGAGTGACGAATGCTTGCCATAAGTTAGTACTATGTATATAAGCACTTCACTCATAAGCATACAAAAATGGACGTTTTTATGAACTTCCCTGCAGTAGTCATACAAAATTTACATCAACAAGATATCAATCAGCATATCTGTATTTTACTCCAATTGTAACAAACCTCTAAGGAGGGAAGGAGAGGAATGAAACTGTAAATTTGAGTTATACCAATTTTACTGATCAAAGATATATTGGAAATGCATTTTATTAGTTGAAAAAATAAAAAGGAGTCTCTCCTTTAATTTTTAGCGCGATCAGTATCCTTGTCGTGATACTTTTTTTTGCTCAATCGGCCAATCGATCAATCGATCAATTGATCAATTTCGTTCAATTTTTTTTTTTTTTTTTTTTCAAGTGTAGGACAACAGTGTGATATATTTTATGTGCATAGAGAATACGTTACAAGGCTGAACTGGTAAATTAAGATCACAATATTCTTCTACACCTTTTTAACAAAATGTTCCTTTGTAAAAATAAAAATTTATTTAGAATGTGTCCCACTAAACTAATATGGCTTTTTTGTCATCCTCTCGTAGGAATAGTATGCCGATAGGATACATAATTTATATCTCATCCTTAACCCATATATTCCCATAGAAATTATGGCCATGAATTTCCTACATGTTGAACTATGCAAATGATACAAATTTCATGGATTCGAATGAATCAGTTCTGAATAATTCTGTTCTCTTGCACAAGGGGTAAGCTGTATGTATGCGTATGTGTGTTTGTTGTGTGTTCTAGGTTCAAGGAAAATAGAAATGTGGGAAATAGTACAAAACTGGGTATATGCATATTCACCATTGGAATTATGTACAGTTATAATAGTTTTATCGTCTTGTTATTATTTATTTTGTTTAAATGTATATATGTGGGGTTTCTTCTGTATACCCAATTTGGATAAAACTGTTCTTAAGGACGAATTTATCAGTAAACTCTCGTTACGCTTACGTTCTGAAAATGTATATATAATGGAGATGGAGGAAAAATGAATAGACAAGTTGGTGAATAAATAAGCCAGGGAACTAGGCAGGAAAAGTGCGGCGAAACCAAAAACATGTAGAAGACGATTCCAATGATAGTCCCAATTTATCGCTATATTTTATTAAAATGCTAAATTTGTATTTGGATGTATATATATAGGGGAATGCACACACATATGAACAGTACTAATTGTTTTATTTTATTTTATTTATTTTTAAAGCGTATAATGGGTTTATTTTTACATAATCCAAATGAATCAAAAATTAAGGAATCGTAGTGGATAATGTCCAACTTGTATGTCATTAAAAGTAAAGCTCTCCTGTTGGACGTGTGGAAGCGAAAGAGAGATATTTCGGGTAGTGTGACTACAATAGAAATGAAATACAATCCATAAGTATAACTGTGTAGGTGAGTATATACATATATATGTCCAGTTGTTCATATATTTTTTTTCAGATATACCATATTGGGTTACATACTGGGTCCCCTTGCATATTTGTCTCATTTCGCCCTTTGTGTCCATTTGAGACATGCAAAAATGATTACCTTCCAAACTTTTAGTGTTCCTCAAATGGTAGAACTAGTAAATCAAAAAAATTATATTTTTTTTTTTTTTAGTGATCAAATGAATGGGTAAGAAAAGAAAATATATCATTGAGGACTTTTAACCCCCTCCTTTCTTGAGCGATTCAATTTGGTGAGAAAAAAAATAATTAAAAAAATAAAAGAAATAAAAATAAAATAATTCTATTTAGTACTGAAAAGCTTGCACATAAAACGAGGTCTTCACAAGGTGTTGATTGTGGTAGTCCTTTGAAAGAGTGAGATTGGTACTTATAAGTGCCGTGTGCATATATATATATATATATATATATATATATATATATATATATGTGTATATTTATATGCACATGGGTGTTTGAATGGTTATTTTCCAGTATAAGTTATCCCCTGAATGGGTGATAATGCTGAAACTTTACTTCATCATTTGCTACTTCATCTTTTTGTGCAGTACTGTGTGCTCAAGTCGAAATGCATGCATAGCAGCACATTTAGGGTGGGAGAACCCCACAAATTAGGGTTCTTTGCGTTTTGCAAAATTGAAAGTAGAAGAAAATTTTGTGTGTACAATGTTTGTGCCATAATGCAAGTGGCTTTGTCATTTGTCAGTCTCTCCTTGCTGAATCTTTAAAAAGCATTCACAGAAGGTGTATGCACATACTTACATATGCATGTTTTCATACATATATATATATATATACATGTTTAGCGGTGGCTTATGTAGGTAGTCAAACATATCTTATATAGTAGTTCATTTAAATCTAACAAATTTTTAGTTAAAAAGGATAAATTGGGTAAAAATGGTGGATTATGTGTTATGTTCACAATTTACTTCTCTACTTTGATTAAATGTCATAACTCCTTTTTGTGTTCATGTAAAGTTGGTGGTGTTAAGCGGCCATCCTTCCTATAGGGATTAGCCGCATGAGTAAATTTTGGAAGAACTGTTTTAGTGATTAGGCTGGGTGGGTAGGCAATTGGGAGAATTTCATTTTTTTTCCACACGTTTTTTTTTGGGCAGCTTTTTTTTCCGCACTTGTTTTTTCCTCACTTTTTTTTTTTCTCAACTTTTCCTTCACACACTGCTGCCTCATTACGAAGCAATCGTTGCTGTTGCTGCACTGGGAAATGCAAAACGTGGTTTAAACAGGAAATCAGCACGCAGAGAAAAAAAAAAAAAAAAAAAAAAAAAAACTTCAATCAGACGATGCATAACAAAATGCTGAAGCACGATTGTGAAAAGCAAAATATGAATTCGAGAATTTACTGTATCATATCTTATGCCTTATCGTTTATCGTGTGTGCATTTGTAATTTTCTGGCTAAACAAGTATGAAAGGCAAGGAGTGCCACTACAGAATTTAAGCAGAATATCTTCTATAGTTCAAGATATTTATGATAAAAATGGAAAAACGAGAAACAAATGGGAAAATGAAAAATGGACAAATAAAAATGTGTCCCACTTGAGCATAAATATATATATTCTATCTACACAGGATAAAAGAAATACTGATTCATTTGGGATAAAATTAAAAGAATTTATTGAAAAAGAAATTGAATTGGAATATAATGAAAGGCCAGTTGCACACAGTCTATCCGATGTAAAGGACTTATTTTTTGTTAATCCACATTTCATTAGTAATGACGAAAAAATAAAAAATGATGAAAATTGGATGTACAAATATATATGTCTGAGCGGACCTGAACAAATGGATATGTATGAAGTGTTAATCAATAAATATTTTATTTGTTTAAATGAAAACATAGAAAAGACGCAAAATGTAAATCTTTCATTCAGCCTAAACACAAGCAACATCATCCAAGTGAATTATAACAATGTGGAGGATAATTCAAATAAATATTATGAACTGTTCATAAAAGAAACTTGGACAATAATAAAAAACACATTTTTGTTGAGGTCAAAAAACAGATCCCTTTCATTTACCCCAGAACTTGATTTGAATTTTTACTTAGCTAGCAGTTTATACAATGAGGAAAATTACAAAGTAGGGAAATCTTACCCAAAGGATCAAATACCCAAGGAAGACTCTTCTACTAATGGAAAAAATAATGAAATAGTCGAAAATTTTCATAAGTCATCCAATGAGCTCGATGACAGTTCTTCTATCAATGCGGATGGGGAAGATACCTCGACAAGTACTTCCAGAAGTGAAGAAATTACAAGAAGTGAAGAAAAAAAAACGAACCTTGTATTCATTGCCACATGGGATTTTTACAACGATGTATATTACCCTTACTTGAGAAATTTCATTGAGAGATTACTAAACATATATCAAATAAATGTGTACACACAAATTATTGCAAACATTGATTTATTCAAAATATCTGAAAAGGCACAAGTTTATTTGAAAGGTGAAGAAGCACAGAAAGCAGGCAACAAAAGAATAATAATTTTGGACAAGATTAACAAATTTACAAACATATTTGATGATGTTACGTTTGATAATATTTTGAAAAAACCAACTTATCAAATCCCAAAAAGTATTAACTTTATAGCTATATTTCCAAATAAGGAGGAAATTTTTTTTCATAATCCAGCCAATGAAAAATTTGAAACGACTGTCTCGTTTGTCGAATGGGGAATTGTACATATAAATAATTTATTTCACAAATTAAATAATATGAAAGGAAAGAAAAAAAAAAAAAAATACATAGATATATCAGATCAATCTCCTTTTATTAGTGGAATTTTTATTTCCCACTTGAGAGGATTTTTAGGATTGTGCACTAATTTATCTGATTATATCTTTACCATTTTTAATTCAGATAAGTATGAAGTAAAATATATTAAAAGTGAATCTACAGATAATAAAAATATCATTTCGTATTTCATTACTTCAAGAAATAAATTAAACTTTTCTTTTTTTTATAATACCCCTTTGAAAAAAGGAATTTCTGATTTCGAAATCTTAGCACTTATGAGAGAAGCATACATATATTACATCGTAGAAGCTTTAAAGAATTTAAACAAACTAGTGTCCATATCTAACATAAGTATATATTTTAAAGTACCAACTCATACACTTCCAATTTATAATAGAGTACTCGATAATCTTAATTGTAGCTTGGATTTTATGAGAGGAGAAGAGAGCTGTAAAAAAGCTGGACACATAAATAAACTAGTTCTGGAAACCTTACACCCCTATGTTAAATTGAACCATACCAATGATCCTGCTAATCATTATAGCGCTGCTGGTGAAGATTATAATGACAATATTCTCAATAATGAGCAATGGAATCGATATATAAATTCTGCACGATCGCAGGAAATGTATTTCAAGGCAGCACTTATCTTGGCACAGTCTGCTTACCAGGATTCTTTACAAGTGGGAAAAATAGAAATAAAAAAAAAAAAAAAAAAAAAAAAAAACATTCCGCTAAATTGAGCGTTAAACTTTGCACGAAACTGGGTTTTAAACATTCCGCTAAATTGGGCATTAAACTTTGCACTAAACTGGGTTTTAAACATTCCGCTAAACTGGTTTTCAAACTTTATATTAAGCCCTTTCTTCTTCCTTTTTCGCGCATATGGAATTGCTACTTGAGTTGCGAATAGTGAACATGGAACAGATAAAAATGTGTACTCATTCTTGCTCCCCTAAATAGTGTTGAAAAAAGAAAAATTTATACTTTTCTTTTCTTCTTTTTTTTTTTTTTTTTTTTTTTTTTGAACTACGAGGAGTTATGAGTAACAACTGCATGTAATCATGTAGAACATATTCTTTGATATATTTGTCTTTTTATTTTTTTGTAGCTCCTGATGGATGACACGTTTTCCATTTACGACATCCTTTCGAAGGACTTTCTATTGGCCTCTGTTCTGCCCATTCTCATTCCTTATGCAATTCCTGTCACGTTTTCACTGTTCAGGTAAGAGAGCGGTGCTTACACATGTACACATATGTGCGTGTTTGAGAATATATCTCGTTGCACATATTTTTACATTCAAAATATGCTTACTCATTATGAGCACATTTTACTTCTGTCAGGGAATTTTTCAAGATCATTAAAAAGCAAAAGCAGAAGGTAGATTAGAAGTGATATTCCTTTTTTTCGTAGTTTTCAGCAGTTTGATAAGAGATTTATAAATAGGTTAAAATTTTTTCATACTGTTCTGCAGTTGGAGAGAAAAGGGTTCATTGCTATTGCATTCGTGACCCCACATTATGCGTATGTAAGACGTGTGCACCCCACGCATTCTCCACTTTGCTTTCGGTTCCCCATTCCTATTCCCTTTGAAAGTTCCATTTGGGTATAATTAATTAATACTGTTTTGAATTAGATCGTTTTATATTTTTTTATTTCTTTCCTTTTTTTTTTTTTTTTTTTTTTTTTTCCCTTTCGTTTTCCTTTTCATTTTCGAATTAAAAAATGTTCATTCCATAATAACCGTCATGGAAATACACACATGTCGTATTTCTACAATAACTGTAAATGTGTTAGTTATTTTTACTTATGTTATATCGTTCTGTCTACCCACTTTTATTTAAGACATAATGATATGTTGGTATATTTTACCCCTAGTGTACATGTCTCTTTGTGAAACGAATTAGATTTATAACTATTAGGTACAAAACAAACAGCCAAAATAGCTTTTTAGGAAAAAAAAAAAAAAAAAAATACATACATTATATATGTACATATATATATATATATATATATATATTCCACATTAAAATAGTTACCAGGACGAATGGCTAAAAATGTTACAAAATTCGCATAACTTGTATATATACGTGTGTGTGTTATCTTGTGTGTACATATATCACCATACAATTAATTTGGTAGTGTAGAAGTCATATAAATTTACATAATAGTATATACATGAAAGTTAACATATATTAGTGAACAAATAAATGTGCGAGGGAAAAAGCAACTTGGAAATATGACCATTCAGAAAAATTTAGAAAAAATCGTTAGGGGGGGGAGCAATATTTTTTTTTTTTTTTTTATTTTATTTTTTTTTATTTTATTTTTTTTTATTTTATTTATATTTATTATTTTATTTTATTTATATTTATTATTTTATTTTATTTTTTTTTTTTTATTTTTTTTATATTTATTATTTTATTTTTTTTTTTTACAGATGTACATGATGGTGAAAGCTAGTATATTAAGCAAAAATATTTGTTATTTTTGTTCCTTGTAGGATGCTGGGAAAATGGGGAAAGAATGGAATGTTGTTGGTTTACATGAGAAAAACATTAATAGCAATCCTTTAAATGAAAAATATATATGTACATGTTTATATATGTGTCTTTAAATAGTTTCAGTTTGCAAAAACCTACACAACTTTTTTTTTATGAGTATTCTGGAATGTCCCGTTCCGCAAGAACAGTAATAAGTGCTCTGAAAAATGGCAAAGTGGATATATAATTGAAAGACATTTCCTCTTGGTATTCACTGTGCTGCAGTTTGATTTAGGTAAACACATACGCAAGTATACACACGTAATATTCCTATATTTGGATGAACACTATGACATAAAAATATTCACGCCACACATAATTTAGTGATACAAAGAAAAATATAAAAAGTTTATATTTTTATGCCTCTTTTGGTGTACTTAATTTTATGTTTAGTAAGTCAAAGAGAAAAGAAAAAAAGAAATGGAAAAAAAAAAAAAAGTTAAAAAATGAGAAAAACAGAACAGAATAAAACAAAACATTAAAACCTCCCCCATCCTATTGCTTCTCGAAATTGAAAGCGGGATAATATGAACTGCTTTAATTTAGGCCTATGTTGTACTTAAAAAAAAAAAAAAAAAAATTCCACATATCAAGTGATACAACTCGTTCACTTTTTAAATATCACTTTTAGCTTACCTATATGTATGTATATATATATATATCTATATATGTGGTTCATCTGACCACCTGGTACTTGTTTTACACCGCTTGTGGATGTACATATTGGTCTCACGAATTCTGGAATATGTGCTGAAGACTTTTGCGGGGTTATGTGAAGCATTTGAAGTGGTACAAATGTGGAAACATAAAAGTGTAAAGGCATAAACGAATATGCACATAAAATCATATAGGTATAAAAGAGTGCGCGTGCAAAAAGATAAAAATACAAAAAGTGCAAATCATAGAATAAGCAATACATGCTTATTAAGCATAATAAGCTTAATAGAAATAAAGGAAAAAAAAAGAAATGTGCAACTACTGTTGTAACCACAAACGTTGAGAAAAAAAACCATTATAGGGTTTGTTCGAACATAATATAACATAAAAAAAGGTTATTTTTTAAAAAGGGGAATATAATTAGTAAATCATTTTATTTTGTTTAGATTTGTATTACATGTTATGCATAAGAATGTTTCTTACATAATCTGCAATTTTAAAGTATATTGTCGTTTTATTAAATTATTTTTCTTCCCCTTTTGCATGTCGCTAAACCGTGTAAATGTGCAATTCAGTTTCTTGAAATACTGTAACGAGCGAGCAGACATGTGTGCTATAGGTTGAAGAACTTTTTTTTTTATTTATTTTATTTTTTTTTTTTTTTTGCATGCCTCCCGGTATGAAATTATGTGTATATATGTTTTAATTCCTTTAGGAGGTAAGAGTAAGACGTAAGTTATTGGTGGTCTCATTGTTTTGTTATTTGTTATTTGTTATTTGTTATTTGTTTTTCTATTTTTTCGTTTTTTTAACTTTTTTTCTTTTATTTTTATTGGAATTTCTTTCACCCTTCTTAAACACCATTTGTGAGATCATTTACGTGTAAAGTTTATTCATGTGGATGTGGTTTATAACAATGCACGCCTGAGTCTGTTTCCTTTCAAAATGTGTTTTGCGTTATTTTATTTTATTTTTCACCTGTTAAAATGTCGATATTTCCTTGCGCAAAAAAAGCATTCTAGCTTTGTTTATTTTGTTTATATTGCCATTTTACGTATGCTTTCCTTTATTTTTAAGTGGCTTTGTTTTAACGAACAATATTTGAAGGTGTTGCAATTACATAAACATTTTCTGACCACCAGAATGTGTTATTTATTTTATTTTATTTTTTTTTTTTTTGGAGATTAAATTAAAAAAAAAAAAAAAAAAATGCAACTATGTTATTATAGAAAGATGCTAACTTTAACAATTTAAAATATATATTTTTTATTTTATAACTTTGTCGTAATGTGTACATGTATATACCGTCATAACATTTTTCAAATTTTAAATAAAATATGACACATTTTTTAAAAGTGAAAAAAAAAAAAAAAAAGGATGATGATAATGAGGATGAAAGTATTATGATCGAACTTAAATACCTCTGTTTTTTCCCGATTACACATATTTTGTACAATTATAAAAATTTCCCCTTTTTCGAATGATCTGGTTGGGTGAGTATTAACTATACTTATGTACGTGTTTTTATGTGTGAGTATATGTGTACGTATATGTGTTTATGTATATTACACATATTATACATACCTATATAAATGTTCACACACGCCAAAAAAGAGAAGAGATATATGTGAAGCATTATATCCATATTTATAAGTACACATGTGTACAGCATGAATTAAAAAAGAAAGGTACTCAAAAAAAAAAAAAAAAAAAAAAAAAAATGCATCAAGTGGCGAATAGATTAAAGATATGATGAGGGCATAAAAAAAAAATTAGTATATACGCTTAAAAAAAAAAAATAAAATAATAAAATAAAAAGGAAAAAAAGGTGTAAAAAAATTTACATACATATGCATATATAAACATATATATATATATATATATATATATATATATATATATACGAACATGCCACATATATACATTCATGCATGCATACGTACATACATGCCACATAGCATACCCCATGCTTAACTATTTTCATATCAAAGAAGAAATTTGTTCTTAAAATCTCTTCATTCATTTTTCAGCAAATTTTTTAATTTTAGCAGAACATTTTTTTCTTTCATCTCTTTTTGTGTTTGTTTAATTTGTAAAAATTTGTTTAATTTTTTTCATATGCATATCTTCGTATGTAATGACATATATGAGTATACACATTTCAAAGATTTAACTCTTTTTTTTTTTTTTTTTTTTTCATATGCTTATTACCATATTTCTCAATTTTTTACATGCCCCCACTGCTCACACACCCTCACACATATTTTTGTGTTGCGTTTTTTTCCCCATTTCACGCCATATATTTTTGTTCTCATCATTTCGGTATTTTATTTTTTCTTTGCAAAATTGTACTTTATTATCATTTGATTAAATAGTGATTTGGCCACTTTATTATTTTTTTAACTCTTTTCATTTTTTCTTAATTTGTTAAAACGTATTTATTTATTATATTTTAACTTTGCTTTTTTTTCCATTTTTCCTTGTTCAAATTTTAATTTTTTTTTTTTTTTCCATTTTCCCGTTGTTCATAATATTTTTATATCACTATACCATTATTTTAACTTTTTTTTTTTTTTTTTTTTTTTTTTTTTTTTTTTTTTTTTCATTTTTTTTTTTTTTTTTTTTTTTTTTTTTTTTTTTTTTTTTTTTTTTTTTTTTTTTTTTTTTTTTTTTTTTTTTTTTTTTTTTTTTTTTTTTTTTTTTTTTTTTTTTTTTTTTTTTTTTTTTTTTTTTTTTTTTTTTTTTTTTTTTTTTTTTTTTTTTTTTTTTTTTTTTTTTTTTTTTTTTTTTTTTTTTTATACTTGTGTAGTAATATGTATAATACATACAATTTTTTAAAAATTCGAGAGAAACAAAAAAAAAGTACAATACTTGTTTATGTGAGCATATTTGTAATTATGTACATATATACGTACATATATACATGTATATAAATATGCAAACCAGCATGTATATAAGTAAATGCATATTATATTATATATATATATATATATATATTTATACATATTTATGATACATTTTATACATATTTATGCATACATTTTATACATATTTATGCATACATTTATGCATATTTATGCATATATTTATACATACAGCTATACATACAATCATACATGCAGCAATACTTACAGCTATGTATACATTTATGCATATATTTATATGCTAGTCATTTTAATGTGAAAAGCCGTACACTGAAAATATATACGACAAGTATATGCAAATGTACGAATAAATACATGATTGCATGTGTATTGTATAGTTACATATGAATACAAAATGTTAACACTCGAACACTTACCTAAATGAGTACATTCCATATATGCGTATGTATATTAGTACTGTAAGATCGCATTACTTTATGAACAATTTTTTATCTCAAGTCAATAAATTTTGTTCAGGTGGTTATGCAACAATTTTTTTTTTTTTTTTAAAATAAAATTGTTAATATAATGTTTGAATAATATTAAATACAAATAGTAGTTCTAAAGTCGATTTTGCACAACACCTTTTTTTTTTTTTTTCACATTTCCAATTTGTTACATGTACATATGCACTACTGAGTGGCATATGAAAACATATGAACATACGTTATGAACATATATGTGAATATACACATATGTCATTGAGTGCTTTTTTTTTTTTTTCCATGTCACGGATATTTTTATGTTTTTTTTTTTTTTAAAAAGATATATACCAAGAAGAGTAAATAAGCATATTATGCACACAAATAAGTATACACCTTTTTAAAAGAAAAAAAAAAAAAAAAAAAAAAACGTGTAAAAAAAAATATTCTCCCTATAAAAAAAAAAAAAAAAAAAAAGAAACGGAAACAAAACACCTTTGAAAAGTATGTTCCTAGTGTGTTATACATTCACTAATCTAATGATGTATACATGATGTATGTTAATGAAAGTGTGTGAATTTTCGAATTGCATGTTTATGTTATATGCTTACGTAGGCAAAAACATATATATGTAAATATGTGTGTTGTACATATATCATATGCATACACATAAGACAACACATGTTTATGGACTCATTCACGTTGCTTATATACATATATATGCAAGGTGCTGAAAAAAATTTGCATATTTATTCATCCCATGTTCATAGAAAAAAATAAAATAAAATTTTTAAAATTAGTTAGAGTTATGTACCGTAGTAAGAACAGTGTTGTTATGCAGATTGCTTGTTTAACTACTTCGAAAGGTGCACGTATGAAATGATTACATCAATGAATGTAAGAAGTGGATATATACACACATATTTGTATAAATTTTTATATATATTTTGCATATATATGTACGTATATACAGATATATGAATATATGTATATATATTAAAGAAACGCTTAATTGGAAACGACTGTCATCTGCAAACAGAAGTACGTATTAAGAAAATAATAATGTTTGTAGTGATACAATGAACAAAATGAAAAGTGATGAGAAAAGGAACACACACGATACAAACCTTAAGAATAAAAGTAGCGGTAAACAAGCCCTCGCAAGTGTGGAAAAAAAGAAAAATGCAAACAATGATCATAGTAATATAGATGACTCAAAGAATAACGGCAAGCAAAAGTTGGAAGGCAACTCTGAGAGTGACATGAAAAAAAAAAACGAAAAGAACGTGGAAAAAGGGGGTCACAAGAATAGCGAAAAAAATGTAGAAAAAGGTGGGCAAGTAAAAAACAAAAGTCCTTCATCCTCGAATAGTAGAAGCAAACTGGATAACGCCAGGACGATTGAAAAAAAAGAAAGCATCAAAGGTTTCTCAAATGATTCGTTAAAGGTGAAAAGTTCGAATTCACGAGAAAGCATAAAATCTTTTAAATCTAATAAAAATGAAAAGGGACGAGATGAAGGAGGAACAGAAGGAGAGTATAAAAAGGAGAAAATCCTCACCAACGGTGACAAAAAAAAGAAAGATCATTCAACTGATAAACATGTTGTAAAAGTAAGTAATAAATTAATTTCAAAGAATAGTAATTCAAAAAGTGCGAGCAATAGTGACACTGTTACCACGCAAAACAGCAACGGATCAAGTAAAGGCAGTGATGAAAAGGTCAAAAAAAACCTTTTTGCATCCAGCTCAAAGGAAAAAATGAAAAATATCACATCTTTCACTAACCACAGTAATAATAGCAACAATAGAAACACTACTAACGCTACTAACAGTAGGAACACTAGCAACACCAGCAACATTAGCAATAATCGCAACAATAGCAACAGTAGCAGTAATCAGAATAGTAGCAGTAAAGGGGGGTCGATCAAGGGAGAATCTAAGAATGACGTGTCTAAGAGTGGCTCTTCCAAAAGTGGATCATCAAAGAATGATGCATCTAAGAGTATTCCATCGAAAAGTGCTTTTTCCAAAAATGGATCATCGAAGAATGATACATCTAAGAACGCTTCATCAAAAATTGACGCACAAAGAAGCGACTCTTTGAAATGTGATTCATCAAAAAATGAGGTACCACCACCAATAAATAAATCATCAAAAAGTTGTTTATCGAGAAATGATTCCATAAAAAGTAGCTCATCGAAGAATCTGACATCTAAAAATGATTCACTTAAAAGTAACTCAACAAAAAATCTCTCAAAATCCAGTAGCCACGAAACGATAAATAATGAAAACCATAAAAAAGTAAAAAAAAGTGAAACATCATCGAACAACAATAAAGTAGTAAGAAAAAGTAGCGAAACTGCAAAGGAAATAGTAAGTAATAACAGATCTAATTCAAAAGAAGGGAATTCTAAGACAAGTAAAAGTAGCAAAGATGTAAAGAAAAACATAAAAACAGAAAAAGAGAAAAACGGAAAAAGTGTAAGCGAAAGCGATGATAATTTGAATGTACATGAAAGTTCTAAAAAGAAGAAAAGTAACGCAAGTAGTAGAGAAAGTGAAACAATGAAGAATAAGAACTCTAAGAGTAGTAAATCATTTGTAGTAACAGATTCAAATAGGAAAAAAGATCTTACAAAGAAGGGATCATCAGGACAGCAGAAAAATAATAAGAAGAGTAACTCAGTTAAGGATCTCCGGACACACACTAAATCTAGTAAGAGTAAAACTAGTATGAAGGAGAAAAAGAAAAGCGCTAAATATAAGGAGGAGGAAGAAGAAGAGGAAGAAGAAGAGGAAGAAGAAGAAGAAGAAGAAGAAGAAGAAGAGGAAGAAGAAGAGGAAGAAGAAGAAGAAGAAGATATAGAAGAAGAGGAGGAAGAAGATGTAGAAGTAGAGGCAGATGAAAAAGAAGGAGAAGAAGAGGAAGAAGCAGAAGAAACAGAAGAAGAAGAAGAAGAAGAAGAAGAAGAAGAAGATGACGATGATGACGACGATGAATATCATGAAGGGAAGAAAAGACGATTAAGCACATCATCATCGAAACAAACAATGAAAAAGAAAATAAATGCAACGAAGACTAAAAAGAAGAAGAAGAGGAGCTCATTTAGTCTGAAAAAGAAGAAGAAAAAATATTTGAAAGTAAATGAACAAGAAAGTAGTAAAAGCAAAGTGGTTAAAAAGGAAGAAGTAAAAAAAGAAGAAAAAAAAAAAAAGAAATCAAAAAAGAGTGTAAAAAATGAAAATGTATCATTGAAGGATGTAGAAGAGGAAGAAAATTCCTATTTTGATGATAATGAATATTCTGAGAATGCAAGAAAAATTGCCTTAGAAGAAAGAGAAAGAAAAAGGCAATTAAAAGAAAATTATATTAAACAGATGAAGTTACCTACATATGCAGATGATGAATCTATACTTTTTATTAATAATCCTAATTATGTTATGGTGTTACTGTTCTTAACAGTTTATAAAGATGTGTTGAAAATGAGTTGGAATTTCAAAGACATTGATGAAATGTTTCAAAATAAAGAGACTACCGAATTTGGAAGAAATTTTATTTTAAAGTTATTTTTTTTTTTAGGTAGATATTTTAACTCGAAATCAATATTTATGTACAAGTACATATCTAGAATATTTGAAGATAAGCAATCTTCCTTAATGAGGGTTGTGAATTTTAATGAACTTTTTCCTGTGATAGAAGGGAGAAAAGAGAAAAAAAACAAATCAGGAAGTGGTGGATTTTTAGGTGGCTCAAGTGGAGTAAATTCCAAGAAAAAAAAGGACAAAAAGAAGAAGAAGGCAAAGGCTGTAATTGCCAAAGCGGAGGAATTGTTTGATGCTGAGACTATTGAACATGCGTATGTAAATGAGTTTGATGGGGAGGAGAAGGACGAGAATGATGAGAATGATGAGATTGATGATAATGACGAGAATGACGAGAATGGCGAGAATGACGAGAATGGCGAGAATGACGAGAATGGCGAGAATGACGAGAACGATGATCATGACGATGGAGAAGAACGGACCGAAGATGAGAATAGGGTTGGAAGAGTGGATAGAGAAAACAAAAAAATAAATAAAACAAGGCCAAGTGATGCAAATGAGAAATCTATGAACCAATACAAAGATGAACAATCAGCAGTTCTTGCAAGTGAGGATGAAGAAGATGAAGAAGAGGAAGAAGAAGAAGAAGAAGAAGATGAAGAAAGAAAATCAGATAAAAATAATTTATCAGATGAACTAAATGAAAAAAGAAGAGATATCTATGCTTCAAACTTTAGCAATAAAACAGAGAATGATCCTTTTGAAAAGGAATTAGGGGATGATAAGTTAAAGGGTGCAACGAAGAACATAGGAAATTTTGACATAGGAGATGAGGAAGAAGATAATGTAGAAAACGACGCATCTGAAATGACGAAAGGTGTTGACAGTATGAAAATGGTTAATTCTAATGGCACAGCATCTCTTGAGGAGATGATTAAGGGAGACAATAATAACCCGTGTGGAGAAGATGAAAAGTATAAAGAAGCTTCAAATGAGAAATATGGTTACAGGGATAGTTTGAACAGTGTAAGGAGTGAGATTAAGAAAAATGATGTGAATGGTGTGAATTGCGAAAATGAAGAGAATGTCGAGAATGGAGAGAATGCAAATAAGGACGGATTGAGCAAGAAATTATTTTTTGAATGGGATGATCTGAATGTTACATCCAAATTGAGAATAATCAGGATGTTGTTAAATTTGGTTTTATGCGAAAGTAACAATTTAAAAAAAATGTTAATAGCGGAAAAAATTGATTACAATAATGGATATTTAGGAAAAATAAACAATGACAAGTATTGGTTCATATTAAATGACACAGTTAACATTGAATTTAAGTTATATATTGAAAAGGAAGAGAAAGGAATTTTTGAATTTTTATGCGATGATGATGATGTTTTGTATAATATTGGCTATAATCTGTTAAAGGATAGTGAAACCAAGATAATGGGACAGACTATTATTGACAGGTATAATAAAATTTGTAGGGAGAGAAGAAATAGAAGTAGGATTTTGAAACAACAAAAGAAGCTTAGCACAGATTTTAATATGAACAATGATCTTTTATTAACCTCAAAAAAGAGACAACATAAACAAGTAGAATATTTCAATTTCGATAATGACAAAATGAGAAAGAAGAAAAATGAAAACGGGGCCTATAATAGTAGTGGTATGCATAATAATAGTGGTAGTTATAATTCATATACTTCAAATACTAATAATCCATATTCTGTGCAAAAAAATAATTATCAAAAGAATGATAGATCCTTTAGATTAGCAGCGAGAAATGCTCAGAAAGGGGACAGTTTAGTAGCAGATTTTGATGCATCAGAAAATCAGGATTTTTTTAACAATGGAAACCCGATGGCTGGATTGGAAGGGATAATAAACAAAGGAGTAGGAGGGGTAATAATTGGAAATGGAGCTGATGGTGTGACAGGCGTTGGAGAAGCAGCTATAGCTGGAGTGGCCGGAGTAGCTGGAGAAGGAGGTGTTGTCTTGAGTAGTCTCAATAGTGTTAATAGTAACATAGGATCGGGAACTATATTTTCCACATCTGGTACTACTGCAGGTATGAATAATCCAGGAGCAATCCCCATTATGGGTGAAAACAACGTTGTGGTTAAAGTGCCTCAGAAGAGAGGACGAAAGAAAAAATCTGAAAAGAAAAAAAGAGGACGAAAAAAGAAAATTTTGCCAGAAGCTGAAATGGGATTAGCAGCAGGTGGGTTAGGCACAGATCCTAATAACCCTCTTGGTATTATGAGTTCGAAAGAGACAAAGAAAAGTTTGTCAAGCACTCCTAGGGTAAGGAAAACTCCATATACAAAGAGGAATATTAAACCAACTGTTTCAATTAAGTATGGAACTAGAAGTCATTCTATAAGTAAAAATGAAAGCGATCCTATACAATTCAACGATTTTAGCTTAACTCATAGTTTAAACAATGAACATTTTTATAAAAATGAAAATATGATGGATTCAAAATTTTTTAATCCAAATATAAGTAATCCATATAATATGCAGAACAATCTTTTGAATATGAGAGGAAATAAATTGGCTGGCACTCCTGGGAGTTACAATTTTCCCTATATGTATAACCCCCAATTATACAATCAATATTATATGTACAATGGGAATATGTACATGTTGAACAATAATCCAGGTGGAAATCATCTCTTCAGTCAGAAGAGTGCTCCACCACCACTCGGTGCAGGTAGCAATATACCAATTGGAGGTAGCAATGTACCAATTGGAGGTAGCAATATTCCAAGTGAAGGGAGCAATGTAGCTCGATCTGGGACTAGCATGAATTCTTTGGGAAGTTTTAATAGTGCTATAGGAAGTATTGGAAATGGCCAAGGTGGTAATAATAGTAGTAGCACCGATAATGGAAAGGATATTAAGAATGAATGCACCTTCATGACTAAGAGAAGTACGCTAAAAGGGACAACAACAACAACAAGCAGTTTGAATAGCATGAATGGTACTGGAACGAAAGGTGCAATGAGTAGTAACGACCCAGATAATCAAATGTATAATGAAATGAATGGTGCCGAGAGGGATGTGGCTGTCGCTATGAATGGCCCCATGAGCAGCCCTCTAAAAGGATCTTCAAGCAATCCCTTAAGCAATCCCATAAACAATCACTTAAACATGATAAATTCAGTGAATGCTATGGAAGGTGGGGGAGGAGGAGGGATTAATAATAGCATGAAGTACATGGATCCTATGGTAAACAATAATAACCATTTGAATAAGTACAATCCATATATTATGAACAGAAATGCAATGAATAACATTGCATCGAATCCTATGTATAATAATATGTATAATTTGAAATTTCCATACCTGAATAATGACATGATGAATTATAATTACAATTTGAATAATTTCCAGAATATGAATTTTGAGAAAATGAATAAAAGTGGAATGTATAAGAGATATCCCAACTTTATGGGATCCTCATTTCCCATTCCTTATGGGAATATGAATAGCAATCCATATGCAAATTTAAATACGTACAATTTAAATTATCAGAGGAATGACCAATTTGGTCTTATCCCATTACCTGGAGGATCAGGTCAAAGTGGTGGAGCAGGAGGAGTAGGAAATTTTAAGAACAAGATCACAAGACCACTTCCCAGTGATAATGGAACATTGACGGAGACGTTGAATGATTCAATCCCCATTCCCCTTATGGGAAACGAAAACAATCATATGGTTGATGTAAAGGGTAAAAGTAGTGATCATAGTTGAACATGTGCATACACTTTTACATGTACAAGAAAGGAAAGGTAAAAATGAAAAGTAATAAAATAATAATCAAATAAAGGGGGAGGGGTGGAAAAGAAAATTGCACCAAATCAGGAAATATTGCCAGAATTGACTATTAAAATTAAATACAAAAAGACGAATTAAAAAAAATAAAATAAAATAAAAATAATATAAAATAATATAATATAATATAATATAATATAATATAAAATAATATAAAATAATAAAAAATAATAAGAACGAATTAAAAAGAATCTACATCAAATTAATAACTTAAATAATAGTTTATCGTTTGATCGTGAATGAAATGTGGATATAAATCATGATATTAACAGAACATGGATTTGAGGTTTCGTTATCATGAGTGGAAATAATATGAATTTGTGAATCGATTACAAAAAAGAAGTGTTCTTGTAAAAATGGTTCTGAGATATTCAAAATAAATTTACAGCAATGTTGTATCAAATTTTGTTTTCATGGTAGTAATGAAAAAGATACTTTTTTTTTTTTTTTTTTTTTGGCATATCCAACGGACATGGGGGTGACACGGGGCTAGGTGAAGTTCTATAACAACAAATGTTAATGAAAGATTAAAAAATTTTTGATGAATAAACCGAATTATCATAATGTTGAGATTTATACCTTGTCATATTTTGAGGGGGAAAAACAGTGTTCCATAATGGAACGCTCAAAATTATACACAAATGAAAGAATCATCACCAGAAGCTATTCCCTTATCAAGTATACATATATATATATATATATATATACAAGTCGTGTATAAATAATAGAAAGTATGTGTTAAGGAGCACGTGTGGGTGTAACTCTTTGAGTATCGTGTCACTACAGTAGCTATTCTGTGTGTGGACTTGGAAGTACCTTCTCCAGTGATAATATGAACCTGAGGAGTAGTTTGAATACTGTACATGGGATGAACACTCCGAACAGGACGAATATATACTTAGGAAGAGAAAATGACTTTATCATGCAGAGTTAAATTATGTATGCCTTCCCTCCCTGCTCCTCCACCTCCTCTATAAAAAGAGTGAACCTCCCAGTTGGGCAACAATGCTAATGTTGTGTGAGGACAAATAAGGATTATAAAACAAGACAGGAAAAATGGTAGCTGGCGTTTATGAACATATAACCGAATAATGAGATATATAATGGGAATAACTTGATTGGATTTATATAGCATGTATTAATTATTTGACGTCAATATGAAAAATGAGAAGTTTTAAATTTGGAGTTCATGATTTTGAAACCCTTTGGGATGAGACAATCGAAAATATTCAAGTAAGAGCTGTCCACTGAAATGTTGTAATGTCGTAATGTTGTAGTGTAACAATGTTGTAGTGTAACAATGTTGTAGTGTCACAATGTTGTAGTGTCACAATGTTGTAGTGTCACAATGTTGTAGTGTCACAATGCCTTTTTGACATCTTAATGTTTTAATGATATATATTTTCCTCAGAATGTAGTTAAGGGAGATAAATATATTTGAAAGATATGTGTGAGTGCATTTGGCACTTTGTATTTTATATAATATAGGACTCTTTTTATTACATCGCTCAAGAGATCTGTACCAGAACATAGCAAATAATGAAACTGAACAATTATGGATAAAAGTGGGCAAAAAGGGAGGAAAATGTCGTGAATTTGGGTAGCTTACAGAATAATACCTTGTATATATATGCATGCAGGAGCATATATCTTTTTTATGTATTAAATATTTGCTCATTTGTAAATAATTTGAAAAAAAAAAAAAAAAATTCATACAAGTCGTTGTATATATATATATGTACATCATGACCACGTTCTTCCAACAGTTGTATATGCCTTTTTCATATCATTTGAACGATAAAGAAAAACGACTTGAGAGTCTAGTTTTGTTTATGTGATATGTGTGTATGCATTAAGGCATACATATATATATTTGGGTACAATATATTATTCACCCGTGCATTCAACATGTGTAATCCATGATATGAATGCATCTCCTTGTTCTGTTACATCATATATATATTTATTATATTTGTGTAACAAACGAACGCTCCTATTTTTCTGTTTGCAGCGCTGTATTCAGCGATGTATTCAGCACTATATTCTGCACTATATTCTGCACTATATTCTGCACTATATTCAGCACTATATTCTGCACTATATTCAGCACTATATTCAGCACTATATTCAGCACTATATTCTGCACTATATTCAGCACTATATTCTGCACTATATTCTGCACTATATTCAGCACTATATTCTGCACTATATTCAGCACTATAGGATTATTGTGCATTTGTTATGTTTGTGTTGTGAGGAATTTTTTTTTCTTTTTTTCAATTTTTACCACGTCTGCATTATGGCCATTTTCGAACAAGCATTAATTTGAAGATGGCCAAATTACCAAATGTGACACTTTTTCGCTGGTGACACATTTTTTTAAATTTTTTCTTGTTAAGGAATAAATGAATGAATGACAAAGTGGAATTTTTTTATTTTTGTTTTTATATTTTTCTTTTTTATTTATTATTTTTACCTTATATTTTTTTTTAAAATAATAACTAATGTGCTAAAGTAAATAAGCTCAATGTTATATACCCATGTTATGTCAAATGTGAATGCATATGTTGCTGTTTTCATCTCTGTGTGTATATTTTAATTATGCACGAGTATGCGTGCGCACTTATTTTACCTTCCCCTTTTGCAGACATATATATATATATATATATATATATATACGTACAAATACACACACACAGTGTTTTTTCCTGTACATGCATTTCTATTCCTTCATTTTGTTTGCACGTCTTATTCGGACATTTCGTTTGCTGAACTTATTTGCTATCCCATTTGGATGTTTAATTTGAGAATCTCATTTGTGTATGTTTGAGAAATTTGAACGAAGGAACATACACAACCTGTTCGTTCACGCTCATGTGTTGAGGCATGCCCATTTCTGTAAAACACATGAAGCATAATATATATATGTACACATTTATGAAAGATTTATAATTATGACTAATTTAGGCAAATTAGGATTAATACCACCATTTTGTTTATACACCTCTCTGATAATTGTCTCCCATGAAAGAAAATCGAATCTTAAAATAGAACAAAACATATTATGACGTGGTGTGACATATAATTCTACACACAATTACTTTTTAAATTTTAAGGAATTTTCTCTTCTTTTTTTTTTTCCTTTTTTTTTTACATCCCATTTGGGATCTTTCTGATATAACAACAGAATGGAAAGAAAACATTTCCCTTATGATGACGTTATGATCTTGTTCTAATAGTGTGTGCTAATTATGGTGATATGGTTTATGAATAAACGTACCTTGGATATTCGATTGACACAACTCCACTTTTCAACATGGGGAGAAGAACCCTCCCAAGAAAGGAAATACAAATGTTTACATTTTGGAAAAATGAAATTCGTTTCGACTCAGTTGGGTGTGTATGTAACTCATGAACGGGTGCACATACAACATGCATGTGGGAAGACACAATCCTGTATGATTCTGCAGCACACACAAAATATGCAGTTATAAACTATACAATATATTCCACTCATTTGGTAAGAGATATAAAATATATATTTTTTTCTTTTTTTTCTTTTTTTTCTTTTTTTTTTTTACAATTTCAGTTGAATATCCAATCAATCGTTCAGCTTTACGCATATATCACTACGATGAAAATTTTAAAATTCATCAAAAAGTTCTTCTGAGAATTTGCATGCATATGATAAAAAAAGGGTGGGGGTGGGGTAGAAACTTGTTATTAAAAATTAAAGGACATTCCAGAGGTTTGAAAATGTATCCTCAACTTTAATAATTTGTTCAAACATTTTATTATTATCACTTATTTGTTATTCACTCGCGTCAGCAATTTGGCAATGCCACTTTTAGTAATGATATATGAATCCCATGTTACGCAAAAAAAACATGTTATGGATTATTTTTTCCTCATTTAAGAAAAAAAAAAAAAAAAAAAAAAAACATGGAAGAAATGTATTAAAGTCAAAATTGTAATTCTATACGCAATTAAATAATAGCAAAATGGGTGCTAAAATTAATTGCTATGCATAAAAAACCCTTTGGGACAAAATTTTGTGACAACTTAATTTGCGATATACAAAAAAAAAAAAAAAAAAAAAAAAAAAAATTGTTACTCAAAAATGAGCGAAAAATTGAACTTTCCTCTTTATAGTGTATGTCATTTGAGAAACTGAACTAACTCGGATCTTAATTAGAAAATCATTTCTTTTCGCTGAACAAGTGTTATCTGAGAACAGGAGGAAATTCATTGCAATTGATGCAAGATGTTTAATTCGTAGTCCTGAAGTGTAGCACTTTTTTTTCTTTGTAGTAGTTATTCTTCCCTTATCATATTCAGGAGGAGGAAATTTCATTGGGAAAAAGAGAGTTATATACATGTGTGTTTTTTTATGATGCTTAAGAGGTGACAAGGAATTTTGGATAAACTAAAAGGAGAAGGAGAAAATAAAGAAACCGTGAAAAATTGGCCACATCAATTTTGATAGTGATGAAAAATTGGGAGTGCTAGAACAAGTTACGTGTAGAATGAAAACTCCGCAGATTCAAAAAGCGTTCAGAGATTTCTTGCGCATTTTGAATGTGCAGGAAAAAAACAAATTGGATGAAAGTGTTTTAAATGAGCTGAAACAATGGGGAAAAGAAAAAGTTCTGAAAAATGACAATGTGCTGCAGGAGTACTTGAATTATAAGCAAGTACTAAATGATTATTCGCAAATTGAAGAAGATTATGAAACGAAAGACCGAGTAGAAAATATAGAGAAGGTGGCAAACTATGTCGGTCTCACAACAAATTATACAAAAACAGACAGGTCATTCCCTATGTCAGGAGAATGAGCATACACATGGGTAATGTGGGGTGACATACTGAAACACGCTACATTGACACAAAACAGGTGTCCCGCCTTTCCTCTTCAATCCACATTACATATCTTTTGTAGCATTTGTTTCGTTTCCGTCATTTGTTTTGATTGCTGCATTGGTGTCATTTATTTATTTTTATTTATTTTTTTTTTTTTTTTTTCCTTTTTCTGGCCAATGTGTAAATTTAATTGTGAAATTTCACAAGCCTCTTTTTCCCATTCGAAATGTAACTTAATTTTTTTTTTTTTTTCCTCCCCCGCTCCCCAAATCTCTTGGGGGTTATGAAAAAGTGAATTTTTAACAACTAAAAAAATGTTACTTGTCCTTGCACAGGTCTGCCAAATGTAGCGAGATGTAAAGAAATGCAACACAATAATAATATATGAGGGGAAGGAAAAATCCGAAACTGAGATAATTAAATGTGTGGGAAAAACATTATTTGTATGTACACAAAAAACATATTTTCATATACATGAGACATTCCAATCTAAGACATTAACATTTGGAGTGATGATGAGAGGTGGGTAGTTATGTATGATAGTCAATCAAACAAGGGGTGGGGGAAAATATTCGCTCAGATGTTCGCTCAGATGTTCGATCAGATGTTCGATCAGATGTTCGCTCAGATGTTCGATCAGATGTTCGATCAGATGTTCACTCATATGTTCGCCTTTACTAATACTTGTCCATTTTTGCTATTTTCTGGATTGCTTTTCCCATACTTTTTCGAGAGTGCTGTCACAATCGAAGGTATTGGAATAAACGTAAGATTAGAGGGAACAACAACCAACTCAACTGATCGGGTCACATTTGAAGAAATGAGAAAATGTTGATGCAGCACTATTTCCACAATTTTCGGAGTGTGAAATTTTTTTCTGCATCCTGTTTCATAACTTTAGCTACAGCCATTTCAAAATCCTCCTGCGTCACGTGCACTCTTCTTTCTCGTAAGGCAAACATTCCTGCTTCTGTGCAGACAGCTTTAACTTCTGCTCCTGAACAGTTATTCATATCAGTTGCAATTTTGGCCATGTCTATACCTCTCATTAAGTTCATTTTTCTACTGTGTATTTTTAGTATTTCAATACGTGCTTCTACATTTGGATTTGGGAATTCAATTTTTCTGTCGATCCTACCAGGTCTCAATAAAGCTTCATCAAGTATATCAATTCGGTTAGTGCACATGATAACTTTAATATTTTGTGTGGATTCAAATCCATCTAACTGATTTAATAATTCCATCATAGTTCTTTGTACTTCTGAATCCCCATGTTCTCCTTCAATTCTCTGGCTTCCAATAGAATCAATTTCATCCATAAATATTATCGATGGTGCATGTTCTCTAGCCATTACAAATAATTCTCTTACCATTCGTGAACCTTCACCAATATATTTCTGAACAAGCTCAGAACCAGACACTCTTATAAAAGTACAATCTGTATGATGTGCTACAGCTCTTGCTAGTAAAGTTTTCCCTGTTCCTGGAGGGCCATATAATAATACTCCTTTTGGTTGTGATATACCTAATGATTCAAAAATTTCTGGATGTTTAACTGGTAATTCGATTACTTCCTTTACTTCTTTCACTTGTTGATCCAAGCCACCAACCATTTCATAAGTGGAGTCTGGTACTTTTTCTACTTTCATTAAAGAAACAAGTGGATCTACCTTGCTAGGTAATATTTTATGTAGTTTATATGAATCATTATATAATGCTACTCGAGTGTTCGGTGTGCATTGTGAAATATTTATACTATGTGCAATATCAACCACATATTTTCCTTCTGGGTTAATTTTAACTAATACTTTATTTTTGCCCATAGGTTTAACAATTTCACCCACATAGGATGCTGCTTCCAGAAGGTACTGAATTTCATCACACAATTCTCTTACTCTTGTGTTTAATTCATTTCTCTGTGCTTCCAGACGTTTTTTGTTTTGTAATTTTTTATTGATAATCGATTCATATTCTTCTATTTTCATTTCATAGTAAGTTTTAACTCCTGATTGTATTTCCTCTTCATTTTTGTTTCCATTGCATTTGTTGTTTTCTTTTGGGGAGCCCTCGCACGGTTCTCCCGATCGGATCTGCATATCGACAGCTGCCATACGTACGGGTGGCGATGGTGCTAGAAGTGGTGTTGGAAGTGCTGCTAGAAGTGGTGTTAGAAGTGCTGCTAGAAGTGGTGATGGCAATAGCACTCGTGTTGACTATGGTTATAGATCCTGGTGGAGAAATCCCTCTTAGGCAGTTCCAATTTGAAATTCCGAATGGATGATCGCGTGTGCACCACCCGTTCCCTTTCTAGAAGACACAGTTCTCACAAGTACGTAAAGAGAGATATGTAAAGAAAATAAGAGCAGCGATGAATATCGTGTTGAATGTATGTTCTAGTGACAAACATATCGTATGTGTTTTTGAGTTCAACTGATTCTTGATGTAGCAGAATGATACATTGAAAATAAATGAAAAAAAAAAGGAGGAAAAAATTGAAAACTTTGGTAATGGGAATAACTAGGAGAAAAGTTGTTTTTAAAAGTAAAAGATTAAAAAAGTGTGAGAACACATTCAAGGTATGCTTGGATGCAGAGGTGTGCACAATATGCATATACATTACATTTACATGTTTATATACATGTATATGTTTTTGTATGCAAAAATATATGCACTTTTTCCAATCTGCAAGAACGATCAATTTTGTGTAATGTTTTGCTTTTCATTTTGTACTACCCATTTCCTTTGATTTTCAGATGATGACCGATAATATTTGTACTTTTTTTTTTTTTTTTTTCTTTCCGTGTTTAAATAGTTACATCTTTTACTAGTGAAAACTGTGGTTTTAGTAAACGTCATGTTGCGCTAAGTTTTTTTTTTTTTTTTTTTTTTTTTTTTTTTTTTTTTTTCTCTTAATTTTGTATGATCATTTTACCTTTCCCGGGCACGACACTTTGCACTTTAAAAAAACTTCCATGTGCTGTTAGCCTTTGGGTATTTCGAATGAGTTGCTCTAAAGAAATTTTTTTTTTTTTTTTTTTTTTTTTCTTCCATTATGGAATAACGAGCTGTTTACACTTGACGATCCTCTCTTGTTTTATTTTATTATATTTTATTTTTGTCACATAGGTTTGTTTATTCTTTAGTGTTCAGTTTTTCATGCTATTCAGCCATTTATGCTGTTCTGCACCTTTTTTTATCTTTCCTTTTTTTTTTTTTTGTGCTCTTCTTCTAATTTATTGGTTACATATGCTCGCTCTACTAAATGTCTTACATATTTTGACACGTAAACAATCCTACACATGTTCCCCTTTTCCATTTTTCGACAAACATATTATATGTTAATATCCCATAACATTTTAACAAAAAAGGAGCAAGAGAAAAGAAAGATTAAATTAACTATTTTTTTTTTTTTTTTTTTTTTTTTAGAAGAACACAGTTGTTGAGGACATAATTTATCATTTTCCATTTTAGAAAAAGAAAAATATTCTGCGTCATTTTTTTTAGTACATTTTGACATAAAGTCTATTTTATATCTCTCGCTACGTGACACTCTCGTTTCCAAGGAACACCACCTCATATATGCATATATACACATATACACATATACACATATACATATATACATATGTAATTATTTTTGCTTATATTGCACCATTCTTACGCCATCCCCTGAACGTGTGGAATGGATCCCCTTACTCCTTTCCCCTCTCCTTCCATGTGTTTTCCACACAGGAACAAAAATGTACACCGAAAAAGGTGTGCACATTTACATTCTGCTCATTTCAGTTTTGTTTCGCGAGTAACCTTGACTAAATAAAATGAGCGTGACCATTTTGAATTCAATTTTCGGGAGTGCTCACTTTTATATTTATTCCGTTTCTATCCTTTTTTATATTTTATGTATCTTTTGCCTTAAAAATGGGCACAGGTGGGACAAGGTGATAGACTTAAGCGTGTTCTGCAGAAAATGATGATACAACAAATTTGGCAAAATGGACTAAAATAGAACAATGCGAATGTGAAGTGATACGAAATAATGCGAAATAAAATAAGCACACCTTTTGGCATGGTCAAATGTGCAATAATGTTAAGGGAATTGATATAAAAAAAAAAAGGGGAACGGTTAAGATTTTTGCTCCAGTGCAAATAATTCAAATGGGGGAAAGGTTAAAATTGTTGCTCCAGTGAAAATAAGCCAAATGGAGCGTATAATATCATGGTTTTAAAAAAAAAAAAAAAAAAAAAAAAAAAAGGAAAAATGATAAAACGATAAAACGATAAAACGATAAAACGATAAAACGATAAAACGATAAAACGATAAAACGATAAAACGATAAAACGATAAAACGATAAAACGATAAAACGATAAAACGATAAAACGATAAAACGATAAAACGATAAAATGATAAAATGATAAAATGATAAAATTTTAAACAAGTATTAAATAAATGGCATAAAAAGGTAGAAAATATATATTAGAGAACATTTAGCATATTACGACTAAAGATATATAAACATGTATATCCAGTGTAGGCAGTTACACTTCCGTTGTCCATATAAGTTATTTACCCATATGTGTAACCCATTGACGAAATGCCATATTTTGGTCTACGGGAGATGGGAGGAGGGAGGATTCATGTAATTTTATTTTTTATATCCTTCATTTTATGTGCATCGTTCACTGCTAACCATTTTGTCTGCTTATTTCACAGCTAGCCATTTTGTTAGCTTATTTCGCTGCTGCATTGGTTTTTTTTTTTTTTTTTTGGGGGGGGGCCCTATTTCACCTGCACAGTTCAGAAATTGTGTATGGCCCCAGTACTCGCCTGTGAAAAATCAGAGCAGCGTTATGAGGAACTGTTCTGGAATTATTAACCACATTTAGAACATGTGTATAAATGTGACTAACGAATTTATTATTTGCATTCAAAGTCTGTTTCATTAAGACGTTTAAATTAATATCATCCAAGGTGGTAAGAAGGAAGTTTATTTTTTTCACATTATTCAATTTGATAAAATAAAATGAATCAGCTGTTTGTGCAATATTTTTTTGTTTGCAATTATTTAAGTAGAAATATAAATCCCTTACGAAACTCCAATAGGTGTATAAAAAAATTAAAAGCTGTGATTTGTGTAATGGAAGAATAAAATTATATCCATTTGGTATTACTTGTCTGTTATGATAAAAAAGGCTGAATTGGGAAAGTAGCTCATAAATACTGTTCAATGTTAAAAATAGATGGCGTATGAATAATATGTTTTCTTCCTTTGTATATTGCAGTGTTAGGATATTGTAAAGGTACCCTGCGTGTGCATACATTAAATTGGATATCGTTTGGTTCATAAGGCGAAAAATGGATGAATATCTACACCCTTCGTTTAAGTAATGTTGATAATGCTGCCAATTCATGTATGTGTGCTTCTTTTTGTGATCCAAATTTCCATACTGGTAAAATTCTTCAAAAAGAAGGTGGTTATTTTTCAAAAGCAGTAGACGTTTTGACAAAATGGAAAATTGCAGCTTGATAATTTTTGAAAAATAAAAATAGTGTGGTAATAAAGAATGCATATTTTTCACATAAGCCAAAAAAAACATAGGAACTATTTCAATCAAAGATGCTTTATTCTTGGTGAATAAAATATATTTCTCTTCCTGATTATATAACAAATATAGAGATACATATTTCTTTACTTTTCGCATGAACAGTAAGGTAAAAAGTTTTTTATTTTCAACATTTTCCCAATATTTTGACAACTTGTGAAAAATGATGGATAGTTGAAATATATCAAATGACGTAACTCTTCTGAACACTTCTGGATCTACCAGTGTGAATAAGATCCCGATACCACACTTAAACTCAAGAAGGGCTTCTATAAGTTGACATAAATCGATATTGTTCATTTGCGGAAGAATTTTTTGTATATTTTCATGAAGAAAGGTAGTAAAAGTGGAATCATGTGTACATTGTGTTTTAACCTTGGACAATACATTCATAAGTATGCAAAAGGTTCTTGGGAGAAGAATTTCCATTGATTTGTAATGGATATCACTTAATGAAATGGGTGTGAATGTAGTAAATTTATAATCCTCATAGTGTTGTCCATTTCTATCATTTTGTATGTTTGCTTCTTCATTGCGAACGTTTCCTCCAGGGGCACAAATTGCATGAGAATTTATTTTCTTATACTGATTATCTTCATAATTGTTATTATTTGTCATAATATATCTCAATAAAGGAACAAAATTTATACCTCTCTTCTTTGATGAAAACACTTGTAGAATATCAATCCAAATATTTATATCATTATGAACATGGACCTTTCCTTCTTTAATCAAGTGAATAATATGATCATATAATTCTTTCAGGATATAATTACATTTTTCATGTTTTTTAAAAGTATGAACAATGTTTGGTATGTATGTCGAATCGATATACCCATTTTTCAATAACGGTTTAATGATATGTTCATATAAATGTTTCAAATGAGGTGTATCCAAGAATATATTTTTTGTATATGGAATGATGTTTTTTAGTAATGTACATTTGTCTGTTTCTTCGCTGTATCTATTAAAATGTAGGATGATATGTTCTACATTCCTTTTTATTATTTGTTTATCAATGATTTTTTTTTCTAGGAATTTCCCCTTAATTATGTTGCTTACAATTTGCTTGTTCATTGTGGACACCCCTTCCTCCTTCCCTCGCCTCCTCTTCTCCTTCACACCATTCCCTCAAAGTAGGAACAAACATGTGTATACCCTTCTCCTGTTCTTGTATATTCATAGAAGAATGTAAGAATATATATATATATATATATATATATGTTTTTGCCCTTGTCGCACAAACAAACACACCTTCGATATCTGGTTTATTATTCCGTTGTCCAAACTTCCTCCGTCTTCCCCCAACTGATCCTCTAGGGCATTTTGTGATGTGCATGTGTCTATTTCGGTTGTGGTGACCGCTTCAAATTTATAGTGGTCCAATTTTATCGTGGTCCAATTGTATAGTGGTCCAATTGTATAGTGGTCCAATTGTATAGTGGTCCAATTTTTTTTTTTTCCTTTTTTTTTAATAAATGTCCATCAAAAGGGAGCGTGTGAGAAGGTCGATAAATTGTGCATACCCCTTAGCATATCGCATCACTTCTAACGATATATCATGATATCGGTTCTAATCATGTCTCATCACGCCACTTTTCATCACATTATGTATGCATCTGTTTGGCAAAATTTTTTGGTAAGGATCTGGTGCAAACCAAAGAGTGTGTCCGAGGATGTGTTTTTGTTGAACATCTCTTAAAAGAAAAAGTTCCCTTTGCGAACTTATCGGTGCTATGCACACACATATATATATTACATTTTATGTGAGTCCTGATAAAATGTAGCAGTTCAAACTGATTGGTTCGTGGTCAAATAGTGGAGAAAAAAAAGAAAAAAAAGAATAAAAAAATTTCAAAGGAGACACATAAAATGAGTTTTATGCTACAGCAGATTTTGTATACACTTCTTAGGGTGTATGCTTATACACATGTATATACGGCTCTTTTTTTTTTTTTTTTTTTTTTTTTTTTTTTTTTTTTTTTTTTTTTTTTTTTTTTTTTTGATTTTTATAATATGAATTCAAGAATGCATGTGGAAAATAGTACTTTTCTGATGGTATAGGGAAGTTATTTACATAAAGAACATTTTCTTAACAATTTTAAAATGCCAAAATTATGCAATTTTAAAAAAATTTATTTCTGTTTTTAAAAGCATGGAATTTGCAGAAACAGTCATCAAGGAAATATCATTTGCACATTTTATTTTCAAATTTTTGTTACAAAAAAAAAAAAAAAAAAAATAATAAATTTATTTAAATTTTTATTAGAATAACAACACACTCTAACACTACCACACCCCTCTCCTTTTTATTATTTTTATTTTTACCCATTATCTTTTTTTATTGGACTCTAAATTTTATTTTTATGCAGCAATTGTCGTAACATTTTTTTTCACGACATGTAGACTCTCAAAAAGGGAAAAGAAAGTATACCCAAAAAATTTTTTATGCATAAATAGATCGGATCATGTATTTTTTACATGGGTGCTGGCATGGGGAGATGATAATAATTACTTCCTTACTTCTCAGATTTATATCTTCCATAGAGTTGCAAAAAAAAAAAAAAAAAAAAAAAAGGGAAGCGAAAATCCTCGTGCAATATGCACATATATGTGAAAAAATGGATTTATGAATGTATATATATGAACATATATATATGGTAAAATATATTGTGTATGCTTTTTTTTTTATTATTTATGAGAACCCATTTTTTTTTTTTTTTTTTACAGCCTTCAATCGCGTGATGAAAACACATTCCTTCTATTTTTATTTTACTTTATTTTTTTTTAAATCAATTGCAAAGTTGTTAAAAATAATTATACATTCAGCAAAGTTGCTTCCATATGTTGTAATATATTATATAAAACACTACTTTTTTTTAAAATAAAAGAAAAAAAAAAAAAAAAAAAAAAATACATTTACCATTTGAATGGCAATATTGTTTTGTTTTATTTTGAAGATGAGGGGGGGGGAGTGAAATAAAAGAAAATGACAATTTCATTCTCGAATTTATTTTATTGTTGCTTTTTTTGTTGTCACACCATTTTTTAACTGTAAGTAAAAATTATTTTTCATTCGCACCTCCCAATGTGACACAGGCATAACTTCTGATGTGGTTATTTTTAGAAACACCTTTTTGTATATATGCTTATATATATATGTATATATATATATATATATATATATATTTTTTTTTTTTTTTTTTAATGTGCAAATTTTCATGTAAGAATTTCTGTAGGCACAGTTATTTTGCATCCAAATTTAAAATTAAAATCACGTAAGGAGGAAAACGTGTAATGTGAACTGAACAGAAGAAGAAGGAGAACACTTTTTTTTTTTTTTTTTTTTTTTATTTTGAAAATAATAATATTTTTTAAACTTTTATTTACATCCCTTTTGTGTAATACAACAATGGAATATAAAAAAACGAAAAGAACAAGTCAATACATTTTTGAAGGAAGTAGGCATGCGGTTAAGGTAAACAAAGAACACTATGGAACATAATAAGAGAATGTTATGCATATGGAATTTCTGTTCACATTTTAAATCTTACTACTTCTGAAAGACTCAGATATGATATTGTAAATCTGTGTGCCTCCTTAAAGAAGGGCTATACAATTGAGAAATGCATGCGTTGTAAGAGCGAGACAAGTGCATATCTGGTCGTCACTCCAGCAGCACTGCATATGCTTCACCACTACTTTACCCCTTGCAGAGACAGAAAATGAATGTAAGCCCAGAGTGCAAAGGTATACTGATATCAACCCTGAGCCCGAAACGGATGACCATAGGAATAAAAGAATTTTTAAATTTTTTGAAAGTTAATTTTCCAATAGATGAAGACAAGAGGGAGGAAGTAAAAAATGATGAAAAACCAAATGGAGGAGAAGAGAAGGATGAAAAGCAAAATGGGGGAGAAAATAAGGATGAAAAGCAAAATGGGGGAGAAAATAAGGATGAAAAACCAAATGGAGGAGAACAGAAGAATGAAAAAGAATCAGAAAAGAAAAGTTATAGTATAGAAAAACAATTTAATAATGAAATTGAAAAAGAAAATAAGGAATACAATAGATTTGCACCTCTTCGAAATATAATAAAAAATTTTACTTTTATCAAATTTAACAATATGTATGATAAAAGCCCATCAGATATTGTTCAGGAAATTTTTGTTTTAGCGCATAACAAAAAAGAAAAATATATTCTTAGACACTTGTGCAAAATTATACCACTAGATTGCATATGTAAACCTCACATATCTCCATTCACAAAATCTATTCTTCCAATAATGAAAAAGAATTTTTCAAGAAGTACTTGTGTTCAGAAAAACTTTACAGTCTCCCATTTGCTGAAGTTGATGAATGTGTCAGTTGAGAAGGAAATAAGTGAAGAGGTAGAAGGCGAAGAGGTGGAGGGCAAAGAGGTGGAGGGCAAAGAGGTGGAGGGCAAAGAGGTGGAGAATGGCATCAAGACTAAAGAGGTAAGTGAAGTGAGACAAGAGGTTCATATCAAAAAGGATGAACAGGAGAATGAAAGTGAACAGAAGAAGGATCATGCAAAGGAAGAGCAAAAAAATTCAAATGTGAATAAAGATGTTCCTGAAAAGAAATTATCGTGGGCCTTAATCTACAAATGCTCGAACACAAAAACATTATCAAAGAGAGATGTTTTGACAGTTCTGGATAATTGCATAGGAAATAATTATTCTGTAAATCTGAACAACCCTGACTTGGCCATAGTAGTTTATGTTACTGAGGTTCGGTTCTGCATTGCAATTTGTGTGAGAGAAAAACCAGTTGAGAAAAACCAATGAAGTTTGTGATGTAGTGTTTCATATTTTCCTAGTTTTTCTTTACTGCACTGTGTTAGTATACCCTTTTGTGGAATAATTTTCCTTAGGGTCTTTGATCAAAAAAGGTGCATTGTATGTGTGTAGGTTTTAACAGCTAATGCATTTCGAAAAACATGAACACATGTACATGTAACCCTAGTGTTATTCAACATTTTGCAACCAGTTTCCACCATCACACCACCCTTTCACTTTCTTTTTTTTTTTTTTTTTTATTTACAGATAATGTGTGGGATCAGTATTGTGAAAGGTTACGGGAAGACGAGAAAGTTTAACATCTCTGCGTTTAATGAGGATTCTTGAATGGGTGACCACCCCCAGCGCATCCACTTGCATATGTATATATGTACACACACATATATATATGCACATTCAGATATAAACATATCATGCACCCGTTTGAGTGTTTGAATATGTAAGTGGATCCGAAGTGACTCTACATACGCATGGGTTTTTTTTTCTTTTTCTTCTTCCACATCTCTCCTGTCTACCTTCACTGAAGCTTTGAAAAGGAAAAATTAATGTAATTTTAATATTCTATTCACGTCTGTAAAATTAGAATTTGAGTTTTAATTCATATCATATAAAATTAATGTGCCTATGCTATGTCCCTCTGGGAATTTTACACCATTATAAAATTATTAATTTATTTTTTTTTACCATTTTTATGAATACCTTTTTTTTTTTTTTTACCACCTTTATGAATAGTTTTTTTTTACCATTATTAGGCTTTTTTTTTTTTTTTTTTTTATTTTTATTTTTTCATTCCTTGTGAACATTTTTAAAACCGTTAATTGAAAAATTGAAATTTTTTTACACAACCTTGAGATGCTTCATTTTGTCTTTATTTTACTCGTCGCACATTGTATTGTTATTGTACCCAATTTTTTGTCACACTTTAACGTAATATGAATTTTTTTTTTTTTTTAAATCCTTATTTAGTTACTTGGAACCTTTGCATAAATAGATATTATGCATATCAGATCCATAAGAAAATTTAACTTCCTAACATTTTTTTTTTTTTTATTTTTGAATGCTGCTGTTTTTAAATAAATTTGCCATTTTTAATGCCAGGATGAGGTGGAGAAGCGTTGAGAATTTTTTCCAATAATATTTTATTTTTATAAAAAAAACTAAGTGCCTTGAGAAACAGCGTGCTCAAATTTTTTTAGTTGCTTTTTTTAACTGCGTTTTTTTATTCTTTTTTTTTTAGTCGTTTTAAAAGCTTGTAGACAGTTTTACATATATGCCTGCCCACAGCAAGGAATGAGGGATAGAAAAACAAATTTTCTTACGTATCTTTTTTAAGACCGTCTCTAAAGAGGGAACTTGTTGAAAAAAAATGAATGTAGAAGAGGAGCTGCTAAAATTGCTTAAGAAGATGAAAAGGAAAAATAGAAAACATGAAGGTTCTAAGGAAAAAAACTTTACTTGTGACATGTGCCAGTTTGATGATGATACATTTTCATCCGACTTGTACATGGTGAAAGATGTCGTACACGACAGCGCGACGATAAAAGATGTGGCAAATAAATATAAAAATGTTTATAACAATTTTGAAAATGACATAAACTTCTATTTAAGTGAATATGTTGAGGATGTAATATACTCATCTGTTAAGACCAAGAAAAAGAAAAATTATAACATCCAAATGGGTGAAGAAACGTTTAATAAACCATCAAGCATAATTTATCAGCACTTGAACTATGGCAATTTGATTGGTGAAAAATTGAGGTGTTATGAATTTAGTTCGAGGTATTTTACTACTGCTTTGGATGAAAATGATTCATGGTAAGTTCACCACACGTGCGCATGGTCCTATGGACATATCCTGTAATCATGTGATCATATGGTCATGTGGTCATATGACGATGATGTCATTAAGAGACACGTACGCATGAATGCCTGTGTACTTTTTTGTATACGGCGAGAATGCACATGTCTTGCCTTGTTCATGTCGTTGATCCACATGTTCACATGCAAACCGCGCTGGAATATATAGTTTTTCAGATTCTTCTACTAGTTCGAATGACAATCAAGAGGGTAAGGAATCTCACTTGAAGGACATAACAAAATGGGGTCAAATAGTGCAAGAACGGTAAAATGTATAGTAAAAACGTAAAAGAAAAAAAAACAAAAAAGATTACTCAGAGTCGTTATGCTTCAAGATGAAGGCATAACATATGTTTTCACTTGAATGAAATGGACTATTCGAATTTAAATGACATATACTAACTTCCCCACCCCCTTCTTCCTCTTTTTTTTTTTTTTTTTTTTATTTTTGATAAGAAAGATGAACAAGTGTTTTAGCTAGTTCTGTTCTTAAGAATATATTAATCAAATTTCTCATTACTTGTCTGAGAAATAATTTCTAACGTACATTTCGAAGATTTGGATTATAGGTTCTGTTGATGTATTTTTAAAAAAATGCTTTACATTTTATTCTTTTAGGAAGCATTTGCATAATAATCAAGCTAGCTAAAATGTGTTTTTTTTTTTTTTTTTTTTTTTTTTTCCTGGTTTCTTCGTGTATTCACCTGAACAGTTCATGTGATTTTGAATAAACCATACGCATGACAACTTGGAGATACATATTCGAATGTCTATTTTTACACTAGTTCGCTATTTTATGTAATTTCTTACATTTTCTTCCTTTTCATTTATTAAAGGAGGAAAAGGGACTAATTGTTGACACATAGTAAGGACGTAAGGGAGGGGTAAACACAAAGGGTTTATTTAAACCTAGGAAGGATCAGTATTAATCAAATGGGTAATGTTCATTGTGCTTTTTCTCATGAAATAATGTTGTAAAACAAGTTCACCACTGTGTGATATGTACAGTGTTATGTTTGTTTTGTGTTTACTCGTGTGATGTTCCTATTTGTTTTTGTTTTTCTGTTCACTTGAGGGGGCAAGAAAAATGTTCTTATTCCCTATTGGTAGATATATATAAATTGAGCCATATCAGTATAAGCTACAATATTCTTTTTATTAACACATGATACATTGAAAGAAGAAAATGTAATAAATGAAAAATAAAAACAGTGTTCAATTTATTATAGAATTTATTCAATATATAACCCTTTGTTCAAGAATCAAATGTGGTTTTGCTCTTGAATAAATATACATTAAAATATTTTGAAGTATTTTTTTTTTTTTTTTTTTTTTTTTGAAGTTTTCAACCATGTATATTCTTCTGAGCACAACTGAAATTTTGTGAATAAAGAGTTTTGTTTAATATACTATCTCGTTTATTCTCTAAGAACTGTTTTATAACAATTCCTTCGCGCTTTCTTTTGGGTTTATATATCTTTTAATATATACCTATAGAATTGTCGTTTTTCGGGTCCAATCTCCACGTATACGCAAGAAAAAAAAAATAAAGTAAAATAGAATAAGCAGATAGAACATGCATGAACCTGACAAATGTTAAATGGATTGACATAGGTGCTGTGCTGTGCTATGCATTTTATGCAAATGTGTATATCAAGGTCAGGTATAAAAAAAAAAAAAAAAAAAAAAAAAAAAATAGGAAAGTGGCAAAATGGAAAAATGGTAAAATAAGGAAATGTACTACAAGTTTAGTTGTCCATATTGACCTTTTAAAGAAAAAAAAAAAAAAAATTTTACCTTCAATAAGAATGCAGCAATAATGAAAACTCACAGTCATTTGCTTAAAGCCGCCTTGCGGGGAGTAGGTGCTATAATTTTCATTTTTACACTTTTTCATTTTTTCACGTTTTCACGTTTTCACTTTTTTATTCTTTTGCTTCCCCCCTTTGAAATGATTCACAAAGTTTACGGATGCGAACAAAAAGGCAAAGGACAAAAGTTTAAGAAAGAGGAACATCAATACGCAAAAACGCGTGAAACATTTCAAAGGAATATTCGTAATATTTCTATCTCTCTCTTTTGCAAGGAATAAATTTAAAAAAAAAATTTTCCTCACTTGTTGCTGCTTGGTCATTATTTAATATGCTCTTTGGGAGGTACGCCCCCCCCCATGCTACTTTGGAATTTTTAATATTCACAGAACCATGCGTAATGTGCACTAAAACACATGTTATACACATGTAATATTATATTTATAAGAATATACAAGTGTACGACACATATGCATGTTATATATATATATATATAATACACATAATATGTAGTAACTTTTTTAATTTGTAGCATCATGAAAACAAATATTTGCCACACCACACCTCCTCCTTAAACCTCCTTTTTTTTTTAATCTTTTTATTTTTCACAAATTTATTCTATTGTAGGACTTTTTTTTTTTTTTTTTTTTTTTTTTAACTAATAAATTGTAGAATATCATGAAGTTACGTTAGCGTGAAAGGTCTTGGAAGATCTGGACGTATTTCACATCAACCACATGAATTTTTTTTACCTTCCTCATTATGACGCATAATTACTCCGTATTTTTTGCCCCATTTATTGCCTCGTATTTTTTGCCCCATTTATTGCCTCGTATTTTTTGCCCCATTTATTGCCTCATATTTATTGCCCCATTTATTACGCCTTCATTTTGATAACCCACTCGAATGATTTATTTTTCAGTTTTATGTAACTACTTGGAATATATTTGAAGAACCTAAATAAATTACCTGTATAAATTCCTATTTTTGTAAATGCTAATCTGTAGCATACACATTTTATTCTTTTTTTTTTTTTTTTTTTTTTTTTTTTTTTTTTTTTCCCTTTTTTGTATGTATATGTTCTGTCATTATATATACAATAACCCCTACTGTGCGCATGCAAAATTGTGAAAAATCTTAGAATGTGTTTTTTTTTTTTTGTTTCCATTCCATTTAAAATTCATGAAAAAATATAATTGAAAGTAAAAAAAAAAAAAAAAAAAAAAATAATGCAAAAATTATAATAATGAGTGAAAAGGAGGCAAATGAACTGAAAGATGAAAATTGTGCAAATTCTTCGCGGGAAGACAGTGACAAGAATAGCAATGGTAATAGCTTCGAGATGGATTTTGAAATTGTAGTACCGGAAGGAATGTCGCAAGCATCATGTGGAATTGAGAAAATAGGAAAGGAATATAAAAATAAATGGATTCACAAAGGGAATGATAATACATCAGCTGATATAAAATTGGAAGATAAGGAACGATGGACAAATAATGATGTTTATGAAGACCAAAGAATTCACACAGAGGAATTAATCAGTGATTGCAAAAATGGGAAGACACATTTACAGGATGATGGATTGTACTCAACTGAAGAAAAAAAAAAAGAAAGAGAAAATAATCACGTAATGAAAAAAGAATTTCATAAAATAATTAATGACAATATTATGGATAAGCTGGTTCATAGAACATTTAACAATATTATGAAGGACACATCGAATGAATGTGGTTTTATTGTTACTCCCGATACCCCTGTAGCACGTGGTACCGAATGTCACCACAGTAACCATAAGAGAAGTGCACCATTGTTTGACAATCCTGTTGTAAAGAAAGAAAAGATAAATACAATAAAAAAAGAAAAGGAAGAAAAATTTGAAACTGACCATAAACATGTAGGCTACAATGTTGTCAGTAGTACATGTGGAAACAGAACTAAAACAAGGATTAAAAATGAACCTGTAGGAATAGTGGAAATGGAAATGGAAATGACGGATGATGAATCACTGCTTGAGTATTCAAGAATGGACAATAATTCATATCTGCAGAAAGGAAGGTATAGAAAAAAATTCGAAGATGAAAATGATATTGAAATGTTTCCATATGAAGCTGAAGGGGAAGAGAAAGTGGAAAAGTACACGAAAAAGAATAAACTGATTTATGGGAAAGAGGAAAAGAGTGATAGGATCATTGGCAAATTATCTGATTTTGATTCTGTTATAATTGATGAAACGTTGCCAGAAATTCCTTTAGGCAGCAATTCGGATAGAAAAGACAACAATGTCATACATAAGGATGAAAATGAAGCAAACAATAAAGAATATTTGCACGAAATTTCAAGCATAATTTACGACAAAAATGGAAATGATAACTATATAGATGAAGAAAACCAAGTAGGAATTGACCAACTTTCATTCAATAAGAAAGAAAAAGGATATAAAAATAAAATAAAATTCCCATCTATTTATGAAAACAACAGAGAAGAATGGTTTCAAGCCAATGAAAATGATGAATGGATGGTTCATAAGTTATGTGATTGGATATATAATGTTAAGGATAAACTGTACTTTAATTTACAAACTCAAGGAATCTATTACACCAAGAAGAATGGCGAATTTTTGAAATTTGAGAACTCATTCCACGAAAGAGAAGATACAGTTGAGAATGAAAAAGAGGTCTCAAGAGAGACTCCAAGTAATTATAAAAGTATGAACAGAAGCGAAAATAATTCCCTCAGTGAATCAGAGTTTGATGATGCAGATATGAATAGAAAATATAAAGCTCGTGCATATTGTAAGGACTTATCTAACAATGATGACTATGAATGTATAGACGTCGACACCTTGAGATGGAATGATAATAAAGATGTTAAACCTAGTGCTAAGGATGAACATGGTAGAAATATTGCTTCTAAAAATATATATAAAGATGACAAAAGAAAAAAAAAAAATTGTAATCCTGGAAATGGTCACATGTCACGTGATCATGATGAGAGAATCAAGAACGTGAGTATAAATTCATTGCATGCAAGCTACACACATGATAATCAATCACATGATGAGACAGTTGAAGAATTCAGCATGGTTTTAGAGGATGATTTAGTATGTGGAACTTATAGTGAAATGGGTATTCATAATAAAGGAGGAAATGAAGATTTTTATGTTACAAAAGATATTTTAGATCTGAATGATATATCAGAAAGTGATGGTTTGTGTTTCTTCAGTGGTGTATTTGATGGACATGGTGGATCTAATTGTGCAAGATATGTAATGTCTCATTTGAAAACAAATTTGATTGCAAAATTTCGACAATCCTTTTTAATTACATGTAAGAAACAATTTAAAGAAAAGACATCAAAATTAAATGATTTAAGTGTTGAGATAAGAGCACTTTATGACAGTTGTATTAAAGGATTTGATATGACTGATAAGAATTATATTGAATTGTCAAAGAAATATGATTATAGAGATGGTTCTACAGCATGTGTGGTTTTAATTTATGGACCTGATGATGACGGGTCGTTAAAAGTGTTATGTGCAAATTGTGGAGATTCTGGTGCACTAATTTGTCACAATAGAGATCCGGTTAAACTATCCTTGAGACATAAGCCAGATTTGCAAGAAGAACGATTAAGAATATTGAAATGTGGAGGTATAATAGCTAATATTAATGGAATTAATCGAATCATAACAAAGCACAATGTTAAAGATAACAAAAGTAGAGAAAAAACATTTTTAGCTTTATCTACATCTAGATCATTCGGTGATATTTCTTACAAAATCCCGAGAAAAATTGTTCTTTCGAAACCTTTTATTAGCATATATACCATTGATTTTGATTTGGATTCATTTCTGGTTCTTGCTACCGATGGAATTCTAAATGTATTAACAAATAAGGAAATTATTGATATAGTATGGAATAATATACATCGCAAACCTGAAGAAGCCGCAGAAGAAGTTGTCAAGGAGGCAACAAAGCGAGGATCCACAGATGACAAAACTTGCACCGTTATTTTTTTTTATTGGAGGAAGGATATTTTTAGAGATGCACCTGAAGATGTTAACCCGGACCCCTCCTCCCCCCTTGAGGACTCAAAGGCAGAGGTATGTGTCACCACCCAAGGCGGTCATGCTGATACGCGGTCGTGTTGATACGAGGTCGTGTTGATACGAGGTCATTCTGATACATGGTCATGCTGATACACGGTTATGTAGTTTTGCATGTACATTTTTATGACGCCTTGCACGCATCTACGAAAGACCCTGTTGTTTCAGTTTATTCCCCTTTTTTTTTTTTTTTTTTTTTTTTTTTTTTTTTCTACTTTTTAGGACATCAACATGTTTTCGGAAGTTTTCTGACTTGTTCAGGTAATTTTAAAAAATTTGGAAAATCACCTGACCATGCAATAATTCCCGTGTTATATGCTAATATTTTTTTAAAAAATGGGGATAGGCGTACTTAAAAAGAAAAAAATGTTCATTGCATTGTGTGTAAAATTTTTGTGGATTTTTTGAAGGGATAGTGTGTGCAGGGAAAAAAGTAAAAAATAAAAGCGGAAGAGAGACATTGTTTACTTGTAAATTATTTCTCCCATTTATTCCTTGTCACGTTTTTTATTACATCACTTTTGCTATTATGCCATTTTTATAATTTTTTTTTTTAAGAGTGTTAAATTTGTTTTAATTTCTTATTTTTTTATGTAACTTTCATCCATTGGTAGTATGCTTTTATCATCATCATTATTGCTGTTATTATTATTATTATTCTTATTATTATTATTGTTTTTATTATTGCTGTTATTATTACTATTGTTTTTATTATTGCTGTTATTATTATTATTGTTTTTATTATTGCTGTTATTATTATTATTGTTTTTATTATTATTATTACTATTATTACTGTTATTATTATTAATATTACTACTATTATTATTATTACTGTTATTACTATTAATATTATTGTTATTATTATTATTTATTTGATTTCCCTTTTTATTGTAAAAGCGAAATTCGGACAAATTTAAAGAAAGACAAAAACAAAAATAAATTGTATAATTGCGAAAATAACATTTTTGCTACGTCTTTTTTCGTATGTTCTTAATAAAATTACATTTACATAATTTAGAAAAAAAATAATAACATTTCGACTACATTTTTTTTCGTGTGTTTGTCGATAAAAGTTCGTTTTCATTTTGCCTATCGGTTATGCCTATTCGTGTCAAGACATAATATTTGTGTGGCTAAGGTATGTGTTATGCATTTGGTACAGTTTGGATCAAAGTTTTCTCTTACGGGATTACGGGTGTAATTCAGGTAATATGGAAAGTCCTTCTGCAGCTTTGATTTGTTCGTAGTACTAGTGGTAGACGTACTAGTGGTAGAAGTACTAGTAGTAGAAGTGCTAGTAGTAGAAGTGCTAGTAGTAGAAGTGCTAGTAGTAGAAGTACTAGTAGTAGAAGTACTAGTAGTAGAAGTGCTAGTAGTAGAAGTACTAGTAGTAGAAGTGCTAGTAGTAGAAGTACTAGTACTAGATGTTGTTATTGTTGTTGTTATTGTTATTGTTGTTGTTGGTGGTAGTGGTGAATGTCTGCGAAATGTACGACATCTGATGCGCGACATTTCATGTGTGGTTCACTCTTCGAGTCTAGGCCACGTGTTCACAACTGCAGAGTTCGAAGGGCATATTTCACTACCAAAATTATGAATAAATGGACACGGGGCCTCTCCAATACTACAAATTTACGCCGCTTCTGTTGCAGCTTTTGCTTTGCTGAGAATGAACTTGAGGGTGGTGATTTGTTCACTTAGACGCAATTTCGTTAAGCTTTTGTAACTGTATGTGAACATAATTCTTGAGCATTGTTTTGTCAAAGGTAACTAATGCACCTCCTTGTATGTAGGAATAATTTTTGATATCCTTAATTAAATGTGCAATTTGTTCATCATGTATAGTTAGAGTTTGGCCAAATATTTTCTTATCTTTTATTTTTACTAGCTGTTGATATAAGTCATTATTCGTGTCCTTAAAGCCGAATGTAATTTCATTTTTCCTGAGTTCCAAGTACAGGAATGGTGATTTTTTCTCGGGATTTAAAATGATGTTCTGATGTAGTTCTCCACATATGTATTCTTTATTTAATACCTTATAGAAATTGATTAGTGATTGCCTATTATTTAACTCGAAAGGTGAGAATTTAAGAATTTCATTTTTCACCTTTTTCATGGTGCAGCTTTGGAATTTTCTGTACGCGTTTGTATATGCATGAATTCGTGCCTGGGCTGGGTCCCTATCAGAAGAGAAATTCTGGTTGTTCAAGTCTCTACTTGTAGAAGTGTCTCTACGTGAAGAAGTATCTATACGTGAAGAAGTATCTATACGTGAAGAAGTATCTATACGTGAAGAAGTATCTATACGTGAAGGAGTATCTATACGTAATGAAATGTCTATAAGTGCAAAAATGTCTGCGTGTCTGCTGGCGCGTACGAAATGCGTACAACTCCGTGCAGCTGAATACTTATACGTGCCTATCTATCTGCGTACACTAACCCAGTTACACATGTCTCAGGTGCAACGAATTGAGTATTGGTGTGCAAGGAGAAAACATCATGTGAGTCACAACTTTGTAGGCCTTTATACTGATGGAAAATTCATATAAAAAGGTTATTGTTCTTATTTAAAGTCGATTACGTAGCGAAAAAAAAAAAAAAAAAAAAAAAAAAAAAAAAAAAAAATTATAAAAAAAAAAAAAAAATTTTAAAAAAAAAAAAAAAAAAAAAAAAAAAAAAAAAAAAATAAAAAAATAATAAATTAAAAAAAAAAAAAAAAAAAAAAAAAAAAAAAAAAAAAAAAAAAAAAAAGAAACACTTTATTAAAGGTTATGTAAATTTTTAGTGGAAAAAGTAGAAGGTTAAAAAAAAAAACTCACTTTTCAAAAGTGTTAGTTGAAGAAAAGAATCAAAAAAAAAAAAAAAAAAAAAGAAGAAAACACGCTAAAATGTAGTGAAATGATAAAAAAAAAAAAAAAAAGAAACGTTTATTTAATGCAATAAATTTTATTTTTTTTTTTTGCTCCCTCGTCAGAACTAAAAAAAAAAAACACATCTTTTGTCACGTTAGCAAAAATAAAATAAAAAAAGAAGACGACGAAAGACGAAACAAATTTTAAATCCTTGAGATAGAAAAATTACTTACGATTTTTAGTCACTCTTTTCAGAGGTCAATTTAACTGAATCTTTTATCCAATTTAAATAGTCCTAGAGAAGGAAAAAAAAAAAAAAAAAATTCATTTTAAAAAATTGTGGGAACAAATTTCCTCTCCCCCTTCTCTGTTACCTCTTTATTTGGACACACAAAAGGTAGGTGTAACGTGGAGATGGTTTATGCGACTTATATATATATATATATATGTACGTTTGTATGTTTGTATGTTCGTATGTTTGTATGTTCGTACGTTTGTATGTTCGTACGTTTGTATGTTCGTACGTTTGTATGTTCGTACGTTTGTATGTTCGTACATTTGTATGTTTGTATATATATATATATATGTATGTTTTTTTATTTTTTTTTTGCACGCGTTCAGAAAATACTTGCCAAAGTAGCTGTTTGGTTCATACGGTTTGCCACTCGAATATGCACAATTATATAAGTGTGCATTAGTTTGCGTGGTACAACTCCTACACATTTATCATTTCAAACGTACCTTACTTCCTTGTATTGGAACAGAAATTACCTGAACAGAAAAAAATATACGAAATGAATGATCATAAAAAGGGGGAAAAAAAAAAAAAAAAAAAAAAAAAAAAGGAAAACAATTTCCTATCTTTTAAGCTACCTCAGGTATTTCATATGGATGATTTGATTTAACTGATTTTACAATTTCGTCAAATAAACTTTTCTTCGTTTTTATCATCATTAAGACTTCGCTATCTTTCTGTGGATGCAAGATGTGCACGTAAAAAAAGAGGAAATAACATGTTTGGAGGGGTGTTCAAATAAAAAATGAGGACATGTAAGGCATATGTAAATAAAAATGTATGAACATGTTCGCCATATGTAAATAAAAATGTATGAACACGTCAGGCATGTGTAAATGAAAAAATATGAACAGATCGGGCATGCGCAACTAGGACAAATAAGAGCAATATGTTTAAAGACACGAATACGTGCCCTTTTCTGTCACAGTACAGCTATCTCCCCTTTCCAATGATATAAACTAGTGACACCTGGAATTATGTTTATGCAACTAGCTAACTTATCTTCTAGCAGCACATTTGAGATCTAAAAAAAAAAAAAAAAAAAAAAAAAAATATGAAAACGTGACAAAATTTCGAAGTTAAGGGAAAATTCTCACATTGAAAAATTTGTTATTTTTGTTTGAAATTGTTTACATCTCCCACTTTGTTCGCATATCACATGGAATGGATCAGTGAGTTCTGTACTCTATACGAGGGGTGGTGACGGAGTTCAACTGCTACACATTTCGTTAGGTTTTTTACTCCGTCCGATTGCCATTTCCACGCCTATTTTTCCATGCGCGAGGTTCATACTTTTTCAGCAACTTCTTTACTAGGAGCGGTCACATAAACAGCTATAAACTTAGCAGGGTCATCCATTTTTATTGAGAAGTTTCTCATATAAGATTTGTTATTTCTGTTGTGACAGATCGTACCTTTTGTCAATAAACTACAATTTGAAATATTATTTATAAAAAGAGAATAAAAAAGTTGCCTATTGCATCGTTTCGTCGTTGCAACAGCTAGCGAAAAGAGCATTGTTAAAACTGTAATTTTGCGCATCAAGTAATACATTTAAAAAAAAAGGGGATAAAATGGAAAATGTGCAAGCTGCTGGATTATTGAATGCGAAAAGGGATAACATATTTGGAATGGGTAAAAATGAAAACAAAAATTTCCAACTCACGTGTAGAAAAAGGGTACTATCTACATATACATGAATTTGTATACATATGTATATTATACCCCTCCTATGTATGTGCAGCACGTAGGGGCGGCGTTACATTTATTTATAGAAAGAGAAACGGACTTACATCGGAGAAAAAAACTCTTTAATGAGATGATATGTTGTTGTGAATGGATATTAACAAAAGTTCTATTTAATCACATATGTTGCATACATAAAAAAAATAAAATAAAATAAAATAATAAAATGGGGATTCTCTCAATATTTTTTTTATTATTTTAAAAGGGTGATGATAATATTGTCGATTTTTTCTTATATAAGAGTGGTAGAGGATTTAGTGGTGGCATTCACATTTTGTACATTTTATATAGATCTTTTGCATTTGTTTAAACTTTAAAATTCTCAATCTGTACTCCACTTCTCTATCCCATCTGTATTTTATTTTTTGTTTTATTTTTTCCCCGCTGCATGGAAATCTGTAGACGAGAAAATTGTGTCACACTGCTTCGCACCCTGCATGATCAGTTAATCGGCTTGCTTGTAGTTCCACCAATCTGATTCTGGATGTGAGGTAAAAAGAGTTAACAAATGAGAAAACGAGGAAAGGTATAAAAGAATTTGCAAATAAAAATAAATTTGGATTTATAGTTATGCAATGATTGAATATACGTATACATGTATGTCCCAATCGACGTGAATAAGGTATTTTTTTTTTTTTTTTGTTTTATCCCCATTTGAGGTATGTGTCAAATCTGTATATGTGTAAACATGTATGTATTTTTTTTTTTATATACACATGTACGTATTTAAAGTTTTTTTTTTTTTTTTTTTTTTTTTTTGGGTGGAAAACCTATGCTATCTTCATCTGTGTTATCGTCCGAATCATTTATGTGAATTAATGTTGGTGGTATTCCTCGAACGGTTAGAGGTAAATGCGTAAAATGAAAATTTTTATTTTTTATGAACTTATATTTTTTGTCTCTTATCAATGTCGTAAATGCTTGAAGTATAGTTTCAGTTAATCCCTGAGAATAGGAGGAAATATCTAAAAATTCTAATGGACAATAAGGGGTGTTCAATGAATTTATAATGGATGATATTCCTTCGCTATTTATATTACAACCTGTCAGATTTAAATATTTTAATCCCTTAAAACAGTTGATAGAAAATGAATTATAAGAATTATAAAAATGATCATTTTTTTTATATATTAAATTTCTTCTTTTTTCTTGCAAATATAAAATTTTGGACGTTTCGCTAGCTCTATTAAAATTTGTTACACCAATACATGAAAAGAAATCATTCTCATCGTTATGTCGACTAGCAATTAAATCTTTTACTTCTTGTATCCTTTGTATATCATTATTTTTTAATTTCATCTTTTTTGATTTCTTTTCCTGCATAGAGATTGATTTATGAATGCAAGTAAAACTGCTTTGAACATTACTTTCGTCAGATTTGAACGTGGATTTTTGTGAGTTTATTTCATTAAATTCTTCGCGCGTATGGTAGCAATCTTTATCAATTTCAGACACATCGTCTGACTTGTCAAGCTTGAAGATATTGTCTTGATCATACATCCCCTTTTTCTTCTGTCTTACACATTCTGTTGCACATTCAGTGTAATCTGATACATGTCCCTTTGTTTTGCAATGTGTAAATAACATGGGTGGTGAAGAATTTCTATGAATCTGCTGAACTTTCAAATAAGTTGATTCTTCTATAAATTTTGATTGCTTAACCAATGCATCAGCAATGTAGATACATGTCAAATTGGTGATAAGATTTTGTGATAGGGATATTTCTGAAATGTTTAAGTTCGTTGATAAGGTATGATAGCAGAAATGCTTGATATTTTCATCTGTTATTTTATTTTTTGAAAGATTTATAATTTTCAATGTTTTGTTATCTTTTAATGATTCGCTTAAGCAGTTTATATCCGATATATCATTATTTGAAAAATCAATGGCTGTAATATTATTTTTTTCATTTCTTAGAAAATCACAAAAAAATTTTAAACCACAATCATTAATTTTATTGTTTGAAAATGTTAATATAGACAAATTATGGGATTTATTCAATTGATTAATTAAATGCATAAAAATTTCATTTCCGTTTTTGTATTTATGGATGTTATTTTTCCAAAAACATATGCTTGATAAATGTAATTCTTTTAAATTAAGTTGTGCATCAAATAAAGTTTTTATGTGTTGTGGAAATAATGTGGATGTGATGTTATTTTCAGAAATGTTTAAATTTTCTACATATGTACAATTTTTAAAAAAATTTGATAAATTGTTGCAATTAATTTTTCCATTTTTTATGTTTAATTTGATTATTCTGTTCTTATCATTCTTAATTACTTGACCTAATTTTAGCAAAACACTGGGGCCTAAAAAATTGTCTGACAAATCCAGTTCGCGCATATATTTGTGCGAATTGGTTTGTCCACTTTTGGGTGTATTTTTTACCTGACTGTTCATGTAAAATTTGTCCCCTAATTTGTTATCATCCTGTGTACCCTTTTGGTTGCATCCTTGAGAATTTTCTTTTTTCGGGGTCAAATTAAGGGGGAAAAATTCCTCTACAATTTCTATTGCCCCATCTGATTTGATCATGTTATTAGACAGGTTTATGGAGGTCAAATGGGGAAGGTACTTTAAGCATTTTGCCAGGGTTTTCACGCTGTCCTTTTGGAAAAAAAAAAAAAAAAAAAAAAAAAGTAGCGATGGTGTGGTAGGTAATGTGTAATATGTATCTGCAGGGGCGTAATAATTCTCTTTTATCAACTCGTCCAAGTCAAGCTGAAAATTTCTTTTGAATATTTTTCAGAGGTATTTATTCTTCTACATTGTAGGGAGTATTTCGATGAATTCGGTTAAGAACATTTTTTTCTAACATTGTTCAAGTCATTGTTTGACAAATTAAGAGTAACTAAATTCCTGCTTCTCAATATGCAGGGGATAAGGATTGACATACCCCAAGGAGTGATTTTTAAGCTTCCAAGTTGTATTTCTTTAACAAGATTTAAATTCGTTCTGTCGCCATTTATTTTTTTTTCATCATATTGTTCATCAGGTTTATAAGTATTCATATTTGACACAAAGTCTGCAATGTCATCTTCGTTTATTATTGGGTTCGAGGAGTATATGACACTGTCTCTTAGTTTTATTTTATGTGACATGGTAATTCTATGCATGTTTTTCGGGGCAGTACAGATGAATAGGGAGATAGTGATATGGAGATAGTGATATGGAGATAGTGATATGGAGATAGTGATATGGAGATAGTGATATGGAGATAGTGATATGGAGATAGTGATATGGAGATAGTGGTATAGAGATAGTGATATGGAGATAGTGGTATAGAGATAGTGGTAGAGACTGAGTTAAAAAGAAAGGAAATAAATAATCAGTGTACTCTTAAGTGTCTGTTAAACGAGCAGAAATTACGCACAATTGTGTGCATCGAGGATATATATTGAAGTAACTAAAATGAGTACGAGCAATGTCTCGTGTTTTCGGTGCAGCCCAGGACACATGAAAAAGGGCACGCAGTTGTTGTGTCAGGTAATTTATGTGCAGATATCATATGAAAAAAAGAGAAAAATAAATTAAAAAAAATATTATTAGAATTGTTCACAGTATATTTATTTTTGTGTAAATCGATTTATCAGTAACAATACGTGCAGGTATAACAATCGTTCGTTTGATTGTTTGATTGTTCGATTGTTTGATTGTTCGAATGTTTGATTGTTTGATTGTTTGATTGTTCGAATGTTTGATTGTTTGATTGTTTGATTGTTCGAATGTTTGATTGTTCGAATGTTTGATTGTTCGAATGTTTGATTGCTGATTTTTTTTTAATGGAATTTATTACATCCTTTTTTGTGTCCTTAAAAAGAATAAGAAAAGAAAAAAGCATATTTCCTGAAATTATTTTCTTATTTAAGCACTGTGTATGGTTTCGTGAAGCGTTACGTATATAGCTGAAGTTGTAAAGACGTTGTACTGGAATTTTTAAATTAATGTGCGAACATGATACGATAAAAAAAAAAAAAAAAAAAAAAAAAAAAAAAAAAAAAAAAAAATCTTTTTGAAAAAAAAAAAAAAAAAAAAAAAAAAGAAGTAAATAAAAAAAAATAAAAATATTAAAAAAACATAGAAAATTATAACTTGATACAAAAAAAAAAAAAAAAAAAAAAAAAAAAAAAAAAAAAAACCATAAGTCTCTTTGGAAAAGTGGTTACTAACAATTCAGATAAAAAATTAGGAAAAAGACTGAAAGATTTATTTCTCTTCATTTCCTTACATTTCATTTTTTTTTTTTTTTTTTTTTGTACCTTTTGTGCTTTCTGTGTGTGTAGAGAGATGACAAGGTGAGTAAAAACTTAGTAAGAGGATATATGAGTCTGTCTCATCAAATTAATGTTACCTGGGTCATGTATTAAACATTTGATTATGTAATTAAATATTTGGAAACTTACCTCCCTAGTAGCGCCCACTCTAGTTTTTCACTTATGTATGCATAATTGTTATTGACATTCTTGAATGTATCCCTAGTATAGAAGGCGAGATAAGTTTATGGCTTTTTTTTTTTTCAAAAATAAAGTGTTATAAATTTCACATATATAATGAAAGCGTCTGTCCTGACAGTACTGCAGTGACAAAATGTTTTTACAGAAGAACGTTGTTCATGGTTGCACAGAAGTGTGTTATACTTCACTAGAATTAACAAATGTTCTATTTAAAAAAAAAAAAAAAAAAAGTTGAAAAAGAGGAAATACGTGTTTTTTGATTATTTTTCATTTAAAAATTGGAAAAGGAGAACAGTGGGAAGATGGGGAAAAAAGACATTCCATATCCGGTTACAGCTGGCAGCAAGGTGGAAAATGCATCATGTACAGCTCCTAATTGGGTGTAGAACTCAGAAAAAAAATGGAAGCGCAACTTTAAAGCATACATATATATATATATATTTGAACTTAAAAAAAAGGGAATTGTAAAAAGGTCATATAATGCACATGCACCAAATGGCACAAACGGGTACACACAGAGTGTGTTTTGTTTTATTTTTTATTATAGACAAATGAAACAACACAACATAACACATATGTTGTAGTGAAACATAACACCGACAAAGAGTCGAATCCACCACAACTATGTAACGGCAGACACACGTAAGGGAGATAAAATTAAAAAAAAAAAAAAGGGAATAAAAAAAGGCAAGGTTTAGTGAATATTTATAAGAACTCACACAAAATAGAAAAGATACAGTCTAATATGCAAACAAAAGTGAAGGAAAATTAACTTTAAAATGTAATTGTAACGTAGGTGCTCACGAAAAATATGCACAGGGAAATGTGTGTGTGCACACTTATTGGTTTGTATGGATCCATATATGCATATCATGTATGTATATATAGGCGCAGAAGCAGACACTAAAAACGGGGGATAGATAGATCATTCTATCAGGGTACAAAAGATCTTTAAAAAAAAAAAAGAAAAGAAAAAAGCAGTCATAATGGCTAGCAAAAAAAAAAAATAGCTAGCAAAAAAAAAAACAAAAATTACTAATAAAAAAATTAATCTGCAATGGATACAACACTTGTGGACAGAAAAGGAAATAAAAAAAAAAGAAAAAAGAAAAATATTCTTAAAAAGCATTAAGGCACATACCTAATCACGGCATGAGCAGAAATGGAAACAATTGCTGAGAAATCGTATGCACATGCATGTTGTGTGTGTGTGTGTGCGTAAATGTGAAGACGTTTTGGGACAAACAGACGGTGGTGACTTTCCATTTTGCAGAGGTGTGAAGAGGAGTCAAAATTTGGAAAAAATACAAAAAATTCGTTTTGCATCTTTAGAAATGGAGGATTACATGCATGCACAGGTAGAGGGGCATCGTACATGTATGCACATACACGCATACATGCATACATACATACATGCATACAGACATACAGACATACTTACATACATGCATAAAGACATACAAGCAAGTGTCTCGTTTGCTTCACAAAGTGGGAATGGGCTGTGTGGATGAGCGGGCCGGGCTACTTGTCCAAGTTCAGAATGGTATCCCTAATGTTGTAATTCTTCGAAAGGGTCCTGTAAAAATTCGACACAGAATTGTTGATATTGGAAAAGGAGATATTTACATTAGAGGCGTACTCTTTGGACAATGGTGAGAAGACATTGTCTTCCTTGTGGCTATAACTGCTATTTTTATTACTTTGTATATTGTTTGAAAATTCCTCATTCTGTTTATTTCTATACATATAATTATTTTCGTGCTTTATGAAATGGCTGATTCTGTTATCACTTCGAGAAGAACAAGTGGAAGGGACATAACTAATTTGACATGCGTTTAAATAGTAAGGTATAATATTTCCAGCGCTATTCATGTTGTTGTAGTTGTTTATAGACGACCCAGTGTCTATACTGTCATTGGCATTGACATAACTGTTGTTGCTGCATTGGCCGCTGAGTCCGTTTTGACAGTTTTGACAATTTTGACAGTTTTGACAATTTTGACAATTTTGACAGTTTTGACAGTTTTGACAATTTTGACAGTTTTGACAGTTTTGACAGTTTTGACAGCTCTGGCAGCTATCATTCGGCCTCTCCTCTACATTGGTGGTGCTGTTCGATGTACCATCATTCTTGTTGCAAAGGATGCTAAGATTGCTACCTTGGTTATTGGGATTACTAAGGTTTCCAGTACTGCTGATGAGACTGTCGGTACTTCCATTGTGGGTACTGAGATTATTGTTTACAGTAGTGCTTCTCAAAGAAGGGAGTACAGTGGATGACTGGTTTCTATGGGAGGTGGTGCAATTCGAAAGACTTAGTGTATTATGAGTGATAATATTGTTAAACACATTAACAGCACTAGAATTGGTTAAATTTGCTTCAATGTGCTTATTATTGATAGCATTTAATTTTCTGTCATATAGATTTGCATATTTTATTTTAAAATTATTATTAGAATTGTTGTTATATATTGGTATAAAGTTGGAGAAGTTTAAATTATTGGTTCCTCCTTGTTCCACTAATGATTTATTCCTTAACAATTTGTTGCATAAAGCTTGGGCAGAATGAACTACTTTGGACACTTTTTCTATATTTACCTCAGAATGGTCTATAATATAATTACCTTTTGATGCTTTTATTAAAGCTTTTTGCATCCAAGAAATGTATTTGATTAGTTCTATTATCATTGTAATAATTTCATCTGGATTTTCCATGTCAGTTTCACTTGAGCAGTTATTATTGTTCATTGTAGGATTTTGATTATTGCTTGTTCTGCACATTTCACTGGTGTTAATGTGATAACTATTTTTTAAAAAAGAGTTGATACTATTGATATTTTTGGAGTTATATGAACGTATCCGTTGCTGTTGCTGTTGGTTCGCATATGTGTCTTTCAAAGATGTGTTACTCGTGATGATGTTTGATCCTGCACTGCGCGTGTCAACAATTTGGTTTGGGCATCCTTTGCTTGTCTTTTTTGTGTTATTCTGGCTTTTTATGTTATTTCGATTTTGTGCGTTATTTCGATTTTGCGCATTATCTCGGTTTTGTGCATTATTTCCATTTTCTGTGTTATTTCCATTTTTTGTACTATTTCCATTTTCTGTGTTATTTCCATTTTTTGTACTATTTCCATTTTTTGTGCTATTTCCATTTTTTGTGCTATTTCCATTTTTTGTGCTATTTCCATTTTTTGTGCTATTTCCATTTTTTGTGCTATTTCCATTTTTTGTGTTATTTCCAATTTTCGCTCTATTTCCATTCTTTTCATTACTTCCATTATTTTCAGCACCGGGCATGCATGGGTTTTCTCTGTTATTGTTGTATCCCATGCTATTGATCTCTCCTGCATTGGGCTCCTCCTTGTCAGGTGCTTCAGTTGGTAGTCTGTTTGGTGATCCATTTTGAATTTCATCCTCTGGTGCAATTCTGTTGTTAAGAGAAAATGTGGCGGAGCACCTGGAAGTACATGTCGCAGGAGTGGTAGTAGACGTGACATCACAAAAAGAAGATGTTATTTTTTTCCTGCCTGTGAACATAGGATCAGATGTCATAAGAGAAACATTTTCACCTTTGACAATGCTCATCCTCTTTGTATTATTTGTTTTGTTAATTAGATTTTTAGGTTTGACTCTACATGTATCACATCTTACTTTCCGTAAAAAACCCTCTATTGAAAATTTGGTAGCTTTTCTTTTTTTGTGACAAATTTTGCAAGTCATTTCAATTTCATCAGCAACTCTTAAGGCCTCTGCTTTAGATGATGTAACAGCAACTACTGTAGTTTTAAGCATAATAAGAGAATCTGATAGATTATTTTCATTTCCAGAGAAAAAAGCATGAATTTTTTTAATCTCTCCTTTCAAATTATATATTTTGAATACATCACCAAATAACATATATGAATTCTGTGTGACATAATATTGTTTCGTTTTCACTACAACTGCTCTGTAGTTAACAAAATATACTGAGTCTATTTGATTTGACATCACTGATGGGGGTTGTATGAATCTCATAAGTGTTGTATTGTCATTTTTTTCAGTGAAATATTTCTCATACTTATCTTCGTCTGACGTGGTTTGTTCGTCTTTGGTTCTTTTCATTTTTAATGCATCAGTCATTAATACGTGATGTGGTTTAAGAGGGATCAGCAGCAGATGACAGGATGAGAGGAAATATTTGAAGGGACGAGAATTGTGAATAATCGGAAGGGTAAAATTTTTGCATGTAACTGAAAAGAATATCAAACAAGGATCAATTGTTGCAAGGTGAAAAATTTGACATAAAGGATATGCGATGATATAATGAATATAAAAATAGGCACATATGAATTCTATATGGTATGTGTTTTTGTATGAGAGGGGATAACTAGGACATTTGATTAAGTGACTCCTTTTTGCTTGACACAACTTCACATCGGGTAGAGTCACATCACTTCACCTTACTTGGTTTATTTTTATTTATTCGTTAAATAAGACTTGTGAGTGTATGGAATAGGATGGTTTTCTGTTTATTTATTTTTTTTTATTTTTACGAAAAGTGCACCATTCTGTTGTATTATCTATATGTATACCTGACAAAGAAAATGAACAAATTCTCTTGACGTGGCCAAATATGATGTACTCTACACATACATTTATATACTTGAGAAAATTTTTTATTCAAATGGGTAAGGTGTTAAAGGGGGATTTCTACATGAGCTTTTTTTTTTTTTTAGACAATATTTCCACCGTTGTTCAAAGAGACAATGCAGTATGTTTTCCCGTCTGTCGTGTGCATATATTCGCTTTATAGACAGGCACGATTATATAAATTGTAAAAAGAGAAAAAAAAAATAATAAAATAATAATAATATATATATATATATATATATATATATATATACATATATATATACATATGGGCGTCCCATTAAAAAGTATAACAAACTACATTATAAGGACATTCATCATATGTAAAATATCTCCAGGAATAGAAGCTTTGACAAAAAAAAAAAAAAAAATAAAGTATCAAGGGAGATGCACAGGAATATGTATAGCCCCCATGCACTATTTTATAGGAGCGTACATATGTACACATATAATTGGATACACATAGATTATTCCGATTTCTTTTATATGTGTATGTTTTCATGTGTACATAGGCTTAGTGGGATGTAAGTGCTTATATTAGTATGCGTATGTGAACATATGCACACGTGCATGTATATATATTTTTTGTTATACCATTGTTGCATATTTCCTTTGAGACATTTTGTTATATATGCGTATATATATATATATATATATATATATGACAAAAAAAAAAAAAAAAAAAAAATGGACTAAGTTGGGGGTAAAAACATAAGTGAAAAGAAAAAAAATTAACGTCAAATTTTGGCTAACGTAAGGACAGGAATTTTTTGAGTTTGTGTGAGATGACACGATGGGGTACAGCTTAACATGAGGTTGTCGGATGGTACATATGAAATATTGAAAAAGGAAGAGACACACCAGATATACAAGGAAAAAGAGAAAAAGAATTAGAGTGATGTGTGGCCATGAAATATGTACATCCTTTCACGTATTTGTATGTACATATATATATATATATATATATATATATATATATATATATATATATATGCCTTTGCATGTGCATATATAAATTTGTACACACGGTGGTATGTTAGTACTCACGAAAAAAGTATCAATCGCACCATGTAGGAAGTTATAGCAAAATAGTAACGAGATTAATCATTAAGGCAGTGCATAAATGCACATAAGTTTGTACGTGCATAAAATTCAATGAAAGTATGTGCTTCTTCATCTATCAGTTAAGTTCTAAGAAATTCCGTTAACCTTTTTTTTTTTTTTTTTTTTTGTGTGTGTGTATAATTTATTTTGAAAACCTAAACATTACGATATATTTACGAGTTTATAAAAATTGTTGACAAATATTTTAATAAATATTTTGAGTAATATTTATAAATGGTATATTTATTTTGTGATTCGAGCGATAGATTTGTGCGATAGATTTGTGCGACAGATTTGTGCGACAGATTTGTGCGACAGATTTGTGCGACAGATTTGTGCCACGGGTTCGAGTGGTAGATTCGTGCGACGGGTTCGAACGATGAGTTCGTGTGAGAATGCATTCGTGCTGTGAATTCGTCTGATGAACTCGTGAGGCATCTTCGGGAGGAAATAATGTGCATTAGATTTATTCAGTAGAAGTGTCGAATTTGTGCAAGTTTCCCCCGCATGCACATATATATATATATATTCATTAGGGATCAGCATAAGTCCAGAAAAAATTTACGACGTGTACTTTTCCTATTTTTATTTTATACTTCTGGGAAACGACACGTTTCTCAAAACGAACGGATACATTTTATTTAGTGCATTTGATTATTTATTATTTTGGGGTGCATGCTGAGTTTCATTGAAGCATCGATATTTCGAATTTTTGCTTATTCGAAAAAAAAAAGGGGGAAAATGAAGAGTAGAAGAGGAGTAGAAGAGGAGTAGAAGAGGAGTAGAAGAGGAGTAGAAGAGGAGTAGAAGAGGAGTAGAAGAGGAGTAGAAGAGGAGTAGAAGAGGAGTAGAAGAGGAGTAGAAGAAGAATAGAAGAGCAAAAGGACTTCCTATTTTTTTCTTAGTGGAGCATATTATATCATGTGTCTCACAGGATATAAACGGAATCGATTGGTAAAAAAAAAAAAAAAAAATAAAAAGGAATAAAAAAAAAAAAAAAAAAAATAGGTGCACGAAAGTGTTGTGTAATTTGGCTTATCCAAATTTATTGCCCTTTTATTTCACCAATCCGTGTCTCATAGGGATGAGCGTTTATTTATTAACATATTTATTTTATTCAGTGTATTATTTATTTGTTCCGTTCATATGTTTTGTTCATTTGTTTTGTTCATTTGTTTTGTTCATTTGTTTTGTTCATTTGTTTTGTTCATTTGTTTTGTTCATTTGTTTTGTTCATTTGTTTTGTTCATTTGTTTTGTTCATTTGTTTTGTTTTGTTTTTTTTTTTTTTTTTTTTTTTTTTTTTTTTTTTTTTTTTTTTTTTTTTTTTTTTTTTTTTTTTTTTTTTTTTTTTTTTTTTTTTTTTTTTTTTTTTTTTTTTTTTTTTTTTTTTTTTTTTTTTTTTTTTTTTTTTTTTTTTTTTGGGAGTGCGCAAAAATAGTTGCATGCGATTCTGTTGCAAGCACGTCCGACTGTTTATGTAAATCTATTTTATGAATTTGTGAAAATAAAAAAAAAAGTTGAGCTGTCGATTTCTTAAACCAGAATATTTTAAAAAAGTGTTATATATGCCATAAATAGTCGAATCATCCAAAAAGTGAGGTAATGGTTTCATAAAACAAATTTACACAATGTTGACATTTACCAATAAAGATCACACTTTGTTAACCATATTATTTCTATTTTTGTGAAAAAAAAAAAAAAAAGAAGAAGCTAAAATAACATGTAAAATGAACTCTCCCATTTTTGTATTCCTTTTCAAGAATTTTTTTTTTTTCTTTTTTTAAATTAAATCAGATAAAAACGGTGTCGTCAAGCAATTGATGTTTTTTTTTTTTTTTTTTTTTTTTTTTTTTTTTCATCAAGTATGATAAAATATATGGATGGTATCTTCATCACTTAAGGGGGTTTGAAATGCAGATGTATTTTCCATTTTGCACACTTTTTTTACATACTTTTCTAATTAGTGTGACCATTATAAATGTGAGATCACCTCGATTATGGTTGCTAAAAAAAAAAAAAAAAAAAAAAAAAAAAACATTCGTTTAATTCTCTCTCCCCACCAATTTGTAAATACCGAGTCGGACTTGTACTTGGAGATTGGATTTTATTTCAAAAGTGGCATCAAATATAATTGAACGAAGAAAATAAAGAGGGGAAACGTGAGAAATTTGTGAACTCAAAAAATTTGCTATAAACTGAGAGGATAATTCAGGATTTGTGTTACCATATAATATTAAGCCACTTTTTCTCATTTTGACAATTTTTTTTTTTTTTTTTTTTTTATGAACAGGATTAACAATGGGTTAAAAAAAAAAAAAAGAAGCCACGCTTAAGAGTTGCAAAAAACTGCAAAGCAGTTTTAAAAAGTATGAACTTCAAAAAATGCAATTTAAAAAATTCTACACATTGACATGTAACTTTAAATAGAAAAGGAGAGAAACATAACAAATAAGTTTGTAAACACGGGAATATATATATATATATATATATATATATATATATATATATATATATACATCCAAATGTGTAAGAAATGAGAATAAAAAAAGAAAAAAAAAAAGACTCTGCTTGTCCTTCTCTACCACATGTTATCTACGGGAAAAGCTGTTTGAATTTCTGTTTGTTTTCATTTGATTATGATGCATATTTGAAAAGAGTTTGTTTGGTGTGACATCATGCATGGGTGGAGGAATATAAGGGTGCATACCAATAAAATTTTGAGGCATGGTATAATTTATATTTTCATTATTTATAGCACGATTATCCATTCTTGGTTTTTTGTTAATCATATTTTTTTCATTCATATGAACTATTGTACTGGGTGGTGGAGCTGGATACAGATTAGAATTGTTTTGCATATTATTAAAAGCATCTCGTCGTTTATTTACATTATCATTATTTATGCTTATGCAATTTGGATTTCTTGATGGAGGTGGTATAATACTGAGAGAGGAGTTGGGATTATGAGTGGTTGAGGGGAAAAAAAAAAAAAAAAATAGTAGAACGTTGGTGATGTGTGTAAGCTTTTTGGAGAAGTGAGTGCAGTTTAAGTACATGCACGTATACATTTACTTATACATTTAGGTGTATATGCACGTGTACATGCACGTGTACATGCGAAGATATGCATTTATGCCTCGTCAAACACACAACACATTATGTAAAACATCAAACATGGTGCAGCTGCGCCTTCATGTATAATACATATTCAGGTGTAATGAAATGTTTTCCCCCGAATTTATAAAGTTCATATCGAGATGTTACGCATATAATTATCATACTACAAACGTTTCTCTACTTGAAATGAAGGAAAAAAAAAAAAACAAGCTTCTATTCTATATACATATGTATATATATATATATATATGCACAAGTCTTGCGTACGCGTTTGATAGCATGCTAATTTTGGTGTCTAAATTATACTAAATTTTTTTTTTTCTTTTTTAATAATTTGGGGTTTATATCGTTTTGAATTTTGTTCATAATTTATTACACCAAATAAGTAAAGAAAAGAGAAAAAAAAAAAAAAAAAAAAATATTATATATGCTTCTATTCTTTCTTGATATTACAAGCACGTAAATATTTTTTTTTTTTTTTTTTTTTTTTTTTCTAAATCTTTATCTTGTTAAACGCAGATGCTCACACGTGTAACCGTATGGCTCTTCACAAGCATGTATGTGTATATATATATATATACATATATACATATATACATATATACATATATACATATATACATACATACATATATACATACATACATACATATATACATACATACATGCACAGCTATATATAAATAGCTTGTCGTGTTAAGCCATCAGATGTGTGGGGGGTGGCAAGTTCTGATATGGTCAAATACACTTGATATGTGACATTAAATGAGGCATAAATGCATAATCTTATATGCACATGGCATATACATGCATATGCATATATATATGAATACATATACACATATTTTCATGGACAAAATATACGTTAGAAAAATCTGAATTTTCTTTTAATATAGTACTTATTTGGATCCTGCGGTGGAGGAATTTGATTGTTAAATGGATTATCTTTCATGTATGGCTTCGGTGGAATGTTCATAGAATTGTGTACAACTGGGTATATATCTGCATTCAGAAAAAGGTAAAAAAAAAAAAAAAAAAAAAAAAAAAAAAACATATTCAATGTTGTTGTTAATCTGTTTTCATTATGACAATCAAACAGATATGCCATGTAATGAAATATACGTACAGTAGATGAGTGAAACACAAAATGTATGAAAAGAATGTTAGAAGATATATATAAGGCGCACAATTGGGATATTTTTCACAACATGGGAAAACGAAATGTTCTTTTTTCTTCAATTCATATTTTTTTGAAGCATTCATTTTGGACATTTGTTACAGTATGCTCACTTAAATATGTAAACAAATATTAACACATGGCAATTTAATTGAATAAAAACTGTGCATTTTTTTTTTTTTTTTTCTTTTATTTTTTTTAAGGGGAGACTTGGGGTAGTTGGTGGAGGTGGTCTTACTTGGATTATACATATTTTTCGTTATGGGCACAAATGTCGGGTTCGAGTTCATATGAATTGGAGTAGATGTGTTAAATGGATTCATCGTGACGTTTACATCTGTGTTATGGGTTGATGTTGCATTTGTCATACCTGCAAAGGGTAAGAAAATGGAAGGAAGCAAATTGGTATACATGTGAGCAGTAAAAAAAAAAAAAAAAAAAAAAAAAAAAGCGATATAACATATATGCTATGCGGGAATAATACGATAGAAAAGGTAGAAAAAAAAAAAAAAAAAAAAAAAAAAGAATGCATTTATTTTTTTACCGCTTGGTTTGGATGAGTTAATCTTGTTTTCTTGAGATTTCATTTCGGACCCTTCTGTTTTCTCCTTCTCGGATGCTTTACTGCATTGGAGGGGAAAGGAGGCAATGTGTAGGGACAGTGTGTAGGGAAAATGTGTAGGGAAAATGTGTAGGGGCAGCATGTTGGATGCTGATTTGGGGAGGCCGTACCGATTTCTCTCCATGATGGTCTTCAAACTGTTGACTGAAATTGCAATGTCTTTCCAGCCTCTGTTTTGAGCAAATGTGTTTAAATTTTGGAGATACTTTTTTATGGAATTTTTAATTTTGCTTGAATATGGAAAGGAATTCAACAAACGAAATAAGAAAATGACAACCGATTTTGAATTAATCCATGACTTTTGATAGTTATTATTTTCGAAAAGTAAGGAGACGAGAAGCTTTTCCCACTTGGTAACTTTTTCAAGAATACAAGAATGTTCAATTGTGATTTTGGATTCGAAATTTAGAGTATCGCTAAAGCATGGATTTTCTTCTGAAATATTTTTGAAGTATTTGGAATCATCACATAATTGATAGATGTAAATAAAAAGTTCATTAAAAAATATTCCTATATTTAGAGCCTCCTTTTCTGTACATGCATTTATAAGTGGCATTAACATTTTTATACATACATAAACTAATAAACAGAAATTAAATAGTGGCGTACGAAATTCAAGTAACATTTGTATAAATTTTGAACAAAATAGAGAATCTTTTTCGCTATTTAATATTCTGGGTGCAATTAAACATTTAACAAAAGCTGTAAAGGTTGTAAGATCGATTTCTTGTGGGTTTACCCAATGTTCAACTACATGAGATAAATATTTTTTTATCTTTTCTGTATGTGTTATATGATATTCATATTCTTTATTCATACTTATTCTTTTGAAACGTAATTTTTTAATTTTTTTATGAATCCATTTGTAATCTTCATTTTTTTTATTTTCTTCATGGTATTTTTCCAACTTTTTTATAAACAAATCATATTTATCTATCACTTTTATGTATTGCTTATGTGGAACGTAAATATCTGTGATACTAAGTCTCCAATAAGTTAGGTAAAAGTTCATGTTAATACCGTTTAAATTTTCAATACTTAGGTACCTTTCTATTATGGGGGTCATTATTTGTTTCCATTTTTCTTGATTACACTGATTAAATGTTGGTTCATCATATCCCGATAAGTTGCATTGTTCTTCTATTTCACATTTTTGTTCCCAATCGATTGGTTCCTTGTTATCACTGATTCTTTCATTTAAACTTTCTTTACATGTTTTTTTGTCTGTGTCTTTTCTACACTTTCTTGCGTTATCCGGATGAGCATGTGAGTGTACATGTCCTTCGCTCGTTGTATGTTCACGTTCACGAAAGCATGAGTTGTCTTCAATCTTATCAGATGAGATGTTATTACTTCTGACGTTTTTTTCATTCAATTTCATTTCATATAAAGATGAGTAAACTGTTTGTTGATTCATTACTGTGTCTTTGTCATGAAAGAAAGGAAATGCAAATCTGATAATGTGAAATGATTGTGAAATGTCAAAAAAAGAAAATATGTTAATTATGCTTGGGATGTAGGTGAAATAAAGATACGGCTCCGAATTGGTTTGTAGGAAATCAATAAATTGCAAAAGAACTGCATCTATTTTGTCTATTAGAGATGATAAATTTCTTAAGTTATTGGTATTACTATCAAATAGATATTCATATTTTAATTTCGATAAAATGAATAAAAACAAATATACTACATTTGGATTCGATAAAATTTCTGTCGCATTTTCTATACATAATTTTTGTAATTTCTCATCTTCTATTTCGGCTTTTTCTATATGTTCATATTCTATATTATTCATTTTAAAATTGAAATTTTCTTCTAAAATCATAATTTCTTTTTTTAATAATTTAAATCCACATTGTGCGTTCAGTTGATCTTCATTAAGTTCTTGTACATCTACAGATGCGTTTGTTCCACCATAAATTTCGACAAGTTTCTGAATATAATCTATATCAAATATGTATCCAGACATAACATCTGGATATTTTTTATTCCTCGCCGTTAGTATTCTCACTTTCAATTCACCACGATGTTTGTTGCACCTCTCGCAGTTGCACTGGGAGGTGCACTGACCTCTGAACTGGCCGCTGAACCCGTTTACGTCTTTGCAACTTGGTTTTTCCTGGACGGGCTTAGTGCCAACATCCTGTAACATCTCATGGTTTTGTTCATTTTTGCTACACACTCCGATGTATTCATTTCTCTCTGTTTGATAAAATTCTCCCTCTTCATTCGACCGGGTGTGATTAACAAGGTTCATGGGAAGAGAATCCACCATATGTAATGTACACTTGTTTCTATTTCTAAGGAAGAGTTCATCTGATATGTGGAGTTCAGAAAATATTCTCTTAACTATTGAAATAATAAGTGGATAAAAATCTGTAAAAGGATGTTTTGACAAAAATTTTGCACTGACTAGAGATAGATTAATCAATTTCTTGGGTTTAAAAATAGAATCATCAAATAAATCTGAATTGTTGAAACTGTACTGTTTACTTAACTGATAATTGTGAACATTTAATAATTGTTGTCTTTCCACAATTTTGAACAGGAATATATCACTAGAAAAGCTATGAATATTTTTAATCGATTCTGAAAGTGTTATAATCATATTGTTATCAAATAATTCACATTGTTGCAAAATAACATCTGCTGTGATGAAAGGGTTTCTGTTTATCACTCTTGTCAATTGACTTAACATGTTTTGCACTTTACTATTATATCTATCTTTTAATATGTCAGATGTTATTCTTTTTATAATTTTTCTCAATTTGTTTTTTACAAGTTCAAAATTGATATTTGATAAAAATATTGCTGTTTTGGCATATGGAACAATTGGCAATTTTGAATCACGACAGAAAGGAGGATTTTCTGCAGAGGGGTAGTTGTCCCCTTTACTTCTGCTGCATGGAGGGAGCTTCTTATGTTGTGCTGTTTCTTTCTCCTCCCCTTTATTATTACTACTGTTATTACTATTGTTATCCTTATTTCTGTCATTATTGTTATCCTTATTTCTGTCATTATTGTTATCCTTATTTCTGTCATTATTGTTATCCTTATTTCTGTCATTATTGTTATCCTTATTTCTATCATTATTGCTATCATTATTGTTATTTTTTTTTGCCCCTTCTTCTACTTTTTTCCCTTCTTCTACTTCACCTTCTGCTTTGTTGCTGGTTTCACCTCCAAGTTCAGAACACATTTTTACCTTCGAAATGCTCCTCTTGTATTTCTCTATCTTGCTGTAAAACTTCATGTATATTTTGTATCTTCTAGACACTGGAATGAGACGAAATACATTCCATATATCATCATTTAAACTGTTAGAATTACCACGGCTGTTGCTAGGATTAGAATTATTTCCTGTCACAGATCCCTCCCCATCATCATTGATTGGACACAAGAAAAAAAATTTTATGAACAGTTTATCAAAATTGTTGTGAAAATTTTTTCCTTGACTTATCTTCCTTTTCACGTACACTTTGATTATGTTTAATAATCTTCGAACTAATGATTTGTACAAATATCCAAAATATCCCAAAAATTTTATGTATTCCAATATTCTGTCGAAAAAATCGTCTTCTGTTTTTATTTTCTTCATATAATTGTTGGATCTGTTGCATGAGAAATAGTTCAAGAATGTATCAAAGTTTATTTTTGCATTCACAGTAGTATCGAGATTCGGGTTCTGACTAGCAATATTACATTGCATATGGTTTTCTTTGTCCTGCATGATTCCATTAGACATGGGTTCTATTGGTACATTGGTCTCTTCGGGTATGATTCCAGATGTGTCACAATTTCTCTTTACCTCATGATGTAGAGAAATCGTGTGGATTCTTTGGTTTGACGATCCCTTTCTTTCCTTATTCATAAATCCTTCTGATGTATAATTTGATTCGTCTTGGGATGAGACAACAGATGAATCTTCAGATTCTGGAGCTCTACAGCATAATAAAAGTTGCTTTATCATGAAATTTGGGATGCTGTTCCTATAGTAACATTTCATCTGATTGGAGTTAAATTTTATTTTCTTATTAACTGTTTTTGTATTCTTTTGTAAAAGCTTGTTATGGTAACTGTTTCCATTTTGTGAGTTCGTTGGTTTCTTCGATTTGTTCATATTGTAATAGCTCCATTTTAAGAGTTGCTTTATTTTTTTTTTCTTGTTTTGAATTTTCTTCTCGTTCTTAAACAACTTTTGCATGTGTCTCTTATTTCTATTTATAACTTTAATGCACTGATAGCTACACAGCTTCTTCGTGTTCATGTTGATGCTACAGAAGAAACATGGCCCATTTTCCATCTTGTTTGTCTCGTCTTCTGTTTTATCCACTTTTTTCGACCGCCCCACCTTATTCGTTTTTTCCTCTTCTTCTTTTTCTTCTTCTTCCTCCTCATTTTCTTCTTCTTCTTCTTCTTCTTCTTCTTCTTCTTCTTCTTCCTCTTCTGCTCCCTCCAGTACTGCATCACCATCGTTTAATTTCCTCATCTTGCATCTATTAGAACCAACTACTGATTTTCCATTAAGTTGGATTTTCTGATCGAGGTTACGTGCACGACCTTTAGGTAAGTATGCCCTTTCGAAGGAAGATATGACATAAGATAAAAGTCTCGAAATTGATAAACAGACATAGTAGTTAAGGAATGGGTTACACTGATACGTGGACAAATGATCTAATATAGTACGAACATAATTCCATGCATTTAAATTAATTAAAGATGAAAGGAATAAAAATTTTGGATTTCTCATGAAAAAAATTCGTCCTAAACGAAAAAAATAGTTATCTTCCTGAAGAAATAAATAATTATACGAATTCGTGTAAGTCAGATATTTTGAATTGGTTATTTCATTCCTTATTTTTATTTCTCTTTCTATGTAATTTTTAACAAAATTTTCCCCATTATTCAATTTGTTGTGGATCATATCAAAGAGGTAAAATTCGATTGCTTCTTTATTCTGTAGATCTGCAATTTGTTCATGTTGTTTTTTTATATCGGTATTTTTGTTATTCAGGAGATAGTGCACCACAAGGTCTTGGACATGATCGGGGTTTGCTTCTTCTAGGATTTTTTCTAGATTGCACATTGAAAAAAAGTTGAAAATGTGGTATGTGCTACAAGAGGTAGATGTATTAAATGTGTTTATACCTTTGGAGCTTTTACCCGATTTTGATGAGGATCCATCAACGAGACTGCTGAATCTGGCAGTGCTGCACATGTGCTGAGTAAGGCTATTCTCATTGTTTGCATTCCACAAATTTATAATGTTACAGTTTTTTTCATTGTGATAGAAATCTCCTTTTTGAGCAATATCATCTGAGGTGTTGTTGTTGTTCCATGGATTGTTATTATTACTACTACTATTATTATTATTACTACTACTACTATTATTATTATTATTACCATTTGTAGTATTATTATTACTATTACTATTTGTAGTTTGGTCTACAGCACCAGTGCTGCACCGTGTGGTTTTATCACCCGTTTTATTCTTCTGATTGTACCTGCGGACTTTATTATACAAGGTATATAATTTAGTTATATTCATGGGAATGTAATAGAAGAAAAAAGGAGTTAACCTATCAGATGTAGAATTTTCATAATCGATGCAGAATTTATGATATAACTGTTTAAATGTTATTTGAAATAATTCATCATTTGGAAGTAAGTGTTCATAAAAAGTGTTAAAGTTAAGTAGGTCATTTAAAATGAGAATAGAACACATTTTAAAATAATTTGATGTGAAGAAATTATTGGTATTAAGAAAAAAGTGATCATACGATTTTGTTTTGTTAGTAACACCTTTTTCTGAATCTTCCTCATCTCTATTGAGTACCTTTAACTTTTGTAATTCTTTTTCTTCCATTTCTTTAATGTAATTATTTTTCATTTTTAATTCGAGAAGTATAATATCAGTAATTATTTCTTTTGTGTATAAAAAAAACAACGGAAGTAGCTGTTTTGGATTATCTACATTCTGTTCATAAAAAAAAAGAAAAATTGACAATATTCTTCTTGGACATAAATTATGAAGTCCTGCAATTGTAAAAATCTGGTTTTTTAGTTTTATTAAATCGGTGCAATAGTAGCACTTCAGGTGTCGTTTCCACATTTTTTTTATGTTTGCATTGTATTTTTTCTTCCATTTGTGGTGTGTGAGATTAACTGACATTTCTGGCGCTTCTGACATTTCTGGCGCTTCTGACATTTTTGGCGCTTCTGACATTTTTGGCGCTTCTAGCACTTTTAACCTTTCTGACGTTTGTGCAAATTCGGAACGATTTTTCTGTTCTGAGGAATGCAAAACAGACAGTGAAGAATAGCAATTCAGTGGATTAACAGTCTGCATTTCAAAATTGTAATTCTTCCTGTCTTGACAAGATGGACTAAGTGAATTTGTTTTACTTCTACTTCCCACTCGTTTGTCAAATTCCCTTTTATTTTTGTATTTATATTTTAAAAACAACTTTAAAATAGTTTTTTTTTTTTTTTTTTTATTTTTTAACAAACCATTTTTCTCTTTGTTCATAAGTTCATATGATGGATGGAGGTTTTTTCCCTCTGAAGAGAAAAAATTCTCAAGAAGAAAAATAATTTTTGAATATCCATTTATATTTTCTCTTAATAAGTTGTATACCGATATGCTGTACATATTTTTTGTTCGCATTTTAGTAATGAGTTTGTTTAGATCTTTATTGAATATACTTAATTTATCGAAATTCTTACATTCAATGTATGTTGTTGCTTCTTTATATGTTATTACACTTTTTGCTTCAAGCGCTTTGATGCAATTGGCAATGGTGTCTTTATATTTACCATACGCCATGCAGTTCTGTTCTTTCATAGGTTCTAGTATCTCGATTAGATAATGCAGACTGTTCAGAATCAGTTCCTTAATATGTCTCGAAAAGGTGTTCTTGAAAAGCAGATTTCTTGCGTTTGTCTCTTCAGCAGCTGAGCCAGCATCTCCCTCCTTATGGGAAATGTCCTCTTCATGCTCATCCCTATGGGAAGTGTCCTCTCCATGCTCATCCCTATGGGAAGTGTCCTCTCCATGCTCATCCCTATGGAAAGTGTCCTCTCCATGCTCATCCCTATGGGAAGTGTCCTCTCCATGCTCATCCCTATGGGAAGTGTCCTCTCCATGCTCATCCCTATGGAAAGTGTCCTCTGCATGCCCACCTTTATCTCCCTTCGCATCATCACCCTTCTGATTGTGGCTGTCTCTCTTCGCCTCATCCTTCTGAAGAATGAATTCTAATAATCTTTCAAAATTCTCCCTGTGAAGTTCAGACAACTCTAGGGCAATAAAATTGACCCCGCTTTCCACCGTTATGGCTCCTTTTAAGATGCACATAAAAAAGTCAAAGTAAAAGAGACATAAACTATTTTTCATTTTTTCAAAGTAATAATTTATCAACGTGGAACTGCTAACTTTGTTCACAATGTGCATACATTGAGTGTTCCTAATGTTGCATGCATTTTCTGTGTTTTCATTTCCAATGCTGTAAAAAATTGAATCTTTTTGAATTTTTACTTGATTTCTTCTAAACGATTCTACGTAAGTTTTTCTGTACACGTTCAGGTAATTTTTGCATTTAATTTCATCAATCAATTTGTTGAACATACCTTTCATGTCACACTGCTCTTTTAGGGGAATTTTAAATTGCACATCATTTGCAGTTAAAAATTTTAAATCTTCATCTACTTTTATGAATTCATTTTTATTTTCTTCAGTTTGATAACTAACAATAGACCTCAATGATGTGGTGCATTGATTATGATTTTGTATGTAAGATGCATCCTTTGATTTTTTCCCTCTATTCTTACCATCTTGATTATGCCCAGTTGGAGTAATATTATTAGAGTAAACTATATTATCTTCTTCCTTGCATATTTCTTTCTCTCTATCTTCTTTATAGAAACGTCGTTCTATTTGGATTCCCATCATTCAATCCTTTCTTATCTCTATCTTCCTTATTTTGGCTAGTCAGAGGTGGAAGAGAATTTTCATCCTTTGGTTCTTCTTCCAATGAGTTCTGTCGTACATCAACAATTCCATTTTCTTTTTCGATTAATATATCATGTTGATAATTTTTCACTTTTTCTAATATGGCTAAAAGGTTCCTTTCATATGTTCGTTTCACGTCTGAAAATTTATTTGCAATGTCATTTTCACTGAATTCATTTAGCAAATATATTTGGTGAGAGAACAAGTAATTTAAGTTATTCATTTAAAGATGTAAAATGTGATAGCACAATGTGGAATGCCAAGGAGAGTGAAATGGAGAGAGAAGAAGATGAAAAAAAAAAAAAAAAAAGAAGAATTAACACATGCGTGGGAAAAATAAATGCTGTAAAAGTACATGACCATGTCAAAGAGAACTTCTAACAATATGGTGGTATATTTCAAAATGGATAAAAAAAAAAAAAAAAAAAAAAAAGAAACTGCTACATTACACAGTTAAGAATATAGGATCTGTTTTCATGTAACATATATTATTATGCCTCGATTTTGTTCATGCGTATTTGGTGTAGTGGTATTATTATGCATTCCTAGCCGATTTCAAAATGGGGTGATGAATAAAAAAAAAAAAAAAAAGGGGATGTGAAGAAGTAAAAACCAATTAATCGAAAAATAAAAATATAAACAATGGAAAATGGATGGCGAAAGAAGCGAAAATGAAAGTTACAAACAGAAAAGGGAAAAGTGAGAAAAAATTAAAACCAATTATCATTTATGCTCACGTGGGGGAAGCATACAATATTTGTCGTTCGTTTAAAAGAAAAAAAAAAAAGTTGCAAGTTGGAGCTGGAAATCAGAATTGCAAGTCCGAATTGCAAGTCGGAAGTTGTGTATTTTTTTGTGCGTGTTTTTTTTTTTTTTTTTACTCCCTGCAATTTTTTTATTTTTGCAAGCGCGCGTATAGTACAGAAAATAGAGGTGCACTTGTAGGCCAGTTGACATGAAAATATGATGCATTGTATATTCATGCTAATATGTTAATCTCTTACAATGTAAATTTATCATATATTTGGGAGATTGCATATTGGCTACATTTATTTATCATCTCCCCCACCCTCGCTCCACGTCATGTTTCTACTAATTCGTGCACATGCACTTGTGAACGTTCCTCAGTAAATGTGCTGGCAAACTTGGCAGTAAATATGCTGGCAAACTTGGCAGTAAATATGCTGGCAAACTTGGCAGTAAATATGCTTGCAAACATAGTAGTAAATATACTTGCGTATGTATATGCATGAGAACATACCTGTTGAAGTGGGGGAGTACTACTTAAATTAAGGCACACAAAATACGTACACTGTTTGATGTGGAAAAAAAAAAAAAAAAAATGAAGGGAAGAGGTAGAAATGGGGATGCAAAAGTTCTAACAGGTGGTTGGAAAAAAGGAAAAAAAAAAAAAAAATACATACATACATATGCATGTACATGTACATATATATACGTACACATATTGGCGTAGGAAAACTTCAAGCATGAAGACGGCTTTTACCCTTTCCTCCTTCCACATGATTATGTTTCGTTTGATTCTGTTCTGGACACGCGTGGAGTTACATATGCTTGTCAGGGATGCTCAGTCTGTACTTGTACATATGTACATGCATATCTGATTATTCGTGTGCACCCTGAACCCTGCTGTAACCCCCATTTTTACTTTTTTTTTTTTTTTACATCATTTGAGAAACACATTCCATGGTATTTTAATTCCTGAAAGACAGGAAATAAAAATGGGAAATCCAAAACAAACGTATAAGAGGAACGGGCACTGTAGAATTCCTGTGCCTGAACCGTTTGGGCACCTTATCACAAATGCGAGGTTTCAGTATATGTTAAATGTAAGAGGTAAGAAAACGTATGAACAGGGCAGGTTTATACAAACTTCTTTTTACACGCATCCTCGAAAAAAAGTTAACCCAAGAAAAAACAAAGTATAATTTTTTAATGTAAACTGATTGGAAAATGGATGTAATTATGTCCATATAGATATAATCGTTGGTAGAATAAAAAGATGGCGAAAAAAGATGGCGAAAAAAGATGGCGAAAAAAGATGGCAAAAAAAGATGGCAAAAAAGAATCCACATATTTGGCTTGTCCTTAAGGGGTGGCATAGGTGGGGAGAAAGAGACAAACGAGAATGGGACATGACAAATCAATCACCGTGCTTCTTCTTGCGCCAGACTTTCGTATGGACACTGGGATCAAAGGGGTAAGAACTAAGAGGAAATAAAAAGTTGGTGAGGTCAATAAACTGATATGGAGTCAACTGCTGTGGTCTGAAATGACAAAAATTTGGAGGAAGTTCTTGAGTAATGGTATATTTCGCTAGTAAGGGTTTTAAACTAGATTTAAGTTTTTTCCTCCTTTGTTGAAAAGCATGTCTTAATATTTCTTTTAAAAAAAGCAAATTACAGTTAAGATTGATACGTTTAAAAATAATTTTCATAACAGCTGCTTCGACCTTAGGTACAGGGTAAAAAGCATTACTTGGAATTTTAAAAAGTAAATGAGGAGTGGTATATAAATTAAAAAGGATACTTAAAATGGAATAACACTTTTCATTTGGTTTTGCGATTATTCTTTGACCGACTTCATATTGAATTGTCACAATTGCTTGTTCTATATATTCATGGAAATCCAATAAACAAAATAATATTTGAGACGTTATATAAAAAGGTAAGTTACCAATTATTGTTAATTTAGTACCTTTACTTTCAGATAATTCTTTATAATTTATTTGTAACACATCATCATGGATGAAATCAAAACCTGGCATAGTCCTACTTAGTATAGACAATGCTCGACTATCTATTTCAACGGCTGTCATTTTTTTATATTTTGCAAATAAAAATTTACTTATTTGTCCTAATCCACATCCCAATTCGATTATACCCTTTCCGTTATCTTTTATGCTTTCAAACGTGGTTCCTTTTTCCATTTCTGTTACTTTCCATTCAGGAGAGGTATCACTAATCTGATTGGTTGTAGACACCTCTGTGTGATTACCTTCTGTAGTAATAATCTGTTTGTCTACATTATCACTTCCATTACCATTTGGATGTATAGTTATCATTTCCTTATTTTTTATGTAATCTTTTTTCCCCCTATTTTTATGACGTATCTTGACTCGATTCTCAACACGATTTTTTTTTGGTAGTTTATTATTTTTTGTTTTTTGTAGCTCCTTACTTTGAGTATTACTTTTTATATTTTGATTAAGACATAAGTCACTTGCATTGATCTCAATAGCTTTCACCATTTTTTGTATAATATTTTCATCCTTTAAATAATTCTGCCCTAAGCTTCTCTTTGGTTTAAATTCCTTTGATGGCAATTTGGTTCTGAATTTGTTTCCATAATTTTCAGGTTCTTCCAACGGGTAAATAGTTATTCCTTCGAAGGTTCTACCTATGAGTTTATTTTGGTTTTCATCTTGGTATTCATAGGGGGGAAATGAATCTTGCAGCTCAATATTTTCATTGCTTGATTCATTTGAAAAAATTCTTGTTTCGAGGGATGTAGTCTTTTTCACATACTCTAAGACCCTACGTCTGCATCTACCCCTGCTTGTGTTTCTAAATATACTTCGATTTCTGCTTCTTCTTCTGCATCCTCCTTTTTGTTCTGTACTATGAGACACCAGATGAATGTACTGACATGGAGTTTTGTTTTTTCTTGCCCTTTTGCTACCTAATGCGGAAAAATCACAGTGTCGCTTTTTTACACGTGTATGCACATTGTTGATATCTTTGAAAAGGAATATGAAGAGACATGTGGTAAACTTGAGTGTCCGTTTTTTCATTCATGTTTTTTTTTTTTTTTATTGTTCTCTTCTTTATTATTTGCTTCTCTGCTGATTGCTTCTCTGCTGATTGTTTCTCTACTGATTGTTTCTCTACTGATTGCTTCTCTGCTGATTGCTTCTCTGCTGATTGCTTCTCTGCTGATTGCTTCTCTGCTGATTGCTTCTCTGCTGATTGTTTCTCTACTGATTGCTTTTTTATTTTATTTTCCCCCTCCTCTTCTGCTCCTCGTGTAAATCGTGGTGCAAAGCGTACTCTAGCACTTGTGTTATTTAGGAAAGGTATAACGACGTGTCTTATGATGACATTCTCCTTCTCACTTTTCGTTGTAAATTATGATCAATCAGTTGATCTATGTGCGTGTGATACGCATTATGCAAAAAATGTTCTTCTTTTCTTCCTTTCGTCTAAAATGTTTTTAAGATCCTCTAAGCCCTTCCGATGTACAAAAGATAAATTGGGATATATATCAAAAATTATTTCTATAAAAAGAGAGGTGCAAAAAAAAAAAAAAAAAAAAAAAAAAAAAAGTCACAAAAGATAAATAATACGTTCCTTTTTTTTTTTTTTTTGGTGCATATGAAATGAATACAGAAATTTAGAACATGATGAAGGGGCAAATTTTATAATTACTATTATTGTTGGCATTATTTGTTATTACTTTTTTTTTTTTTTTTTTTTTTTTTTTTTTCTTATAGCAAAGTGTGATCTTTCCGAAGCTGAGTGAATGTAGGCAATTCGTGGCTTACGGAGAGTAACAATCATTTGACAAACTTAGCTGTATGAGTAAGAAACAGTTACATCAGTATATGTGCATATATATATTCACATATATATGTATGTATATATATATCCTTACTCGCTGAATTAGAATCTGGTGAGCAATGAACGACGTAATACATTCACCTTTTCAGTCGCGCGGCACCATCACACTTTGCGATTTTTCATACATACCGACACAATGCGTCTTTTATGGGGGAAAAAAAAAAAAAAAAATTATTATCAAGGAGATGCATTATAAGTTCTCTTCTTTTTTTCGTAGAAATATGAAGGAAAAGGCTACGACGTTTTATTCTAAAGAGTTGTATCTTTTTCTTTTTTTTTTTTTTCTTTTTTTTTTCTAGCCAAGTGATATTTTTTTCTCAACGTTTTTACCTGACCATATTTCGTTTTTAATATTACCGTTCATGCAAAAATGAAAAGGGAAAAAAAAAAAAAAAAAAATAAAATAAAAATAATAAAATAATATAATAATATAATAAAATAATATAATAAAATAATATAATAAAATAATAAAGAAGGAAGGAAAAAAAAAAAAAAAAGAGAGAAGCACAGATAGAGTAAATAGTACAGGGAAAAATTAAGCAGAATGCGTAACTAATTTGTCATCATTTTTTCCCAGAGGAATAGCGAGCAGAAGATAATTTACTGATTTGTTTACCATTTTATGAATAATTATACCAAAAAAAGGGGAATATTATATTTCGCATTAAGGCGATAAAGCTGTGGCTCATTTTTGCATTATATATTTTAATCCAACCGTAGCGAAAGGAATCGAGATAGGATAGGGAGAAAAAGGGAGAAGTGAGCGAGAGGAATAGATAGAACAACGGAAACAACTGCGATAGTTCCGTAGGAAGCAACATCGGGTGGAGAAGATATGGCATTGTTAGCAAAGGAGAAAAACTTCAACATTTTACAAAGGGTGAATGCAGAACCAATTTCTGTCTTGGACTATGTAAATGATATCGTTAAAAACAAAGAAAAAGAAAGGAAGAAAAAAAAAGAGAATTTAAATGATTGGGGGAATATGAAAAAGCAGGAAAAAACGGATGAATTAAAGTTGCAGTGGAAACTGATACAGCATGAAAATTTAGCAGAAAAGGGTGAATATCATAAAGTTAAAAAGGATGAAAAAATGCCAAATTTTTTTCAAGTAGCTACATTAGTTAATGGAAATGATAAGATAAAGGTTGGAGCTGGAAAAGAGTCGCAGTCCTTACATACGTCCAATAGGAGAAAGAAAAAATGCTTGTCCACTTTGCAATTATTGGAAAAGAACAAAAGTATGAAAGATTGGTGCATAAAGAGGTATACGAAAATTCAGAAGGAGAAAAATATTGGAGGAAAATCTTTCGTTCGAAAACAGCGAAGGCAGCTTTTAAAAATGATGAAATCGTAATTGAATCTTATTCTGTAAAAATATTCTTTTTTTGTCCCTGCGATGGGTGGGATGAGAGAAATTGCTAGTTCATTTTATCATATTTTATCATATTTTATCATATTTTATCTTACGTTTTTGAGTGTATATTTCTCCCATGGAGAGATAACCCTTGGCACGTTCAGACAACATTTGCCTCCTTTTAGGACATCACTGCATTTTTTTTGCGAAATTGCCGTTCCTTTTTATTATCATATTTATGTAATTATTATTATTTTTTTTTTTTTTTTGTTTCATCTCCCTTCCCATCGCATTTAACGAATTATATACTTATATTAATCATTACATAAACACACTTCTGCACACGTCTGTAATAAAGAAGGGAGAGATGTGTGAGGTGTATGTCACTGTTGCCAACTACATTCGAACTAATCTCAAGTTGTTGTGTTATTTGGGCTTACCATAGTAGTATTCCCAAAAAAATAAAATAGAATAGAATAAAATAAAATGATATGAAATGAAATCATGTTAAACATCACAGCAATATATAAAAAGTTAACTTCTTTTTTATGAAATATGCACTTATTTGTACTGTTTACGTTGGCAAAATAATTTTTTTTTTTTTTTTCAATTTATTTTTATTTCCCCAATTTAAGCAATTTTACTTTCATTTGTTTGTTTTATATTTTATTATTTTATTTTATTTAATTTAATTTTTTTTTCATTTTATACGAAAGTGCTTTTCCCATCCTTTTGAGAAGCAAACTTGGGATACATAGCTCAATTATGTGAAATTGTAATTATTAACCTTTTTTTTTTTTTTTTTTTTTTTTTTTATATATATACAATTTCCATTTTTGGCATATCTGAGACCCGTCGAGGGGATTAGAAGTTGTAATATGATCATTTCCAATGAGGAAGACGAAGAAGAAAATTGTGTCTATGTCTTTTTCTTTCTTTCTTCCTTTTTTTTTTTTTTTTTTTTGTGTGTGTATATTGGGGCTGCAAAGGGTAAGGTAGTTTTTTTTTTTTTTTTTTTTTTTTTTTTTTTTTTTTTTTTTTTTTTTTTTTTTTTTTTTTTTTTTTTTTTTTTTTGTTTGTGTATATTGGGGTTGCAAAGGGTAAGGTAGTTTTTTTTTTTTTTTTTTTTTTTTATGCGCAATGAAAAAGGATAATGTTTGTGTAAAAGGGGATGATTGCTCAGTTATTTATATCATTGTGAATGAGAAAATATGTTACGCGAAATGATATAATATTTTATGGATTCATGATGAGAGATAAAAAAAAAAAAAAAAAGTTTGAGAAAATGATACGCAACCTTTTGGAGATGTAAAAAAAAAAAAAAAGAAGAAAAAAAAAATTTACGAAAATGTGCATGTACATTATTGTGTAAGGCTTAAAACTCGTAGAGATCCACATTGAAGTTCTTCAAAGTGTCTACAAAAATCTGAATGATGGTTTGTGTTGATGCACGTTTTGTAAAATTAGGGTTTGTAATTGCATTGATGATATTAACTTGCTTGTCGACAAATATGTACAACTCTGAGAGGGTTGGGAAGTATCTCTTAAATTTGTCTATGTTTTTAATGAAGTGCATGAAATACTTGAAAGACATGTTATTCTGAAGGAACAGTTGTGTGATATAACTATTTAGATAAAACTTGATGTTTTTATATCGATAATTTGCAGATTCGACATTGTCTATATCCATAAAGTTTGTAATAGTTCCTCTGACAGCATCTGTCGCAGCAGTAGAAGAAGAAGAAGCATGTATGGGGTCATGATGATCTGATTGTTCTTTCGATTTTTTTTGTGCTTTCTCAAAGAATGGTCGTAAATTGTTGATAATGTCATCTATGTTTATGTAAAAATCTTTGTATCCCATGTTGAAAATATAAGATGATGGCATTTTTGACATAACAGTGCGCATAACAAATTTGGAGATTTCTGTGATAAAATATCTAATTTTAAAGGATTCCACTTTTAGTTGTTTCTTTTCCATTTTTTCACTATCAGGAATAAATTCTTTAATAAAATCAAGGAATAAATCTTCCTCATTCATGTGATAATCAAAATTAATTTCATTATTTTGAACTACATCTGGCATTTGAATGAACGGAGTTTGTATAACGTTTAGTATTTTCTGTTCTGTAGGAAATTCTTGTTCAGATATGTAATTTCCAAATGCTTCACAATGCTGCATTTCATCAAAATAGTAATAATTGAAGAGACATGAAAATAGTTGATTTAAAAAGTTAATATATTTTTGATATTTTCTTCCGAGTTGTATATTCAACTGCTTTTGCACATGGTCGTCTGATATGATATGTGGTGCGATAGAATAATCTAAAAGTTGTTTCACAAAGAGAAAGTATAGATCGTGTATGGGTTGAGATATATGTATTTTTTGGAATAAATCATACAGGTACTTATAAATTTTTAGGTAATACAATTCATCTGCAGTTTCGATAATTTTTTTTTTTAAAATGTCAAATTTTGGAAAAGTAATTTTTTTTTTCTTCATAAAATTTTTAAATTTTTCATTCAATTGGTCAAAGGTGATATGCTCCTTTATCAATGTTTGAAGTAATATTTTAAAAGATTTTTCATCTATGATATCATGTAGATCTAGATATTGTTTAAACATTGTTTTTTTATTTACAGGATCATATATTACCCTTCTGTTGTGTATCATTTTTGTCTCTTTGAAATCTGGGGATTCTTGGAGCATAGACTGATAATCATCATTTAGAACATTTCTATTTTTTGTAAATGAAATGTTCAATTTGAAGAAGGATTCGATTTTGTTTTCTTCTTCCTTTTCAAATGAATTACTATTATTATCTAAGAATGTTTCAAAGTGGTGGAAAAGATCAACAATTAGGTTAGAAGTTATTTCAGAAAAATCTGTTTCGAAGAAGTTAACAATATGAGATCTTAAATAGTGTGGCAAGGAAGTAATGAATTCGTGGAATATTTTTAATGCATCTAATTTAAATGGTCTATTATATGATAAAAGATTGGATGGTGTATATCGTTCAAGATATAACTTTTCATTATCACAATAAAGTATATAATTTATTTTATTAAGTATGTTGTGAAAGAGTGATATTAATTGGATATCGCTATTTTGAATGAGAGGTTCCATTTCAATATCAAAGTAAGAGACAGTATGGTAAGAAATTCTAGCCAAAAAGGAGTATGCCAATTTGGACAACATGGATTTTGTATTCTTATCAAATATGTTATCTGAAAAATAGGATTCAACAGCGGAACTTACTTTTTCATATGTAAAAAATTCCTTGTTCTCAGAGTGTAAAAATAATCTCCATAAATTAACCAAAGAATGAATGCGATCATGTATGTAGTCACCCATTTTTTCTTCAAATTTATTTTTCAGCATTGTTCCATCTACTACTGAGAAAATATCTTTAAAATCGAAAGTTGGAAATTTTTGAATACAAGATATGTTTGCTTTTATGTAATGTTCATTGAGTAAATTTCTAGATGATGGATTGACATAATAAGAAAATAATGTCAATGTATCGTTTAATTTTCTGATTTGGAAATTATAAGATGATACAAGTAGTTTTTCTTTTTCAATTTTTGTAAATTCATTAACACTATAATATCTGGATTTAAATTTATCTGTCATGGGTACATTTAATTTGGAAAAAAAGTAATCAATAAATTCATCTATTCCTTTTTTGATACCGTTTAAAAGGAGTGTAGAAAATTCTGGATTTTCTTTTTTAAAATTTTCATACAATGAATTATTCCCGTCTAAACTTTCAAGTATTCCCAGTAGAAATTCATGCAATTTAGGGTTATATTGCAATATTTGTAATTCTTGTTTTGGTTTTAAAAATCCAAGTACATGATTTTTTATTTCATCTTTGATATTAATTCGTTCGTAGTAGCTTTTTAAAACATTTAAGTATGTTAAAACTCTTGATTTTTTGTCTACAGCTTGTATATCATCCATTTTTACTTGCACACCTAGTAGTTCTAAAAATGTTAAGATGTATATAGATAATGTGTCTTGTGAAAGGTAAAAGACTCTTGAATTGTCCAAAATTTTTTCACTTAGGGTTATTATATCTCTTATGTTTACTGAATTTGGATTTGATTGCAAATATTTTATAACTTCTAAAATGGAATCATAAGTCATATCACTTTGTGTTAAATAATCAGATGCAGTTTTTAAAATGTCTTTTAGGTATTCCTCTACCCCATGCTGCATAGTTGGTAGATGACTCAGATAATTCTTTACACTTCCTTGAATTATATTTCCATCTGGAGATAACAAATCTAATTGTTTTAATTCTTCTTTCTCGAAGAGAACCATATTTGGTTCTTTCTGTTCCACTATGTTATATACTTTCACATACATATAGTCTTTAAGAGATTGTAATTTTCCACTTCGAATTAATTTATCTTTTAGTATTTTATTCAGAACATAAAGATCTTTTACTTCTTTCAATTTGTATGGAAAGGTTTGTTCTTTTTTAATAACCCTTAGGTATTTCCTTTTCTCTACTGCTTCTCCCCAAGAATCTCTCCACACATGTTGGCCATATTGTAGAAGTACTGTTCCTCCATCTGAGATAGAACTAACATCATTTTCTGAAAATTCGGTTAGTTTTAATCTAGATCTTTTTGTAGAATCATAAGAGTTGTTATACACCATTTCTGATCTTTCAATGTATTTTTTTAGGATTGCCCAGTACCATAGTACTTTATCTGATGTGTATTTATAATGCACTTCAAATAAATTTGCTTTCTTTCGAGCTTCAGTGAGAGAATTTCCAAATTCATGCAATTTCAAATATTTCTTTAGAAGTGATGTATGTGCTAGTTCACATTGTCTATCTTCATTTTTAATACTTCCGTTTTGGAAAAAATCTGGGTTCGTGAGAATGTAGGTAAGGTTTCTCACATGTTCATTTTTTCTTAATGCATATATCATATTTCTCAAATGGATTATGTTTCTTTTTAAGTAATTGATTGCATCTGGTTGTGTTTGTCCTCCATGTTTTTGTATTAACCGTTCATATTTTTTTAAATCCGTTCTGAAATCCTCCAATTTGGATGCATAGATGTTTGCATTTCTCTGAGCTTCTGCAGACATTTTTTCATGCATATTTTTTTCATCGTAAGGCAATTTTAAATAATCATATGTGTTTATAGTTGGATATTTATAAAATAGGACCTCATTATTAAATGTTTCTGTCAATTTGGTGAGTGCATTATTTTCTATTTCTGTTTCTATCATAATTTCTATCATAAAATGTTCTAAATTTTTTTTTTCCTTTTTTTTTACTAGTTCAGGTAGGAAATATTTAATAGTTTCTGGAGGTTCATTTTCACTATCACTAGTTATGTAATTTAAATCGTTCATTTCTAGATCTCTTTTGATATACAATCTTTCTAATTCATTTTCTTGATTTTCTATTTCAGAGACTATTTCTTTTAATTGTTGTTTTTTTAAATCATTTTTAGATGTATTTTCTGCATTTTCTTCTACTTTGTGAAGCTTGCTTCTGATTTGTATGTCCAATTCGGTATGTTTTTTTTTGTTCTTAAGAATATGTAAAAGAATATTTGCTTCATAAATTTCCCGTTTTATATCATCCAAGGAAAAGAGAAGATCTTTAGTTAGTTTCTCTATTTGTCTATACTCTCCTGCATCTTTATCTGACTCAGGTACGAGTGCATCTGTAAACATTTTGCAATCTTTGTATTCTTTATCAATTTCATATTTGAATGTTCTCAATTTTTTTTCTATTTCGTTTATTGAATCTAATTTTATGATTGTCTGTTCATACCTTTGATCAAGAGCGTCCATATGTTCTCTAAAAGTTTGTGCTTCTTTTTTATTTGTTTCTATTTTCTGTTTCAATTTTTCAATTTCATTTGTTAATGTTTCTTTTTTTTTAATACCATCTGGAGAGTTGTCAGTTTCGAGTTGTAACAATCTCTCTTCTAATACTTTTAAATCATTTGGAAAATTTATTGCTTCTTTAGCTAGTTGGAAAGATTTTTTCTTTATTTTAATTTTTTCTTGTTTGATAGATGTCATATCGATTTCAATCTCTACATGCATATCATTATACATATCATGAGCGACCTGATCAATTTTACCTAAAATATATTCTCTAATCGTTTGTAATTCTTTTCTTACTATTTCATCTCTTTCATTAAAATGTGATTTGATTTTGTTTCTAAAAGTAACATCCATATTTCTAGATATAATTCTTCTAATCTTTGAATATTCTTTTTTATATAATTCTTTTTTCTGTTTATAAATGTCAGTAAATTTTTTTGTCGTTTCAGCTTCATCATAACTGGGTGCTAGATCTGTAACAATTCTAATTGCATATTTAAGAGTAACATTAAGCTGTTTTAAGAATTGCATTTTTTTATTTCCTAAACTTTTTCTAAACTTTCCGTAAAATTTTTGTTGGCATTGTTCCAAAACTTTATCTTTATAGGATTGTAAATTATCATTGATTAATTTGGAAGTGATAATATATTTTCCATCTTTACTTTTTTCCATCATTTTGTCTAGTTGTGCATCTATTTCTGATTTGTAGGTATAGATGTTACTTCTTTTACTCTCTTCATTTTTTATTCTAGTATTTAACTCATCAAATAATTTTTCGTTAGTTTTTATCACTTGATCTTTCAATTTTCCATAATCAGGATCTCCCTTTCTTCTAAACACTCTGTATATAGGTTTTAAATTATTATCGATCTCAGCCACACCTCTGAATCCTGAATCTAGAGCTTTCTTGTATACATCTTCCATTCTTTTATATATATAATTCAAAGCTGTATTGTAATAAAATGATTCTGGAGTTTCTCTAGTTTCATGAATAATTACTTTTTCTATACCTTTTTCTTTTCGTGCTGCTTCTTGTTCTGCACGGAAAGCTTGTTCATCTAGAAGACCTGCTGCATGTTCTTTTTCAAATTTTGCATCTTCCAATGGTTCTCTTATTTTTTCTTCTTCTTCCAATTGCTGTGTTTCTAATTCGTGTTTTCTATCAATTTCTGCGATTTCATCCTCTTCTTGTTTTTTAATTCTTGCATATTCTTCTTCTCGTTCTTCTGCAATTTTTTTTCTTTCTTCTATCATTTCTGATTGCACTGCATTCCTTAATTCGTTGTATTTGCTTAGTTCTCTTGCGTGCACTTCTTCATGCTTCTCGTCTGGGATCTCTTCTGCTTCTGCTTCTTCTTTTTCATGCTCCTTCTCATCTTCTTCATCATCATCATCCAAATCGGTGTCCAAATTGGCATCTACTTCGGAGTCCAATTCTGCATCTGCTTTGTCGTCCAAATGAGCACCCGATTCAGAACCCACATTATCGCTAGTCAGAATTCTCCCTCTTGGCTTCTCCTCCACCTGAACCATCGAGAAGAGAGATGCAGGAAAGACAGACGATGAACTATTCGTTCCAATTTTGAAGAGTCCAACTAGTTGGTTTAAGAATTTATCTAAAGTATCAACCTTGTTTGTACTTTTGTGTTCTTGCATGATTTGTCTTAGGTCTGAATTCCCTTCGAAAAATTTGACAGTAGTATGATATATGTTATAAAATAAGACGAACCCATATTTCATGGATAAGAAATCATATGTACTTTTGAAATGTGGATAAATTTTTTCCACCCAAGGTGTTATGGCTAGCACTTTTTCATGATTATGTGTATTGGGAAGATCACCATATGGTGTAATGATTCTGTAAAAGTTTTTAAAAATATTCCTATAAATGGATTCTGAGATGATTAATAAATCATTATTTTCTTTATATAGTAGGTAGCTATCTTTACTTTTTGTTGGATAATTAGGCATTAAGTGTATGTTAATTTTTTGTAAAAGGTATGAGAAAATGGTTGCTGCTACTCGTGGAGATATTTCAACATCTGTGATGTTTACTAAATCTGTAGCAAAATTGATTATATCATTTTCTGTACAATTAAGTATGTAATTTCTTGAAAATAAATGATGTATTAGCTTAAGATCCAGAACCCTCAAATTGTTTTCTATTAAGAACTTTTTGATTGCTTTTTCTATTTTGTAAACACTTAACTTATCTTTTGCTGTTGAAATGTATTTAATGCTGGAAGTTATATTTCTGAATGTACCTTTTTCATTGTGACTATTATTAGAGAGGAAAAAGAAATCGTTCATGATTGTATCTAGGGAAAAAGAACCTACATCATAAGTGTAATCATAAAAACTGAACCCAGAAAGGAGTATATAATTTTTCAAAGTGTCATGTATACTTTTGTAAGCTTGTTTGACGAATAGATAAATGTCTGTCTTGGGTACATTATTTATTTTGTAAATTTTTTTAGCTCCCAGTTCTTCATCATTTTTAAGCAAAATGTGTAATGAAGTTAAAAAGGAAGAATAATCTTTCATTTCAATATTGTAAGAAATTTGTGGATTCATTTTATCAGCTTCTAATTCCTTATCACCAGTTGGTGATTCGTTATAGAATCGTTCATAACCAATTTGTATATTTTTATGCATATCTTTATTTTCTTTATAATGAAAAATTTCTTTTATTTTGTACATAGTACTATTTTCTTTTCCAAAAAGGTACATAGTATTGTTTTTTTCATTTTCTTCAGTGTTCCATTGTGCATCCTTTGGAAGTTCAAATGTATTATTTATTTCTGTTACTGTTTCGATTATTTCTTTTGTATTTGTTGGAAATAACATTCCAGTTTCTTCATCTACAATCAATTTTATCGAGTCCGGTTCTGATCCTTTAGGTTCATCTTGTTGTGTTGGAACAACAACATTTTCAACTTCTCCACCTGATGTTATGGGGTGGCACTCCACTGGGACCTCTGAAACTGCATCTATGTCTTGTAATGGAAAAACGGGTTCATATTTTCTTTCTTCTACTGGTGTAATATCTACATTGTTATGCAAGTAATATATCTTTCCTTTGTATTTGTATATAAGATATGGTGGTACTATATTAATAGTTTCTTCAAGAGTATCTGGTATTTCTTCTGGAATTACTTTGGTTTCTTTCAAGTATTTTATTATCTGATCAAAGTTTAGATCTTTCCTGCATCTGACCACTCCAATCACCAGATACACCACCACTAAGCATATCCATAGCCTCACCATTTCTTTGGTTCCACAAAATTTCACGAAGCGAAAAAAAAAAAAAAAAAAAAAAAGTCTCTTCCAACTCTTCCCTTTGGAGTATGCCTCACTTCCCCTGTTCTTTTGTATCACTTGCAGATGCACAATCGTTGTGAGGTATTCAAAGGGAGATAAGTGCATTCACAAGGGCGTGTACACATGTATGCGTATGTATGTATATGTGTGTGTGTCTGTCAGTATGTATGTATATGTGTAGTCTTAAGAGTGGTTTGGAGGGCAGTGAAGCTAGCACATACTAAAACTTTACCCTTTGAAAATGATCCCTCTTTTTCGAGATGCAGAAATAGAGAAGGAATATTATGAACGAGTAAATGAATCAATATGTTAGTTTGGTCCCTAGATGTACCATGCTTTCTGTCTTTATTGAAAAGTATTGCACATGGTGATGCCTTTTTGATATACATATATGATCAAGTTCAAGTATACGTTTGAAGAGTTATTCACAGAAAAACGGGTACTCAATTGTGTCCATATATATATATATATGTATATTTATATATTTTTTCTTTTTCTTATGCGTGCACATGCATATGTTTTCACGCAAGAGAGGTTTGTTCGTCGAGAATGTTGTATGGCATATTCAAGTGGTGTTAGGAAGGGTTACATAAAAAAAAATATAAAAAATAACAGCAATAGTGACGCTATAAGTAAGAGAAATAATAAGGTAATAATAATGATAATAATAATAAAATTTAAAATGAAGATATTCTAAAATGTGCTAAAAGCATTATACACACACTTTGGTTCACACCATGTACACATAGGGATAGCAGAAAAATTGATGAAAAATGTTTATATTTCTATTTTTATGCACAATGAAGGACGTAAAAGGGAGATATAAGTTGTTGAGAAGGACTGTAAAAATGTGTGTTGTTGTATTTTTCTTCTTACGACTTAGACACACGTGTATGCAGATATAGAAGGATATGATCAAAGGAGTTTCCACAAATGATTGAAGATATGTCAACATATCTTCGTTTGGAGATGTGTTTGATTTGTCTATCTTTCACCATACACTTTTTTTTTTTTTTTTTTTTTTTTTTTATTGCTTTGTTCATTTGATATATTTTTCCCTTCCCTACATTCGGTGTCCTTACTTTGATATAATATTTTTATTTCCTATGTTCATTTCTTATTTACACTTCCTAAGTTTATTTTCTGCTCTTCCTATTTTCATTCCTATTCTTACTCTTATTCCATATTTTCGTTTCATATTTTTATTTCATATTTGTCTCTTTTTTTTTTTTTTTTTTTTTTTTTTTTTTTTTTTTTTTTTTTCATTCCTTGTGATTCATAATTCAGGATGGTGAAATTTGGAAAATAAAAATTGTAGATGTGTTCTCATCACGTTGGTGGAAAAAAAAAAAAAAAAAAAAAAAAAAAAAGCCTACGACTTGAGATATTTACATATAAACACACCTAAAATTGGAAATATGATTTGAATACACTTCACTCAAAAAATCCTGACCTGGAACAAAATCTAATCAAAATAAGTTAAGAAAAGAAAAAAAAAAAAAAGTGAGTTTTTTTTTTTTTTTTTTTTATCATTCTGTAAGAATTTTTAAGTGTACCTATTGTCTAAGTTGGAAAAAAAAAAAAAAAAAAAAAAAAAGATCAATGAGTTAGCTGAACTTTTTATGAACAGCTACTAGGCTTGACTTGGCTCGACTTTGCTTTGTACGTGTGCATGTACCTGTACTTATATATGTCAATATTTTCTACGCTACTCAAGTGAGCATATTTTCCTTTTCCTCATGTTTCTTTTTTTTTTTGTGTGTGTATGTATGTGTGTAGATGTTCCGCTTCATTTGGAACTAGTCAGGTATATGATCAACATGTGATGGTAATATTTGTCGTGTCCTTTTTTTTCATTTTTTTCTTTAACGTTAAGATATTTTGACATATATTTTGTGGTGACACGTAGAATCATTACAATGTTTTTTCCACCATTTGGGGATAGCAAATGCAAGACAATGTGTGCATTGTAAAGCACGACAGGTCAAAACTAGCATGAGATGTTGTATTTCTCTTTTTATATTGGTGAAAAAGTGTTTCTATATGTGTGGCCCGACAAAGAAAGCTTCTTCCTTCTTTACACATTTTGATGTTTTTGAAAAGAAGAAAATGAAGGGAAAAAAAAAAAAAAAAACACATAAAAAAATTATCTCTCTCTTTTTTTTTTTTTTTTTTCTTCTTTTCTACCTGTGTAAGTAGTGAATGGAATAGAATTAAGAGCATGAAAATATGCTTTTTTTCAAGGCACTTTTTCCACATTTGCACATAATAACACTCTGTCGTTTGTCATAGCGAAATATATTATTAACAACTGAATAAATGTGCATATGTGCATACATGTATGTGTAGCAGGATCTGTGCTCCATTCTCATGAGAGTCTTTGTTCTGTTGTGTGAAAATGGAACGCAAGAAGAATGGACTTAAATGTAAGTTTAAAAATCAGATAATGCAGGTCAGACCGATGGTGTTATTTTCTGAAGCGGTAAAAACGGGGAATAAAAATAGAGAGATAAAACTTGTAGGCTGTGTGATTTGTTGTTGGTTGATCTGTTCATCCTTTTAGCCTCCTTTTTTTTTTTTTTTTTTTATCTTTTCACTTGTCTTATATTTTTAAAAAAATAGGAAACTTCTCCTGTTTCATTGTATCCTCCGTCATGATGTGTATATCATATGTGTTAGGACAAGCATATATGTGGAAATGTACATATTTTTGTGTGGATGTACGTGTGCAGATATGCATGTAACATACCCATGTAGAAACGCAATTAAAAGAAGTGTACATGGGAAGTGACATCTCATGACCAAGCTAATACATATTCTCTGCAAAAAAAAAAAAAAAAAAATTAAAGAATGAAAGAATCACATGGGAAGCAAACGGGTGATACTTTTTGGTTATCTGCTTCCCTTTACACCTCCCAGTATCTGTAAACAGAAACTTCATCATAAAAAATTTTCCCATGTATTTTTTTTAAAACTTTTTTTCTTTTTTTTTCCCTTTTTTATGTCCTAGAATTTGTTAAAATTTGCTGCGATTTATTTATTTATTTTTTTTTTTTTTTTTTTTTCCCTTTCTTCCTTATACATTAACCATGGGAGGGTGATGGGAAGAAGATGGTTATTCCGACAAGTTGTTCCGTGTTGATTGGAGAAAAAAATTGTGAAATAAGTGAAATTGTGAAAATGTAAAAGTAGTGAAATTGTAAAAAGGATAAAACAAGGGAACATAAAATGTGTCATGAAATAGAATAATTATGACACAAATAAAAAAACTTTTTTTGCATATATAATATCCATCATCCCCAAGTTACGCTTTTTTTTTTTTTTTTTTTTTTTTTTTCTCTTCTGTTTGGCCGAGGTAAGTTGGCGAGTTTTTTCCCACCTTGTATTTTTTGTAATTACTTGCTGCAACTACGGATTGGAAAAAGTAGATTAGGATAAAGATAAAAAAAAATAACAAAAAAAAGAAAATTTTGCAATGTTTCTTCTTGATGGAATTATGCAGTGTTGAAAAAAAAAAAAAAAAAAAAGAAAAAAAAAGAAAAAAAAGAAAAAAAAAGAAATAAAACAAAAATGAAATAAAAGAGTAAAGAAAAGAAGTGAAAGAATTGAAAGGAATGAAAGAAATGAAAAGGAATGAAAGAAATAAAAGTGAAAGAAATAAAAGAAGCGCAAAAGAGAAAATGACGTAAAGGAAGAAAAAAAAAAAAAAAAAAAAAAGAAAAGATTAATTAGATTATATTAGATTGTGATAAGTAACGATTTATTGGAAATTGACAATTTTTTTTAGTTCTCCTTTTCATGTAGCATTTTACATATTTTCACGCCCTTTCACATTTTTTTTTTTTTTTTTTTTTCATAATCTCTTCTTGATTTTTTTGTTATTTTGTTATTTTGTTTTTTTGTTTTTTTTTCCTCTTCTCACTTGGCTCCTCCTCAATCACCTCTTCTGAATTGGTGTCTTTCCTAGTTTTTTTGGTATCCATGTGCTGCTCCCTCATCCCTGAATGTTCCATGAGTCACTGTTTTGTGAAGTACAAATGATTACCCATGTAATCGTGAGTGGAAAGGATAAGTGCTAGAAGAGCAAAAGTGAAAATAAAAACCAAAAAGGATGTGCTCCGTTTCAATTTGAAAAGAAATAGGTGAAGAGGACAAGACTGACATATATTACAGGAATTTTGAAAACAAACGTAGCTGGAGCAGAATAGGAAGAAGTTAACACCACAAATTAGAATAACAATTATTTAACATTTCAAGACATCTCGAAAAGTTGACAACTTACACACGCACACACACACAGAAAGAAGAAACATAAAATGAAAAGGAATTCTTTTCCAGAAGAGGAGAAGTAAAAAAAAAGGGATATAAAAAAAAAAAAAAAAAAAAAAAAAAAAAAAACTGTTCAAGGTTATAAATATAGCGTGATACACAGTACAGCAAAGGCATATGTGGCAAATCCCACACGCTTATGCAATGAAAAGATTCTTAGCATGAATGATCTGAGTGTATTTGTGTGCACTTTTTCGGATAAAGTTTATTCCAGATTTTTCCCACCAAAGAGAAGAGAAAGGGAGAAAAAGTACAACAAAACAGGTAAAAGAGAACAAAACAGGTAAAAGAGAACATAACAGGTAAAAGAGAACAAAACAGGTAAAAGAGAACTAAACAGGTAAAAGAGAACATAACAGGTAAAAGAGAACATAACAACTTAAAATAAAATAAGGGCAAGTACCTACATGCTCGTGCACAGAGAGAGGACGCACGAGGAGGGAGAAGCAAAAATTGACATGATCCACAGGGGTGCTTCGCACAAAATAAGATAAATTGAAAAAAAAAATAAATAAGTAAAATATAAATAAAAATGTCAGAAGCTATGCCCATAAAAGTGAAGAAATACAAAAAGATGAAAAATGAAACTGAAGACTTCTTAATAGCATTTCTGTTTGACATTGTCTTCTTTGCAATTTGTGTATGTACATGGATGTATTTGAGAAAGAATCGAGATGAAAATAAAATAAGTGATAATATATATATACTGAACAATCAGAATCGTGGAGAAGGGAAAGCAGATAAGAGTGCTGCAAATGTGAAGGAAGAAGATGTTGGGAGAAGAAGGAAAGGTAACAGATTCAGAACATTTCTAAATATAAAAGATGATAAAATTGTAAATACAGAAATAAAATATTATTTATTTTTCTTAAAAGCAAATAGGAATATTATATTTTCTTTATGTATATTGGGAACGTTTCTTGTATTACCATTATATTTGTCTCTCCCTCGAAATGACATAAATAATCCATCGTTTTTTCATTACATAAGTGCTGGTAGCATTTCAGACATTAACATTATGACAATTTTATTTTTTATTACTATAATTTATAGTGCAATCTCGTATACATTTATTTATTTATTGTGGAAGAAAATAAGACCAAGTAAAAAAAAAACCAAAAAATTCTTACCTCAGAATTTTACCATTATGGTTTCTCGTATTGACAAAAATGAAATAAATGCTTATAAGATATATCAATACTTTTGCAATCTGACAAATAATAAAGTTGTATCAGCTTACCTCATTTTGGATTATTCCATTGTTTACCATGAGCAGAAAAAGATTTTTAATGCCACGAAAAATTTGAAACTCCTAAAAGAAAATGAAGAAAAGAAAAATATTAAGAGGGATTGGTCAAAGAGATTTCTGCTAAGTTTTCTGAACAAGAGGAAGGGTCAAAAGAATGAGAAAAATGGAAACGGTAATGATGAAAAGGGAGAAATAAATGGAAAAAATGGAAACGGTAGTGATGGAGTAAGAATGAAGAATAACTCCTCCCAAGTATCTCCTTTACAGTTATGCGATGCAAATGGAATGGATTTGAATGATAGACCAAATAAGGACTCAGAGAAAATTTTAGAGGGGGAGAAAAAAAACGATTTTTCTATAAGTAATCTCAAGACGAAGCAGAATGGCCTTTCTCCAGAATTTCTATCACACTGTGGGAATGAGAATGTGAATAAAATGAAAAATTCAAAACAGAATGAAAATAAAAAGATAGATCACTCTAATCAGGGACGAGAGGAACACGAAAATATAAATTCTGTACATGATATGAATGATTCTAATTTTATGAGAAATGATACAAGTGGTGAGTATGATAACAAGCGACACTATGAATCCAATGAGAACGAGAAAAAGAAAATAAATTGCTTATTGGATAACATTGGCAGTGATGAAATTGAAATTTCAAAATATAATATTGAAGGAGAAGCGTACTATGGAAAAACAGGAGATACAATCGGATTGGGAATCACCACAAGCAGAAGTGACAATGACGAATGCAAGCTTAGACACAGAAAATCAGGAATGAGTGAAAAAGAAGAAGAAAAGAATGATGTGAAATGTGAAAACTATCGAGAAGGAGGAGCAGGTGGAGTAGGAGGAAATCTAGTTGATGATGAACCAGGAATTTTTCTAAAAGATGATACTACCGATGATGAATATGATGGTGTAGCTGGTGGTGGTGGAGTTGATGATGGTGCAGCTGATGATGCTGTCCAGAGGAGAAAAATAAGAAAAAATAAAAACAAAATTTCCATTAAAAATTATGGATATAAACTAGATATTGAGAACGATAATTTAATGAGCAATAATAATGAAATGTTATTTTATGATTTGGAAAATTTATCAACAAAAGAAAATGATAATCTTGATAAGAATTATAAGAAAAAAAAAAAGAGTAGATTCAAATCAGAATCGAAAAGAAATATATTTCATAAGTTATTTTTCTTTTTAAAAAAAAATAAAAAAAGTCACTGGAAGAAAAAATTAAAAGAGCATTTAATTAAATTCTATTCTATAAAAAATGAAACCCCAAAAAAATCTACAGGAGTATGTTTTGTTTCTTTTATCGACACAAAATCAGTGCATGATTGTATTCATAATATACCATTTACTGAAAGAAACAAATGGATTATATCGAATGCGCCCCCAAATTATGATATTATATGGAAAAACTTAAAAAATCACAGCTACAAAGTTTGTGCTAGGTTCATAATATTGAATGCTTTGCTACTACTGGCCAACACAATTATTATTTTGACTGTCACATCTATTGACAATATTTTGAAGCTCAAGATTAAGAAGTACCGTGAGGAGGATCCCAGTTCTGGCAATATCAGTGCCATATTGATAAGTAATTTTTTATCGAATCTCGTTCCACGTAATCGTGGAGAGGGAATATGGGAGCGCATCTCTGAATGCACGGTTCAGTTCATGTCTAGTTCATGTTTGGTGCACCACCGTTTAGTTCACGTTTAGTGCGCCGTTTAGTTCATGTTTGGTGTACCACTGAATGCACTGCTCCCATGTTTTTTTTTTCCTGAGAACGACTCATTTCTGACGTGGCATCCTTTTCTCCCTATTTCCCAATGGCAGCATGGCTATCCCCTTTTATTGTCATCCTCGTGAATAGTATTATACAACCATTCCTAATCGCTTGTGTTTCGATTGCTATTGGATTTATAAGAAAATCTAGTGAACACACGTATGTGTTACAAGGAAATTTTATCTTTTTAATTTTAAACACAATTATTATCCCATTGTTATCGTTGTCCCCATTGAGTTCCTTGATAAAGGTAGGTTCTGCTGGATAGATGTCAAGAGAGGGAATATTTAATGTTTTCTTGTTGTATGGATTCCATCAAACTCTTTTTTTTTTTTTTTTTTTCTTATTTTTTTCCCTTTTTTTTCTCATTTTTTCCCCTTTTTTTTCTCATTTTTTCCCCTTTTTTTTCTCATTTTTTTCTCATTTTTTTCCCTTTTTTTTCTCTTTTTTTTCTCATTTTTTTCTCATTTTTTTCCCTTTTTTTTCTCTTTTTTCATGTTTTCATCCATTTTTCAAGCATCATTCGTGTCACTTGATAATTTTTTTTTTTTTTTTTTTTTTACTCTCCCTCAGGTTATGTACTCAGACGAAATAGGACAATGGTCAACTCGTTTGGGAACGTATCTGTTTAATTCCAGTGGATTCTTTGCTATGAGATATTTGCTTCATTGCTGTTTTTTGACTTGTGCAAATCAGTTGCTGCAGATTCCACAATTTTCAAGTAAGACACTCCTGACATTGTCAATTGCACGACAGATATGTGTTCTGGATTCCTCTTTTGAGGTGTGCAAGTGTACCATTCGCTTCTCCCTATTCATGCGCGCATTGTTGGTAAAGTAGACCCAACTAGCTGAAGAGACATATACCGATTGGTTAATTTATACAACTATGATATACATATTCCTTTTTTTTTTTTTTTTTTTTTTCAGTTCGATCTATTGTTAAAACTGTAACAAAAAAGGAAACAAGTGCATGGACCTTTGACTTTGGATATTGGTATGGATTCAATACAACAATTTTGGCCTTGATATTAACATTTAGGTATGTCTATTTTTGAGAACTAATATTTTTTTTTTTTTTTTTTTTTTCTCCTATCCGCAATTTTTTTTATTATATTTTATAACCGATTTGATAACAAGTTGGTTAACTGTTTGTTGGCTAACTGTTAATTTTCCGTCGCTTTACATTTATCCCACATATGTATATATAATTATGTATCTATAAATATGCATACCTATATATGTATCTATAAATATGCATACCTAAATATGTATCTATAAATATGCATACCTATATATGTATCTATAAATATGCATACCTATATATGTATCTATAAATATGCATACCTAAATATGTATCTATAAATATGCATACCTAAGTATGTATCTATAAATATGCATACCTAAATATGTATCTATAAATATGCATACCTAAGTATGTATCTATAAATATATTTGTAAATCCCCCTCCCCCTCTATCGCTTAGTGTCGCCGTTCCTTTTATCCTCCCGCTGGGCTCGCTGTACTTTTTTCTCCGTTACTACATAGACAAATATAACCTCATATATGAAGTATGCAGAACGAATTTGGACAGTCATGGAGCTATAATAAGAACGGCCATTAAGTTTATGCTTTTTTCAGTGGCTTTTTTTCAAGTAAGCTTTTTTTATTTTTTGTTTCCTTATTTTCCCCTCCCTTTTTTTGTTCATTTTTGCGCGCATTTTTTTGTTCATTTTTGCGCGCATTTTTTTGTTCATTTTTTCACACATCTTTTCACATTTTTTCACACATTTTTTGGCTCATTTTTTCACACATTTTTTGGCTCATTTTTTACCCCCCCCCCCTAGCTCGTCATGTTCACCTTCTTCTCGAGGGTGCAAAATAAATTCATCTCGGTCGGAAGGAACATCCTCTTTTTATCGTCATCCCTGACGACATTATTACTGTTATGTCGATCAACTGAATGGGTAAGCACAAACCATATAAAGAAGAAGAAAGGGAAAAGAACATTTTGTTACCTGTGTGAAAAGAATGTCTATGTAAGTAACTTGAAGGATTTGAATAAATTGAAGTATGCTTATGCCAATCCTTATGAAACAAAACGATGAGTGTGTCTGAGGCGACGTGATCGTGTGGATAAGCCATTTATATTATGCAGAAGTGTGTGTATTTATGTATATATGTGAGTGTTTGTATATGTATACATATGTTTGAGCGCACACGAGACACACAAGGCACACGGGGGTAAAATGACTTTCAGACAACAATGGAAAGATATGTTTCATTTTTAAGCCGAAGTTTGTGAAAGAGTGTACAAAGTGAACATTGCAAAGAATGTATATGCGTATGCGCATACAACGACATATGTATATATATGTATATATATATGTACATATATATGTGTATATATATGCATGTGTGTGGGATGTGGGGATGGGAAAATGTCCCCGTTTTACGTATGAATCCGAATTTAATTTTCGTCTTTAATGCATCATATCATTTTTTGAGAAAGGTGTGAATCAAGAATTTGCTGAGTGGGGGGGAGACACATCCTTTTTTTTTTTTTTTTTTTTTTTTTTACTCTATTTTTTAAGATATAGTATTTATTTTTTAAGCGTATTTAATTTTGTTTGTCATCGTTATTGTTTTTGTTTTGGTTTTTTCCCCATTTTCCTACATTTATCTTTAAATAGCCTCATTTCACACGTGCCACTTTTATAGGGCATTGTTTTATTTATGTTTTTATATATTTTTTCTTTTTCATTTGTGTCAAAAGAAGTGCCATATTATTTTGCAGTTCATCACAGTAATACCTCTGTATAATTTGTACACATATAAAAGTATACATCCATTGTATTATATATGATTCTATGACATTCTTTTTAATATTCACTTAAGAATAAAAATAATAATTTAATAAAAACACTTTTTGGCTTGTTTTTTTTTTTTTTTTTTCTTTTGCTGCAATTTTTTTTGCAATTACAACTATCTTTTTGGGAAGTGTGGCGTGGATGTAACGAACATCACTTCATATGTATTTTGTGTGGACTGTGTCTATTTTTGAAGTTGCAAACGAGAAGTTATGTATTCTATATATATATATATATATATATATATATATATATATATATATATATAAGGTCTAGTAGTGTGGTGGCTTGGTCACCTGTGAGTGACAGAGAATATATAATGAATGTGCCTTTTCTGTCAAAAGATCTTTCACCTGAAACGTTCTTAAAAATTGTGGAAACAGAGAATTACTTAAACAGTGTTTTAGGGGTTCTGATTTTTCCTTCCTATTTTTTTTTATTCTTAAAAGGTTGAAAAGGTTTTTACACATTAACGAGGGGAAATGAAAGGATAATGTTTTTTTTTTTTATTTTTTTTTTTTTGCATGAACTGTTCAGGTAAGATATAGAAAAAAAAAAAAAAAAAAATCAATTTGACAATTTTCGTGCATAATACATTTTTTTCGTACTAATGAGATGGGAACATGCAAAAGTTGCTTAAATAATACATTTTAAATTTCGATAATTTGTAGTCGAAAAGATTTTGGGAGCTAAGGCTGCTTTGTTTAGGAATGTACAATATTGGCATACGCAACCCGTTCTACTTTTTTTTAGGCCTGCCTCTTTGCGTTTGTGTTTTTTTTTTTTTTTTTTTTTTTTTTTTTTTTTAGCGTTTTAAAATTGTTTAACATTTAAATTTTTTTTTTTTTCCCCCTGTGCAAATAGGAGAGGAGGCAAAAGATTAGCACATGTGTATATAATGAACACAGTTGGATGTGAAACTTGATATTTTACACTTCACTTTTGATATTTTCTTTTATTTTTTTTAGAAAGGGCCTAGCTCATATTTTGTGCTACATATTATCTCGAATTAGTGAAATCTCAGTGGGCGGGCATATAGCTTTTTGCAAAGCTCAAATAAGTGGATCCCCCAAAAGTTATAGCTTAATTATATATACGTTTTGGGAGGGGAAAAGTCATGTAAGCACAACCTCAGAGAACAACAGGGGCGTATGTACATACATACACATATAGTTTTGAATAGGCATACACAATTGGCATAAAAAGTAGGATTGTATACGCTCGATTTACCAAGAAAGAGGGGTAACAAAAAAAAAAAAAAAAAAAAAAAAAAAAAAAAAAAAGAAAACTTGGAAATGAAAAAAAAATAACAAACTTGGAAATGAAAAAAAATAACAAACTTGGAAAAGAAAAAAAAATTAAAAACTTGTAAAAGAGAAAAAAAAATTAAAAACTTGGAAAAGAAAAAAAAAAAAAAAAAAAAAAAAAAACGTGGAACTTTCAGTTGTGCATGTATAGGACATCGGAAGGGAAGAAATTTAATAGAGAAAGAAACCAAGTAAATTTGAGATTGACAAATTAAGAGGCTCACATGTGCATTTCGTTAGTTTAAGTATATTCATCAGGCTACATATACACGCATGTATGGAAAAACGTGAGAGTATGTAACTAGCGCACTTGTTTATATTTTTATTTAACCACATTTTCTCAATGTGTTCTATTAAAAAGGGAAGATTGTATTCATGCAGGTGGCACGTGTATATGCCTTGAGAAGAACATATTGTTGCTTTTTTATTTATTTCTTCATTTGTTTATTTCTTTATTTTATTATTATTTTATTTATTATTATTTTTTTTTTTTTTCTTTTTTTTGCTTGCAATAGAAGCTTCTGATTGTGCATTAGAATGGAATATCACTGAACGTTTATAATACTGTCCATTGGATTTATCACCAAGGGTGTACATTTTTATCCTATTCGGATTTTGTTCTGAGCATCGTGAGGTTTACCATTATGGTAAGTAAAGAGAATGGAAAGACAGCGAAGGATAAAATGGAGGGGGATAGAAAGGCGGAATAAAAAGGAATAAAAATATATGTACATACATATGTACATATATATATATACATACACACATACATACGTGTAAAGCTTGAGCAGAAAATGCCTGAACATGTGCATACTTTTTGTGTACACTTGATCCTAATGTGGATATTCACACAACAGAATCTGTCCTTATCTTTCCTATATTTTTTTTTTTTTTTTTTTTTTACTCCTTTCTCCACATTATACGTAGCTGTCCAATATTTTCGGGAGCGTGTGTTCGATCGATCTGAAAATAGAAGCAGAAGAAAATCGAAAGTTCGCCTTTTTGAGGAAAGACAAAAAGGGAGATAAGTGTCCAATATTTTCAGATGGAGAAGACATAAATGGAATCGCCACAATTAGTTTAAAACCTGGAAAGAAGTTTGAACATTATGGAATAAAATTAGAATTAATAGGTCAGATAAATATCCTAAATGATAAGTCTAATTCATACGATTTTTTCTCCATATCGAAAGACTTGGATCCCCCGGGATTTTTAATAGAAAGCAAACAATTTAAATGGAAATTTTCAGCTGTTGATAAACAACATGAATCATATTTTGGAACAAATGTAGAGTTACGTTATTTTGTAAGATTAAATATAATAAAAGGATATTCAGGAAGTATGCAAAAAGAAATAGATTTCATAGTTCAAAATTTATGTATACCACCTGAAATTAATAGTACAATTAAGATGGAGGTAGGCATTGAAGATTGTCTACATATTGAATTTGAGTATGATAAATCAAAATATCATTTGAAAGATGTAGTTGTTGGTAAGGTTTATTTTTTACTTGTTCGAATTAAAATAAAACATATGGAATTGGATATTATAAAAATGGAAACATCTGGAGTTGGAAAAAATTACACTACTGAAACTGTAACATTATCTAAATTTGAAATTATGGATGGGTCTCCCATTAAATCGGAATGCATTCCTGTACGCTTGTATTTGAGTGGCTTTGATTTGACTCCAACTTACAAAAATATCCAAAATAAGTTTTCCGTTAAGTATTATATTAACCTTATAATTGTGGATGAAGACGAGAGACGTTACTTCAAGAAGCAAGAAATTTTTCTTTGGCGGAAGAAGTTGGGATGAGATACGCCACCCCCTCATCCCCTATCCCCAATACTATAGAAGAACCAATGCTAGTGTTAGCAGTTTGTCCTACACAGTTTTCGTGTGAGAAAAAAAGATTCAACTTCCATGATGATTGGTATGCGGAAGAATAAATTAGCACATGGCCACGACCGAATAGGTGTGTAATGTATGCATGTATGTACGTGCGTGTGTGGATGTTTTACCTTTACGACTGATTTGTATGGAGGAAACGAGCGATGACATGTCAGTATTGTCGACATGCATACACCTGAACGTTGGGATAGTTATCAAATTGTACACACACGTGTGCATGTATGCATGTGTGCATATATGTAAATATGCATGCATTATATGTATATATTTATATCGCCCACCTATGGCACTGCAATGATTTGTACCTGTATGCAAAAGCAGTTTATGCACATGCGAGTCACAGCATTTAGTTGAACAATACCGTGTGTGTGTGACCCCCTCCACACACCATCCACTGCTATTTTGCAAGGTTGCATATATGTATACATATATATATACAAGCAAATGATTGTTTAGTTTGAGCATATCCCTCTATATGAGAAGAAATCTTGAGTGCACATATTGAATAGTATCACTTATGTGTAGGCATTATTTTTTTTTTTTCTCATTCATTTTTTACATTTTTTTTTTAATTATGTACAATGATGTGTGAAGTTGATATTTTTTTTTTTTTTTTTTTTTTTTTTTTTCTGAGCACATTTCGCTAGTTCACATTTGCATGGTCATAATTCATAAAAATTGGAAGATTTTTTTTTTTTTTTTTTTTTTTTTTTCCTACCTATTGAAAATCAACTTGAGAATTTTGAATAAGCATAACTTGTTATAGATAATGCAGATATCAAGAAGCTGAAAATAAGTGTAAGACCACATACTACAAGTTGTCAGAGTTTTTAAATTATTTTCCTATTTTATTGAGAAGCACTTTTTTTTGACATCTCCCTTCAAAACATGTACATATATACACGTATATATATGTATATATAAACATAGTGCACGTATTTGATATGGTGTATATACGCATGTGCACAGAGAGTGGGTGCTTTGTTAAGTAAATTATTACAACTTTTCAAGAAAAAAAAAAAAAAAGTGGAAAAAAATACGGGAGCTCGCGGGTAAAAAGTTACTAAAGAATTAATCCCATCGATCTATCTGTCTATATATCTGTATATATGTGTGCCTATATATCTGTATATATATATATATATATATTGCCTATATATTTGTCTACTTATCTGTCTATATATCTGTCTACATATCTTCTATATATCTGTCTACATATCTTTTCTTTTCCTTTTTTTTCATTCCTATGTCCATTTAACTATCGGTTATGTGTGTTCCCTGGGGGGAAAATGAACAACAAAAAAAATGTGAAATAATTCTTTGTTTTACTTTTTTGTGCCGAGCATAACAAACTCTTAGCATTGTATATGTCATTAAAAAAAAGTAGCAGTACTGCTGTGGATAAGGCAAAAATAGTTTTTTTTTTTTTTTTTTTTTTTTTTTTTTTCTATCTTCTCTTGCCTAATTTTGTGAGTTAGCTAGCTCGTTTTCTCATACAAGAGTAAAAAGTTTGGAAATTGACTATTCCTTTTTTTTTTTTTTTTTTTTTTTTTTTTCCCTTTATCTCCTAAATATATTGTTGAATGGTTTGATATAGATTAGCACATTAGCATAGATCAATTGGTAGTAGAGATCAAGGTTGCTCTCGTTATCCATCTCTTTTTATATGATTAAAATAACTTTTTGTATTGTGTAAAAATAGCATAAGAGTTGGTAAAGAAAGTAATAAAAAAAGTGTAAAATAGAATCACTATATAAACACACGCTAGTGATTTCGTGATAGGAATGGAAAAGACATCGAAACGGTCTCGTGTGTCTTCCTTCACGAATTTACTGGATAAACAATACAACAATAGACAAAAGGAAACAGAAATAAAGCTATTTGAAAACATCAAAACGGATATTAGCATTATCATAAGTGAACAACTGAAGAAAAGGTCTAAAACAGAATTTGAATTAAATGCCATTAAGAAAAAATTCATTTATTTAAAATGCATATCAGAAGAGTTAGAGAGAATGATAAAGGATGGAAAAAGAGAATTAAAAATGGAAGAGGAATTAATTAAAAATTATTTTGAATACACAACGACAAATTTGGGATATGTATTTATAAAGTATGAAAATATTATAAGCGACTTGAGTGATCAGAATGGGCATATGAAAATGAAGTTAAAAAATATAAAAGAAAATGAGTTAACAGAATTCGAGTGTGCGTACCAACTGTTGGTAGAGAAAACTAACAAGCTTAGTGTAACAAAGGAAAACATTCTAAAAATGCAAACATGTGTTAAAAATTTGAAAAAAGAATATGAACATGTTCAGGCAGAAATAGAAATAAAAAAGGAAGAAAAGTGCATAGTCGAAAAGAAGTATAAAGAATTACTTTTCAAAATAGAGGAATATAAAAAGGAGTTTGAAATGATAAAAGAAAAATGTAATTCTCAAATGAATGAAAAGAAGCAAAGTTCCATCGAATTAAGTGTAATTGAAGAAAAAGTGACCCAAGTGGGAAAAGAAATTCAAACTCTGTCTAGTGAAAAAAAAAGAAAAAGTGATGATCTGCAAAATTTAAAAGAAGAAAATGAAAATATACTAAATAATATATATCAGCACAATTCTAACATTAATGACAAATGTGATCTTCTAGTTGCAGAAATGAACGAATTAGAAAGTGAGCTAACTCTGCTAGGGGAAGATAAAAATACATTAAATGAAAATTACACAAATTTAGAGAAAGCACTTGTAGATGTATCTCAAAAATGTGAATGTAGCAAAAAGGAAAATGAAGAGGAATCACTTCTCATCAAAGAGTTGAGTAATGACTTAATTAAAAAGAAAAATAATTTGAAAGAGAAGGAAGATGAATTTTCAAAATTAAATGAACAGTGTAATGAGGTGAAAAATAAAAATGTTCAATTGGTTGATGTTTACAGTAATGTGAAGAAAAAAATAGAAGTTGTTAATGCATCTATTAATGAATGTCGAAATGTTTTTGAAGCACTCAAAATGGAATTAGTAAATTTAGAATGTGCCAAATTGCAAAATGAAAAAACAAAAGAAGAAATTTCAAATTGTATGGACAATTCTGAGAAAATACTTGTTCATCAGAAAAACTTTTTTTTTAAGTTATCAAAAATGTTTCAGTTAATTAATTTGTCAAATGAACAATTAACCAATTTGCAACAGGAGTTAGAGAATGGGACAAATTACAACTGTTTGATACGCACATGTGAAAAATTAGATACCTATATAAAAAAATTGTCTACCAGTATTAGTGAAAAAAATGAGATGAATAATTTTCTTCAACAAGATATTGAAAATACATTAAAGAGTGTTACAGCGACGGATAAAGAAATTATTGTCCTTGAAAATGAACAAAAAGATTTGCAAAATCGATTACAAATTGTTACGCAAAAAGTAAATACACTTGAGGAAGAAATGAAAAAACAAGTAACCAATTCTGGGGAAAAAATGAAGGAAGCTTCAGATGTGCTTGTACGGGAGTATGAAGAGCTGGTCGAATCTGTAGCATGTCAGATTAAGATTAAACATGTTGAACATAACAATTTTATTAAGCAAGGGGAAATGGAAAAACTGGAATTCGACTTTCAAATATTTAGATCTGAGTTGATATCCACTCTTGAACAAGAGTGTGAACAGAAGAGAAAACAAATTGCTGAGAAGGAAATGCAGCTTAAAGAATATCAAGAACGGTACAGTCTGTTGAAAGGTGTCTAATTTTTTTTTTTTTTTTTTATAAAAAAAGTAAAAATTGGAAGTTGATACATCCATGGGCACGTTTTTTTTTTTTTTTTTTTTTTTTTTTTTTCTTTTTTAGAGGCATATTTATTTTTCTGAGAACCTGTGTTTTGATACATTTTTAACATAATGTATTTTTCTATATCGTTACGCGTTTTTCTCAATTCGAGGGGTATCGTTACATTCATCCTTTTACTTTTGTTCTGTGTGAGTTGTTGAATTGTGCCCGTCTAAGTTTTACGTGGCGATAATTTTTTTTTTCTTTTTTTTCTGTGCATTTCGAAAGGAACCTACAAAAAAAAAAAGAAAAAAAAAAAAAAAAAAAAAATTTTTTTGATTAATTTGATTTCTTCTCCCTTCCATCAATTTTTCACCTTTTCATCATTTTATGTAGTTCTAATCATCCACATGTGTTTCTAATATTTTCATAAGAAAATAATGTTGGAAATGTAATCCCTGTCAAGTAAAAGCATCACCTGTGAATAGTTAAGTATTCTAAAAGGAGGTGCTTATAGAAAGGAACGTCTTCCAGAATGGCATATGTTGTAACTGGGGAAATGTGTCCAAAAACGGGTTCGCAATTTGATGGGGAAAATGACGATCCTATATGCATGTATGTCTATGTATATACGATATTGGGTTCTCTTTTCGGTTAGTTATATTTTTTTAGATGGATAAATGTTTTTCTGAACGGGCATGTAAAACCCGTCTGGTCATACAAAACGTACCAAAAGGGGTGGTGGCTGTTCTTAAAAAGGAATTTTTTTTTTTTTTAAAAAAAAAACTAGAAATATAGGATAAATATGTTGTACAGTTGTGTATTATGCAATATGTAAAAATGTATGAGGAGACTCGAGAAGAAAAAAAAAAAAAAAAAAAAGGAGATAACTAATGCAATGATGAACTGAGCTAATTTATTAGTACTTTTAGGAATGCGCTGTTACATGGTTTTTTCTCCTCACTTCCTCGCCCTATCCCCCCCCCCCCCAAAAAAAAAAAAAAAAAAAAAAAAAAAAAGATAACTTATAATTTTAAATATTTCATATTAATCCGGATAATGTTACTATTTCTACAAAAGTTGTGAAAGTGAAACTTGTACATATTTTCATCTACATATGTTATGAAAACATGTGTACATGAAGCGTGGAATAGTTTGAAAAAAAAAAAAAAAAAAAAAGAAAAAAATTAGAAAAATGGTGGGAGAAAAAGAAAAAAAAAAAAAGTTTCACCAAAAATAGAGAACATGGTTGAATTTTCACAATTCGTTTCAGAGAAATGTTTATGTTTGCATTTCTGTAAATTCATGTAAGAAATAATGCTGTGAAAAATTGTATCCATATGTTCACTTTGTCGTGTATATATATAACTCTTTCTCCACACCTAAATATGACAAATGCCCAAGGGAGAGAGGATATAAGAAAATGATAAAAGGAGTACTGATAATAAACAACAGTGGGAAACCTAGGTTTCGCCGATTTTATGACGGTACCGTAAGTCAAACCTAGGAAAAAAAAAAAAAAAAGAAAAGAAGAAAAAATCAAAGATGAGGAGAGGAAAAGAAAAACAAAGATGATGAGAGGAGAGAAAAACAAAGGTGATAACGACGTGTTTATTCGTATGTACCTACTTAATAGGACGCACGTGTGTCTGTGTGTATATACATACAAGTACAATCTAAGTACACTCTAAGTACAATCTAAGTACACTCTAAGTACAATCTAAGTACAATCTAAGTACACTCTAAGTACACTCTAAGTACAATCTAAGTACAATCTAAGTACACTCTAAGTACACTCTAAGTACAATCTAAGTACACTCTAAGTACAATCTAAGTACACTCTAAGTACAATCTAAGTACACTCTAAGTACAATCTAAGTACACTCTAAGTACAATCTAATTACAATCTAATTACAATCTATTTTTAATTCGACAGAGCCATGAAAAGCAGCAGTTGATTACAAAACGAGTTCATGAAACTATAAAGAAAAGGATGTCCAGTGAATGTTGTTGCTTTTTGGAAGATGAAGAATTACTCAGTTCCGACGTGAAAATTGTATACAGGTAAGTTGAAAACTGGAGAGTGGGAGAAAAAAAAGAAAAAAAGAAAAAAAAAAAATAGCCAAACTGATAGTTAAAGAAATAGCTAAATAAATGTCATTGTGTGCTGATTTAACTTGGTTGCACATGTCTCCATATGTAATCAGCTGAGAAAATGTTTATATATAATATCACATTGTGGAACAATTAATGAAGGGACGTTTATTTTTTTTCCATTTTTTCTTCACTCATGCCCCCGAACAATTGTGCAAATTCGTTAGGCACTTTGCAACCCTATACTTTATTTTTATCATTGATGCTATGGAAAGCGAATTGGGAATTTTGGACTTAATTCAAGTAAGGTTGTTTTTTTTTTTTTTTTTTTTTTTCTCTGGGTAAACTTCTACACGTGGATATTTCAATTTAAAGATTAATTCTCATGAGAGTGAACAATAAAGAGAGAGAGTTATATTCTTCATTTGGTTATATCTAAATTTTCAAAATACATGTACTATTCTTTTGTGCAGGTTTTTGTTCAAGTTTTGGATGCATATTTCGAGAATGTGTGCGAATTAGACTTGATATATAATTATGAACAGGTAAAAAAAAAAAAAAAAAAAAAGGGAAGAGGGATATATAGATAGAACTTAAAATAGTTGTGAAAAAAAAAAAAAAAAAAAAAAAAAAAAAAAAGGGAAGAGGGATACAGATAGAACTTAAAATTGTTGTGAAAAAGAGAAAAAGAAAACATTCCTAACGTATGACCTACATATGAAGTATGACTCAATGGCAGAAGCCCATGGAACAGGCGTAGTTATACTTATCAGCTAATTAAACACAAATATGGTTTCCTTTTTGTAATATTCTGTTTTCATTTTTTTTTTTTTTTTCCCCCATATCTACCCTACGTCAGATCAATTATATACTGGATGAAATCATCATGGGAGGTAAGTAAAATGAAACACAGAAAGGATGGTTGGAAATTTTTACTTTATTTAGATTACTTTATCTTGTTTACTTTATTTTGATCAGATGAGCGTCCTTGCTCGTTGTGTTTCCCAATCGCATCACCCTTTTCCCGTGTGTAGACGATTCTGCATATGGATGCTGTTTTCACATAAGTTGTTATGGCCATTTACCTCCCGTTTGTGCATTCACCTTAGGCATTGTATTGGAAACGAACATAGACGTGATAATCGGATCCATCAACGGGGCGAAGAAGTTAATTGAAAATGAGTCTTCTTTCTTTGGTGATTAAATGTAAAGAGACAATTTTTTTTTTGATATATTTTGATATGTTTTGATATATTTTGATATATTTTGATATATTTTGATATATTTTGATATGTTTTGATATATTTTGATATATTTTGATATATTTTGATATATTTTGATATATTTTGATATATTTTGATATATTTTGATATATTTTGATATATTTTGATATATTTTGATATATTTTAATATATTTAGATATATTTTATTTTTTTTTTCTTCCTTTTTGTTAATGACCTATCTGCAGCAGCAGTGAGGATAATTGTCATAAAGTTGTGTATTCCATGCAAAACATTTTGTTTTTCGTTCCAAATTGGCATTTGTTCAGAAAAAAGAAAAAAATATGTTTATTTGCGTGTGCATATTATGTACTTTTGTGTGCATCCTATATACATGTGTGATGCATGTTTAATAGTGGGAGGAATAATATCTGCACTTGTGTTGCCAGTTTTTTGTTATTATTTTTTTTATGTATTTTTATTTTTGTATTATCAGTGTTTTGTACTTCTTCCCGCATAGAGCCCTAGCGAGCGGTAGGGCAGAAAGGGCACAGACGGAAAAAAAAAAAAAAAAATAATAAAACATAACAAAAAGAACAAAACAGGACAGAATAAATAGAATGAGCAGAATAAACAGAAAAAAACTTCGTTCATACATCTTCGATATGTGTCTGTAAAACAGGTGCACAATTGAATGTGCTGACAAGTGGAAAAAGAGAAAAAAAAGAAAGGGGATGAGTAATAGGGAAAGGGGTATAAGGGTGCGCACATATATTTTCACAGGTTCGTATGCATATATATATACACATATACATATGTGTACAATTTTACAAAAAAAAAAAGAAATTAAGCAAAAGACAAAAAAAAAAAAAATTACAAATAGGGTAAGAAATGAGTATTAAGTGGCGAAAAACTGTAACAACGTGTTAGGAATTATCATATGTATCAATGTCACGATATAGAGCTTGGAAGGGATGGAAAATAAATGCAATCCTTTTCTATATGTGCAAACATTTTTGCACATGTGCAAGTTTTGTGCTTGTGATTTTTTTTTTTTCCATTTTTTCTCTTTTTTATGCCTGAACAGGACATAAAATTTATGTACTTGTTTAAAAAAAAGGAATAAAAAAGGGATAAAAGAGGGGTAACAGAGGTATAAAAGCGGGGTAAAAGAGGTATAAAAGCGGGATAAAAGAGGGATAAAAAAGCTATACATTTGTGTGGTCCTTGCAAACGTTGAGAAATGGGGTTCCAAACATATATAACACCACGTGCACATGCCAGGAATGTCCTGCTTCAAATTGTGGCAAGGTATGTTTACTTGAACACTCGTTCAGTTTTGTCATCACCCAATTCGTGATCACATTTCCATCTCACCAAATTGCCATTCTCCGCTGCAATGAGGGAGAAGGGAGGCTCAGTCGAAGGTCAGGTCTAAGTCATCGGGGTGATAAGTGCGCTTGGACATAGTATACAACTGAAAGGAGTTCAATGGGCCAATTTCAGTTATGTAAAGAGCTATAAATTTCTCAGGAATAAAATCATACTTTGGTATACGAACATACAAATTTTCAGCATCATTGTAAGCCATAGAAGGTCCTGGTTGCAATTCATTTTTCTTTGTTGGATCATAAAATGGATCATTAATTAATTTAAATAATGGCAATACTATAATCACTGGTTTTGCGTTAAATTGAGCCGAACATGCAATATTATATGCACCAATTTTGGAGATTACACCTCCTGAAGATGAAACGGCGACACTACCAAGAAGAACTTTTGTTACCCTTGGTATAACTGCAAATACAGCAGAATCTGGTATGTAAGTAGTATCCACCCCATCAGCACTTAACAATTTTGCCATGCGAAATCCATCTCGATTAATATCTCCACCAACAACAATTACAGAAATTCCATCTTTTTTTTTATTTATATTTTTTAGAAATTTTTCTACACCAGATGAATATCCCATTGTTAAAATAACATCATTTTCCATAAATAAATCGTAAGAAGTTCTTTGTTCTGTTTCTCCCCACGATGTGTCTATATCAGCAATTAATTCTGTAATTCCTTCAATTATTGAATGTCTCAAAGTATTTGTTGCAGGAATATGATATGTATTCTGTTTGTTATTATTTTCAAAATAAAAAGAAAATGATTTTTCAAAATTTTCTATTTCTCTTTCGTACACATACTTATTGTTTAAACATTTATTCGTATTTTCATCAATAAGGAAATTGTTATCTTTATTTAAATTATCAATATAGTTATTATTGTACAAATATAATTGTTTAAAATGTTCAGTTCGCACAATTGTTAAAACTCTTCTTATAACATTTGGTATAATAAAATGTATTTTATTATTTTTTATTATTTCTTTCCCTAAATATTTTATAATTTCTATTAAATCATGTACGTTATTCCAGTGAGATATTTCTACAACTTTTTTTAACACCTCTGCTATTTTTTTCCCCACAAAATTACTCCCTTTTATATCTCCATTTTTTAATCCTGAACTTAAAATCTTCACAATTCCTTTTAGCCAATATGCTACTACCATTTCTTTTTCTCTTTCTTTTTTTTCTTTGTAGCTTTTTGTTCTCTTTTTTTCAAATTCTATGCTTTCGTCTTTGTCACTCTCTCTCTTTCCATCCTTTTCACCACGTCGTTCCATTTCGTCCATTTCATAATTACCCCGTGTATCATTATTTTCTCCTTCGACTGTTATGCTATTATTTTTGTTGTTCTCTTCCCTTGTCTCATCAGCATTGGTATTAATCCTGTTTAATTTGGGACAAATTTGTATCTTCTCATTAGTGATTAAATTGTGGTCTTCCTGTTGTTTTGCTTCACTCTTGTTCAAAATTATGTTATTATCATTTTTATTATAATCTACAATCTTTGTATCATTCTCTTCACTTACCATTTTGTTACTTTCGTTGGTACTCATGATTATTCCTTCATTTATATAATAATTTGGATAAGGTACATTTGTGTTTTGTTCCATTGGGGAACTTTGTAAGCACTTCTTTTAATTTCTTGTTCCACCTGATATGACTTGGTTGAGATCTTGTATGATGGAACTATTTACATATACCTTTTTGTTCATGTGATTATTTAGTATGTATCCTGAATTAAGTCTATATATTATAATCCTTATATATTTGTACGGAATAAAATTTCCTTCGTAGGTATAAGTACTTGTTTAAAGTTTCGGTTGGAAATATTTAAAAAAAAAAAAAAAAAAAAAAAAAAAAAAGGGGAATCTTTTCATTTTAAAGTTCAACTTGTGTTTTATCTTAATGTGCTTATTAGATAGACTACAGATTGGGGAACTCATTGTTGGGATTATGAGCCATAAATATGTTCTCTTTTATACACATAATATGCAGGTCATTTTTTTTTTATTTTTTTTTTTTTTTTTTTTTTTACATGAACAATGTGTATGAACAGTTAAAACATTACATTAAATTGTTCAGGCAGTTTTTGTGGTTAATTAATCGGGATATGAAAACAAACATAATTGCGAGAGGGAATGTGAAAAGGTGAGAAAACATGAGGAAAAATGTGAAAAGATATTCTCTCTCAGTATATAATTCTTGAAACTGCAACAACATCAAAGGATGATTTTTGTCATCTCAGTTACACTCGCGTTTAATGAATCTCAAATAAGCCTTTCCCTCTTTTACATGGGCTTAAGGGAAAAAGAGAAAAAAAGGCGCCCTTGCTTGAATATGGCAAGCACAGCAAATATACTTGCTAATTATAAAAAAAAAAAAAAAAAAAAAGTTGAAAAGTGATGGGAAAAGGGATGGGAAAAGGGATGGGAAAAGGGATGGGAAAAGGGATGGGAAAAGGGATGGGAAAAGGGATGGGAAAAGGGATGGGAAAAGGGATGGGAAAAGGGATGGGAAAAGTGATGGGAAAAGGGATGGGAAAAGTGATGGGAAAAGGGATGGGAAAAGTGATGGGAAAAGGGATGGGAAAAGTGATGAGAAAAGTGATGAGAAAAATGGTTGAAAAGTGATGGGAAAGTGACGGGAAAGTGATGGGAAAGTGGCGGAAAAAGTGACTGGAAGAGTGGCGGGAAAAAGCTCACCTTATGATAAGCTGGTTTAATGTTATAGCTGCACAGCACAAAGTAGTACAAGGAAAAAAAAAAAAAAGAAAAAAAAAAAAATATCACAGTCGAACCTAAGTTTACGACATGTAACAATTCTCCTTTTGTTCTTGATTTAATAATATATGTGTGTTAATTTATTTGACAATTGGTTTTACGTGGTGTATTTTTTGTGTAATTTTTATTGTGTTGAGTGTTATTGTAATTTTATATGATTTTAATTTTACCCCTTGTTGCCATTTCTCTCTTCACCATAACAAATTGACTTGTACAAGGGCACAGAGAATGAGGCTTGTGTGACTTAAGTAAAACCTATTTTGAAAAAAGGTGCAAATGTCTATGCTATCATTAGTTAAATTCAAGTGACTCATTCACCATCCGTTTATCCTCGTTTTGAATCATAACTTTTTCACGCCCATTCCTTTGTTTGGAATGTTGAAAAGGCTTTATCCCGCGTGGCTTTGATTTTTTACGTTCTTGTTTTAACACCCAGGAGAGGAAGGAAACACATTTCTTTTAACTTCAAACGAATTCCCCGGTTTAAAATAAAGAAAATACTTATGCTTTTATATGTACGTATAATTTTTGTCGTATTATTTTTATGACAGTCTCCCATTGCATATAATCACTGAAAAGAGATTCAACTCGAAAACATGTTCTACCTTCCTTATTTGTATGTAATATTATTTATAAAATATATTAGATATATTAAATGAGAAGATTCTCCGTACTTATGAAAAGTGTGAACCACATGGATAAACATAAAATAAATGGAGAAAAAGAGAGAAAAAAAAATAAATACACATGTAATTCATAAAAAAAGAGCTGTGAAATTGGGATAACCTTTTAAAAAAATTCAGACGTTATTATTACCAAATAATATGAAAAAAAAAAAAAAAAAAAAAAAAAAAAAAAAAAAGAAAAAAAAAAAAAAAAAATAAAAAGCGAAGAATAAAAAACCTTTTGATTATTTTTTTCGAAATTTTTTTTTTTTTTTTTTTTTTTTCACGTCTGTTCCCTTAGCACATATCTCATCAAACGTGTATATTTTTACACGAGAAGATTTACATATTGTGATGTACCTTAAACATGACAAGTGTTGAAATGTTGTATTAGCTGAAGTAGATCTCTTTAAACTGTAGTAACCTTTTGATGTGAGACCAAGTTGTCGAAATTGTATCAATTGGGTTATAATTTTAACACTCTTTAGTTTTCATATTCATGAAAGATTTAGAATGACAAACATTTTTATTTGTCTATGAAACCTTCATTTCAAAGAAATTTGAAAAAGCATTTAAAATTTTTTTACAGAAATTTTATTTGCACGCATGATGTATTTTTAAAAGGTTTTTTTTTTTTTTTTTTTTACTCAGTTTTTAATACTAGTGTGAAACGAATTGTCTTAATTGGAATTGAATGGATCGAAGAATTTCTTAGTGGCCTTTCCAAATGCACAACAATTCCTGGGTGTCTATTCGGTATATGTCAAATTTATTCATCTGTTGCAATTTTGTATGAGAAGAAAATTTTGTTCACTATCATGTTTTCATGTTCATATACGAATGTTTCTATATACATGAGTATTCTCTCAGTTAGGAGACTCAGCTGAGGTTCTCTCACCAGATATGTCCCATATACATATACTTATATGTATGTATATTTGGTACGCATAGATGGGAAATTAACCGCCTTGACAAAAAAAAGAAAAGTTATGAACAGTCAGGTAAAATAAAATTACCTGCTTTGCAATAACTCGAAAAATTAAAATGCAAGAAGGAACATTCGACGAAAAATTCTCTCATTCCATTTTGTTGGAATCTCTGAAGGAAGCTCTTAAGCAGATGATAGATGAGTTCTATGTAGAAAAGGAGATCGGACTTAAAATCTATAAAGAAGCGTGTATGGTAAGTTTTGATAATAACTTTGAGCACCTTTCACGATAGCACAGACGCAGTGACAAAGTGTGTGTATGCGGACGTGCTTTTTTGTATGTACGTGGATATGCTTTGTATGTACGTGGATGTGTTTTGTATGTACGTGGATATGTTTTGTATGTACGTGGACATGTGAGACGTGAATTCCCTAAATTCTCATAGTGAGAAAGACTTTTCCCATGAGAATAAAACCCTATGTTCATCCTTGCAGAATGTGAAAAAAGAAATACAAGAAAATTCGGCTCAGCTTTCGGATGTGCATTTGAGTGGGAAGATGAAAAGCTATTACTGCAGAAATGATGTTTGGACCTTTTTTTTCAAGAATCCTCTTTTTAAAATTATAAAAAATAAAAAAACAAAAAATACTTCAAAAGATTATAAAAATTATCAACCATTAAATTTAAAAGTTTATAAAAATTTTTATGATAAAAGAGATGAGTTTTTAAAACATAGCATAGACAATGATAACGTGAAAATTTTTAAAAATTTTGGAAAGTTATATTCAAAAATTGTACATAAGGAAGATAGTGAAATTGACACAGACGATGTTTTTCTATATTATGGTGGTTTAATAAAAATATTATGTGTTGAGTATTAACTTGTTTCGTTTGGTGTTTGAGTGAATGACCCATAGGAGCACGTATACCAATAGAAATGGCAAAACATAAACAAGTACGGTCCTAAAGATTAAAGGTTCTAGGATCATGTGCAATGTACTGCTTGAAGTAAACTTATACAAAAATTCATTTATCAACAGTATGTCGTGAAGATGGAATTTTTGTGCATACCCATCGCTCATTTTAAGCCGCTTCTGATGAGAGAAAAAAATACACACACATATATATATATATATATATATATATCCCAACATGATCGAAAGAGTCATTAAAAAAGGAAGTGATAATCTCCTTTCAGCTTAATGCAGAATTAGAGAGGGTGAAATTTCTTTTTGTAAATATAAATAGCTTATTCTTATTAACGAAAGCAAAAAAAAAAAAAAAAAAAAAAAAAAAAAAAAAAAATTCGCAGTGAGCACAAATTTACATAAAATGAATACCCAAAAACGACAAAAAATTGAAGAGAAAAAAAAAATAAAATAAAAATAAAATATACATACGACAGATATATATATGTCCATACGCAGGTCTAATATAAAATAATGTATTATTATGCATACATATAGTTCCCTCAAAAGTGCTTTGAAAAGTAGGAAAAAAGGGCAAGGAGAAACTGCTAATCAATTTTTCTGTTTAACATTTAGAAATAAGTTAATATTAACATAAAAACGTATGAAAACAAATTATCTTTTAGTGACACCCCTTTTTTTGTTTTATAAAAATGATTAAGTTGCTTTTTATTATGTGCAAATTTTTCTTCGTGGCAATATGAACAAGTTGATCCCATATATACCACCATACATGTAACGTTTTAAATGTGAATTATTATTTATATACTTATTTATTTTTTCATATTTACAAGTGTAAAATTAAATGAGCATATTTTTTAATTAATTTTAACATAAACTCATTCTTTATTTTTTAAAATTATGCTTTATCAGCAACTTGTCAGAGATAACAAATTCGTAGCCTGTGGAATGCATCTCCAAGTTATTTAACCATTTCATATATCCGTATATATATAAATACATATACGTGAATATACATATACCTGCGCATATACATATATAGAGCAATCACATCTATATGTGTTACAGCGGTTATGCTGGGACGTTATTCATTATAACAAGTACTGCTTTAAAAAATAAATAGTAAACCATTTTTTAAGTTTGATAAATTTGTAAATGCTTAATATCTCACAAGTAAAAAGGTAAAAATGGGCATACTATTCTGCAACTTTTAAAAGCAGTCATTCAATTGTAAAGAAAATATGGGAGACGAATTTGATTTGTCTGCTCTGTTTATATGCTGTGTGTACGTTGTCAAGCCCGAAAGAGGGAATACATGCACCGATAGGCAAGTACACAAAGTTTAAGAAATCAGTCGCATAGACGTGCATATCAATTCGGCCATTATTGTGTAATACTGATATGTCTCTCTTTTTAGGAAAATACATTTATTATCATTTTCCAATTTTATGCGAATTTTGTTTTTTAACAATTTGAAAGGAGAAGCGTGTACAATAAATATTTTCGTTTGTTGCCTTCTCTGTTCATTTTTCTGTGTTCCTTTTTTCTCTTTTTCTTTGTTGACTTTTTTTTTGACGCAGAAGGAGACCCCTTTCGTATGCTTCCACCACCAACCCATCCACCATTACCTTTTGATGTTACATTTTACTTACAAACTAAGAGCGACAAAAAATTTCGAATGCCATAGCATAACTTCTGAAGAATTCCTTCTGATGGATGACCACTCTATCATTTAAGCACCACGTTAAGGAAATCTTAGATTTAAAATAAAGAAACGAATTAGTTGCCATGGGTGATAGCTTGGATAAAATATTTTCTAAGAAGGAACGATTTTTTAAAGAAATAATTGAAACAAAGTGCATGTTTTTGAAGGAATTAAAGAATTGGGTTGGTACGAATCGCATAGCGAAATTAAAATTGAAAAAGGATGTTCAGAAAGTAACACCCAAATTGTTGATAAATCGGACTCGATCAAGTAAGAAAAAATGAGATAGTATAATGGGGATGAGGGAGAGACAGCATTTTCCCCAGTTTCATGTACATACACATGTTGGAGAATAGTTGAATATGATTTCGCGCAAAAAAGTGGCGTAATAAGTTTGCAAAAAAAAAAATAAAAAAAAAAAAATATGAACAGGCTAGCCAAAAGAAGTAAATACTGAATAAAACTAATGTGTAATTTTTTTTTTTTTTTTTTTTTTTGCAGGAGCTAGCCGTTGTCGAGTATGCGGACTTCCAATTGAAAAAAATATTTTAAGAGTAGGATATCCAACAAAAGATCCTAGAGGATATTATGGTTTCATAAGTTGCTGGGTGCATTTAGACTGCAGCAAAAAAATATTATATGCTATTTTATATAACCAAGAAAATGAGCCACACTTAAAGGCTTATTTAAACAACTCGGAAAAAAATGTGTGTGAAGGGAAATATAATGCACATGAACAGTTCATATATAAAAATATAAATTGGGAATTTTTTTTTGGAGGATTTGACGAACTGAATGATGAAGAAAGGGATAAGGTAAAGGACACGGCGAAACCGTGTGAACTAGAAAATGGTAAGGGAAGGAACAGTTTTGAAATATTGGTAAATAAGGAAAAGGAAATGTTTGACGCAAATACTTTTACAAAACAAGAAAGTAGATTTATTGAAAATAAATTAACAATTCCAAAAGAACTTAAATTTGATTTGTTGGAATACCAGAAGGAAGGTGTATCGTGGATGATCAATCAGGAGCGCTCTAGCATTAAAGGGGGAATATTAGCCGATGAAATGGGTATGGGTAAAACAATACAGGCAATAACGTTAATTTTGTGCCAGAAAATTAATAAGTTAAACGATGAAAAGGAAGAGACGAGTGTGTGCAGCAAGGAAAATATCAAAGTTGGAGTGAATGAAGAATGCGAAATAAATGGTACGAACAATGTGAAGGGGGAGTCTGACAACAGTGTAATCTTTATTAGTAGTGGAGATGGAACTACACTTGAAAAGAAAAGCAGCGGTGAAGATGGTTCAGAAAATGGGATTAAAGTGAAGCAGGAAAGGTTTAGAAATTCCAGTGTTAAGGCAGGAGCGTCGAACAAGTGTAAAGTTAAGACAGAAGATTCGAGCAAGTGCAAAGGTAAGACAGCAGCTTCGAGCAAGTGTAAAGTTAAGAGAGAAGCTTCGAGCAAGTGTAAAGATAAGACAGCAGCTTCGAGCAAGTGTAAAGATATGACAGAAGCGTCGAACAAGGGTAGTGCAAAGAATGGAATTAAAAACAACTCTGTAGACATTGAAAAGAACACGTTTGAAGGGCAGACGCTTATTATAGCACCTATCGCAGCTGTGATGCAGTGGAAATCAGAAATAGAAAAGTTCATAGCAGGAGATATACTGAAAGTGCATGTTTATCACGGTAGTATGAAAAAAATATCATTTGACGAATTAAAAAAATATGATATTGTTATAACATCATATGCAATGGTAGAAGCACAGTTTAGAAAAATAATTAACAAGTATAAAATATCATGTGAATATTGTGGGAGGTTATATTTACCTAGCACATTAGTAATACATAAGAAATACTTTTGCGGCCCAGATGCTGTAAGAACTGAAAAATTAAAAAAAAGGAAAAAAAAAAACAAAGATACTGCACTTGTAGCTATGAAAAAATTTGATGATAATTTTGTACCTACCCCTAGAAATGTTTTATTAGAAATTATGAACGAAAATAAAAATGACAGTAATGAAACTAAACTGGCACAGAAGAATTCCAAAAAAAAATTAAAAAAAAATAATATGTCTCAGGCAGAGCTGAATGTCCAAGCAGATGGAAAAGAGATTATTGTGTTAAGTTCAGAAGGCTACCAAGATGATAATGATGATAATAATAATGATGATGATGATGATGACAATAGTTCCTCCTCGAGTAAGTCCATTTTTTCTCCCCTTACTCGAAAAACATCTAGTAGAATAATTGATCTGTGCAATTTAGGTTTTGAAAAGGATATAATTGAAAAAAGTGTGGAAAATATATACAAAGGAAAAGGGAAAAATAAAAAAAATGTAAAATGGAATCTAGTTATAAAAGATGTACTACAAAATGATTCATATACAGTAGACATGAACAGCAAATGTAAGGAAATTCTAAGGCAAATATATTTAAGTGATACAATTATAGAAAATGACCATCTTAAAAAATTAAACATGGGAGAACTCAAAGTTGTTCTTATAACATTGGGGAAACATGTTTTTGGAACAAAGGTTGAGTTGATTAACAGAATTTTAGTATCAACTAAATATATAAGAGAAGAACTAAAATTAATATCAGGGGAAAAAAATATAGAAATACTTTCAAAATCTGAAGAAAGTAAAGAAAAAAAAAAAAAAAAAACCTTAAGTGTTTGTAGAACAAGGAGTAGTATTTCAAGTGCACCAGATTTTGGAATTGAGGAAAATCAAATGAATGGCGATAATGATGAGCAGGAGAAAAAAGTCAAGAAGAGTAAAAGTGTTACAGTACAATTGAAAAGGAGGAAAGGCAACTATGTTAGGAGAAAAACAGCTAATGGAAGTTCTTCTACTTTGAAGAAAAAAAACAAAGAGATGAAGCAAAAGGAAAAAAAAAGAAAAAATTCTTTCGTAAAAGGTGTTAATAAATTGAAGAAGAGGAGGAAGAAAAATGGAACCAGAGGAAAAGAAAGGGACGATAGCGAAAGCGTAAGTGGAACATCAGATGATAGCGATGAATCGTTTAAGATAGAACAGATAGAGGAGGAATCGTCTTCTTCCTGGATTGGTGATATGAAAAAAGAAGAGATAAACGATTCAGGCGATTCATACAGTTCGTACGACTCGATAATTGTTGAAAGGATGAAAAATAAGAGGAAAGAACAGAAACTAGCAGAAACGAGCATATTTAATGAAAGTGCATTGCATAACATACAGTGGAATAGAATAATACTAGATGAAGCACATAGGATAAAGAATCGAAATACATCCACAACACAGTCTATTTTCAATTTAAAATGTTCAGGTTATCGATGGTGTTTAACAGGAACACCATTACAAAATCGGATAGGAGAATTATATAGTTTAATTCGATTTTTAGAATTTTATCCATATGCATATTATTTCTGTTCAAAAAAAGATTGCAAATGTTTATTATTAAATTATGAAATGAGAGATAATAAATATTGTTACATTTGTAATCATTCAAGAATTAATCATTTTAATTATTTTAATAAAAGGATTTTGAGACCTATTCAGCTATTTGGGTACAATGGAGAAGGGGTGACAAGTATGTATTATTTGAAGAATGAAGTTTTAGATAAAATATTATTAAGAAGAACTAAAGGAGAACGAAAAAATGATATAAAATTAAAACCATTAAATATTAGAATAAGAAAGGATAAATTATCCAATGAAGAAAAGGATTTTTATGAATCATTATACAAACAAACTTCAACACAATTTGATACATATGTAAAATCAAACACAGTTTTGCATAATTATGCACACATTTTTGATTTGCTTAGTAGACTAAGACAAGCAGCTGATCATCCTTATTTAATTTTGTTTGGAAATTCATTTCTTAGTGATCCATCTGGAAAATTTATAAAAAAGAATTCCACTATCATTTCGGCTATTTCAAATGATTATGTGTGTGGTATATGTATGGAAAATGTTCCAAAAAAGAGTAATATAAATTCGAAATGTGATCATCATTTTCACAAATCATGTTTGAAGCAGTATATAGAAAGTTTTCAAGAAGAAAATAATTCAAATATTCATAAAGATGGATGCCAAGACGAAATATGGAATGGAACAACTCTAACAAAGACACAGACTTATCATTTTTCAAACGAATCAGAAGAAAGAAGAGAACATTGTCTACATGATAGGAATGAAATTGTATTTAATGATGATCTTAGCTTGAGTAATAGCACCAATGATGCGAAAGAAAAAAGAAAAAGAGCCAATTCAATTTCTGTAGTAAAATTTAAAGATAAAGAAAAATCAAAATTTGTTAGTTTAGTGAATAAGAAAGACGAAAATGTAAAGGATTTACCTCTTGGATGTCCAGTATGTTTTGTCCCACTAACTGTTGATTTTAAACTTTTAAATGAAACTGAGGAACTAGATGATGAAGAAATTATTATATGTAAAGAAGAAACGACATCCATTAATAAAAGTTTTATAAATCGAATTAATACCCAGGAATATAAAACTAGTACAAAAATAGAAGCGGTTTTTGAAGAAGTTCAAAATGTAATTCATACAACGGATGATAAATGTTTAATATTTTCTCAGTATTGTTCAATGCTAGATTTAATTGAATATCATTTGAAAAAGCACAATATAATATGTTCCAAGTTACTGGGATACATGTCCATGGTATCCAGAAATAACATATTGTATAATTTCAATGAAGACAAGCAACTAAGAGTTTTGCTTATCAGTTTGAAGGCAGGTGGAGAGGGATTAAATTTGCAGGTAGCCAATAGAATTTTTATTGTAGACCCATGGTGGAATCCAGCAGCAGAATTACAAGCTATTCAAAGAGCTCATCGAATTGGCCAGACAAAAACTGTGTATGCTACTCGTTTCATTATAGAAAACACTGTTGAGGAAAAAATTGTGCAGTTGCAAAATAAGAAGCAGTTGGTCTTTGATTGCACCATTGGTGATTCGGGCAATGCTATGCAGAAGTTAACAAAGGAGGACTTGGCATTTCTCTTTCACGCCTGAGGAGTTTGGAAGTGGCGTGTGTATTGCATTCGTGTGTGTTGCGTTTGCATATGCATTCGTGTGTGTGGTTTCCCTCCCATTCAGCTACACATGAAATGTACTTGCTATAGGTACACGATTTGTGGAACTAAAAATATTACCTTTATTTTGGAAAAGCTGCTTTTTTTTTTCGAGGTTCTTTTTTTAATTGGATTGCAGCGGGGCATATATGGCAATCCCCAGATTTATTTCAATTTTTTTCGAACTTTTCTCGTTTTTCAAAATTTTCATTTGTCATTTTGTGTGAATGGAGAATTTTGATCGGTTGGGTAATGGTATGGACAAAGGAAAAACTAAAATGTCGCTACACATGGTACTTAAAAGTTTTTTTTTCTTACGAAAGTATATAATCACACTCTTTCATCGCTGTATAGACTTTTTAGTGTGTCCATTGGGCGTGGCAGTACACAAATAAAAAAGGATCTTGCGCGGGATTTATTTACTTATTTATTCGTTTTATTTTATTTTATATTCTGTTTTTTTTTTTTTTTTTTTTTTTTTTTGAATGGAGAATTAACCTTGCGGATTGGCACTTTGGTTTTTTGAGCTCAAAAGTAAATTTAATTTAACAAATGGTACGACGGAAAAAAAAGCAGAGAAAGTGTTAAAAAAAAACAAAAAAAAAAGAGAAAAGTATAAAAGTGAGAAAAAAACAAATGAAAAAGAGAAAAGCATAAACGTGACAAAAAAACAAAAGAAAAAAACAAAGGTGGGACATCGTTTAATGATAATTCAAATGTATGCCATCTTTAAAATGTAAAAATTGTGCAAATGGGTAATTTTTTGTATGAACAGTCAGAAAATAAATTTGGAAAAAAAAAAAAAAAGAAAAAGCAGCATAAAAGGGAAAAAAAAAGTAGCATAAAAAGAAACGAAAAAATAGCATAAAAGGAAAAAAAAAGTAGCATAAAAAGAAACGAAAAAATAGCATAAAAGGAAAAAAAAAGTAGCACAAAAAACAAAAGCAAAAGCAAAGTTAAAAACAAGGGTAGACAAAGATAGAAACAAATACAGCGTCCAAAAAGTTTACCCATTGCAGCTACATTCCCTTGTATTTGCACTGTTAACTATTTTTCATATGGTATATCCATATGGTATTAAAATCTCTTCGTCCCAAAATCTTGATTAGCAGTATTTGAAGAATGCTTTACGATATTGTATGTAAATAAATTATTGGGACAAGTGGATATCAATTTTTTTCCATCCCATCAGTTTAAAAACTTCGTATAAATATGATTATTTAACTTTTGCTATAATTTTGATTTTCAAGGGATTAAAAAAAAAAAAAAAAAAAAATTTATTGCACTATGTGTGTGGAGTTAGGCATTTATGGTAATAATATCAACGGAGCAATTAAAATCATGTGAAAAAAAAAAAAAAAATTAACCCAAGTTATTTTTTCATCATGAGAATGGAACGAATATTTTCTGCTTGTTTTCTATTTTCCATTTTCTCTTTTCTACATTGCATTTTCTACTTTTTTTTTTTTTTTTTTTCTTTTACAAAAAGGATGATGCTTTTATCATTTGCACATATGATAATAACGTTTTTGTGTGAATTTTAAACTGATGGATTATTTTGTGATTTCTTCGGATATATTTTTACCTTGTGGACAGCGCTTCCTCAGCTATGAATAATAAACTGATAATATCTCTCTGTTAGTACAACTATAACATTGTTCCTCATTACTGACAGAGTATGGTACTGGTATAGAAATAACTCTGATTTTATTACCATGTCACCCGTTCCGTTCGATATACACAAATCATTGAAGATATTGTTTGTTGGTAGGACATGTGTTATGAATTTCCTTTTTTTTCTTTTTCTTTTCTGTAGTGACATATTCAAGCTGTTGCTATATTAGGAGATATATGCTACTGAACCAGAGGTGACAGTAAAAGAAAGAACATTACTGCTTTCCCCGTATGAATATTTCTTTATCCTTTAATTTTTTTTTGGAAAGAATTATTACATTTACTAACGATGCAATTTCGCTAATCCGATCAGATTGCGTAATTTTCGTTAGCACATTTTTCTTTCATTTTTTTTACGACTATTATTGGTGTATGCATGGTTATGATATTTCCAAACATTTAAAAAAATATATATATAAACATTTATATATATATATGCATAGCAGTATCAGGTCCCTTATACATATGCCAATCTCGTACGACTCATTATTTATTCTTCACATTTCCAATTGGAGCTTCTCGAGAGAGTGCATCCCTTGCCTAATTTGAACTTGTCCCCATAACATATATTTTGACACGTGATAAGCTCTTCAGCATCTACACAGTTCATCGGCTTCGCTATCGAATTTTTTTTTTTATTTATAAATAAGTTAGTTTTCAGTTCCGATGTATTTGTATTTTCCACGCAGTGTTTTTTTTTATCACCATGAGTGTAATATAATTTGTCCCAATAAATGGATATAAAAAATTTTTGTTTTTTAAAAAAACTTGTTTTTATTTTTCTCTTTTTTTCTGATAAGACCAATTCTTTGGTCTCATTGTGGCGTATAAAGTGGTAATACATTTTCATTAGCTGAGACTTGTATGATTTTTTGCACCTTAGCAGAGATTTGAGGAGTTTTTCATTTTCTATTTTTTTCGCTAAAAATTGTTTTCTCAAGGTAAAATATTCTTTATCCATGTTTATTTTGCAATTTTTGAGTTGATAAGCTTCTTTCGATATTTTGATATAAGAAAGTCTAAGTGTATCAAAATCTTTTATCATTTTTTGATTTTTCTTTTGATATTTTTTGATTTTTCTCTTAAGTGATATATTTGTATTTACATATAACTTTAAATCTTTATTTTGTTTACTTACAATATCTTGAAGTTTATGTATTTTTTTATTTTTTTCGGAAAGTTCTTGTTCCCTTTTTAGAATAACACTATTTAATGCTTTATTATGTTTGTTTAAAATGTTCAGAAGTTTTTCTTTTTCATTTATGTTATTTTTTAGAAGAAGTATCAGTTCGTCACATTTTGCTTTTTCTTTAATTATTTCTAAGAATTCTCTTTTTGAAACTTCATTTGGATGATACTCCTCCTGAGATTTCGTCTTAATTTTTGGTTGGATTATCCGTAAAGTTGTCTCTGTTGTAGTACCATTTACTGATGCTACATGTATTGAATTGTTGTCATGACAAAAAGTACTTCCAGATCCAACTTCTTCATTTAACAGATGATATTGCTTCAAATTATTTGGAATTAAATATTCGTTAGTATCAAATGGTATTCCAAATTTTTTACTATTAAGCAAATAAATGTTTTCTGATGTGAACGATGCAATGATGGCTAATAGTTTATTTTTTTCTTCAACTAGAGAATTATACGCATTTAAAACTTCTTCATATTTCTCACTTTGAGCAGCATTTCTCTGTTTTAAGCGACATAAAATTGTGTTTTTCCACTCCTGTGTCATTTTTCGTCAAGTTTGGTTGACCGTATGGCATGTGCTTTTCTCTACAAAAATGTTATTTAATGTTAGCAAGAGTTACAATCCGGATGTCCTATTTTTCATTTTATAATATTTAAGCAAATGGGGAAATTGGTTGCTGGGGTAAGGCAAAAATGCTCTTAGTTTTTTACATAAGAAAAAAAAAAAAAAAAAAAAAAAAAAATAGACAAACTACACAGTAAAAGAAAGAAAAAAAAAATGTTTATGCGAATATATAACACGTGTTAAACATAATTATATATAATGCATATAAATAATGCATATAAATGATGCATATAAATGATGCATATAAATAATGCATATATATAATGTACATATTTTATGTATGACAAGCCAATGGTAGTGGAACTGTGACAATTTTAATTTTATCAAACGTGACAAAATTTTGTTCTTAAAAGTTTCAAAATATTGTTCTTAAAAGTTTCAAAATTTTGTTCTTAAAAGTTTCAAAATATTGTTCTTAAAAGTTTCAAAATATTGTTCTTAAAAGTTTCAAAATATTGTTCTTAAAAATTTCAAAACATTGTCTTAAAAGTTCCAAAATATTGTTCCTAAAAATTTCAAAGCACTGTTCTTTGTCGTCACCCATTTATTTTACTTTATAATATTGTCATTTAAAAAAAAAAAAATAAAAAACATCAAAAATTTGGAGAAACGTTAATTCTCCCCTTTTGCAGTGCAGAATGATTATATTTTCATGTTTTGCGATTAAAGAAAAGATGTTAATTTTCCTCCGATCATTGAAAATTTGTTAATAAAAGCATATATATTTAATTAATCATAAAATTGCATTAACTATTCTTTTGCATTAAATTTTGTTCACGGATTTGGGAAAAAACAAAATGAAAAAATCTTGCAAATGAAGAGTATAAAAAAAAAGGAAAAATAAATAGAATAGCGTAAAAATAAAAGGAAATTATACACTGTCGCATGTGAAGATGGAGAGGAAAAAAAAAAAAAAAAAAAATGATGATGATGATGAGAATTCTTCTCCTTTTAATTTTCCTTTTAAATTTGTATCTTTTTTACTTCCACGGTTTTTGCAAATTGTACAATTTTAAAAAGTCCTTTTCTGAATTATTCCCATAAATTTAAATAGTTATATTTATACATATACAAACAACCCACCCATTCATTATTTTATGAAGCTTTTTTCCACATTTTTTCTTTTTTTAATTCTTTTTTATTTTCTACTTCCCCCTTGCTAAAATTCGTGGAGGGAAAAATTTGGATGGGCATCCTTCAAGTTGTCAATTATATTCTGTTTTTTTTTTTTTTTTTTTTTTATTTTTATTTCCGTTCGGGAAATATGAGGTGAGGGGGGGAGGGAAAAAAAAAAAAAAAGGAAAGAAATGGTTTTAAAAAAAGAAGAGAAAAAAAAAAAATGCTTAATTACAATAAGTTTTTCAGAACTTTATAATGACACATAAAACTGTGTATGATGGCATACATATATATAAATATATGTATATGTTGTAAAGGCCATTTTTCTTACCTGCACAATGTCCTTTTTCTTATTTGGATCTTCATCAGCCACCTTTGATAAGGAATTGTTGGACTTATGTTTTCTTTTAAAAAACCTGTGAATTGCGTGGGGAATACATAATAGGTAAGAAATTCTTAAGAGGTTATCTTCCTCAAGTTAGATAAATGTATGGAAGTATGTGTAAAATGAAAACAGTACACACAGCTAGGGACACCAAAAAAAAAACAATATATATATATATATATATGTATAATAAAAGACATAATTATTAGGAATCAAAAAAAAAAAAAAGTTCCATGTGCTCTTTTACATGTATTCCCCAAGCCAGACTTCTTTGGCCTCTTCACAACTGTACGAAGAAAAGAAAAGAAAAGTGAACAAAATCATGAACCATGTTACATACAGGGGCAACATAATCTTGCAGAAGAACTATATATGTGCTTATGTATATGCATATATTTACACAACATTGAAAAAACAGTTTCAACAATTGATGACGAATCTGAATGCTCCTTAATCAGTTACTATTTATATATGCATATATATATGTATACTCATTGGGGTCTCCTAATTTTTTGTCTCGTATCAAAAAGTTCACTTTTTTATTTTCCTTTATCAAGCGCTTCCAACACGGTTCCTTCGGGAATTTAGTGCAGATCGAAATAGTGTGTTGTGTATAATTGAAAGATGGGAAAAAAAAGAAAAGAATGGAAAAAAAAGGATAGCATAAGTGAAATAATATTTTACACAAAACAGTGTAGCAAAAAAAAAAAAAAAAAAAAAAAAAAAAAAAGGAATTGCTAACCTTGACCGTTTTCTCAATTTTCATCTTTAAGCTGTCGTCCGATAAAGTGTAGGAACATTTCTGAGTATCAAATTAAATTGGAAAAAAAAAAAAAAAAAACGGACAGTATTCAGAATAATGTGACACAATATGTATAGGACATGTAGTTTTTGTTGCATTCTCTCGATGAATTATCGCACCATGCATGTATATGTGTGCAATTTATTAGTAGATATATATACATGCCTTTGGGTTTATCGGTCTTAGTAAATCCAAATTTAGTTCGAAATTCTGTCCTTGCTTATTCGACGCTGTGAGGTGTATATTACTACAACAGGTTGTGATAAAAAGATAAATTTGGCCAAAGTGAAAATGGACGAGAAAGTAGGGAGGCAGCAGTATAGAGAGGTAGATAGAGAGGTAGAAAGATAGGTAGATATAGAGATAGACAGAGAGGTAAAAAATAGTAATAAAACATGGCAAATGTTGGAAGAGTGATCATATATACATTGTCCCATTGTTCCATTTTTCTTTTTTTTTTTTTTTTTTTCCTTGTGGAAATTAAGAATTCATGTCAAGGGTTTTGTGTTGTGCAAAAGTAGACATGTGTTAATGAAGGAATGTAAATCCGCTTGCTGATGATCTTGTAGGAAGGTATTTTTTTTTTTTTAGGACACTCTGATCCTACGGATACACACACATGCGCTTAAAAGGGTGGAAAAACAAATGGGCAAACGGATGGACAAAAAAATGGATATATAATTTGATAGTCACTTTTCTTGGGGAATTCTTGTATTTATCACCTTTCTGTGAATTCCACCTTTTCTCCTTCAACTGATGAAATGGAAATGACTAAAGTTAACTTCTTTGAGCTCTGTCCCCATCGAATTGTTGGTAATTCATTTCTATGAATTGTGGAAATGAAAGGGTAAAGAGACGAAAAGGAGTATCTAAGACGTGGTGAGGAGGGTGCATGGGAGTCTTGTGTATGTTATATGTGTATGCTTGTATGTGTGTCTGGGGGAAAAGGTAAATAAAAGCCTCCTATTATACGTAATATTTTAAAAATAAAACATAAAAAGAGGCGAACATCAAGAAGTTTCGTTTATTTATTCTTTTACATAAGAAAAAAAAAAAAAAAAGTTACGTAATAGACATGTAGGAGCATAAATTTCACTTTTTTTATTATTTCCTTTTTTCCCCATCTTTGTTTTATCAAATGATGTAGGAGAAAAATGAAAAAAAAAAAAAAAAAAAAAAATGAGATCAATTTGGGATAAGTGTGGTTAGGCAATGAACATTTACTGCTGTGTTGTAGAACCAAGTATGGGATACAAGAATAAACAGAAATATGTCTTCCAAATTATTGAAGCTAAAATTAATGTGTTCATTTTGAGGAGGTACATATATATATATATATGTTAATGCGAAAAGATGTGTGTATTTCACAGATATGACTTTGCAACTTGAGTCAATCAGATTGTTAAATTTTGGATTTCAATTTTTCAAAACACAAAAAATTGTAAAAAAAAAAAAAAAAAAAAATGAAACTAGTGCCATTAAGTCCTTTTTCTTTTTTTTACTAACACACGGGATGAATAATTTTGCAAGGGAAGACTTTCGTACTTGTCTGGATTTTTATCTGATCACCGTTGTTCAGTGTACAGTTATATATAAACATGGAATGTGCATTTAAAAAAAAAAAAAAAAAAAAAAAAAAAAAAAACTGCAAAGTGCAGAAAATGACGACAAGCAGAAATGTATGATTAAGAAAAAAAAAAAAAAAAAATCAAAAGCATGTACATAAAACACTTTTTGTTTTTAAAAGAATGATGACATCATTCCATAGGAAGCTTCTTTTTTTTTTTTTTTTTTTACGAACTTTTAGTAAAAAAATAGTGTTCATATATTGTGTGCTCGCCGCAAATGCTTTTTTTTTTTTTTTTTTTTTAGGGAAAAAAATTTTGGAATAAATCTATTTTATGTTCCATCTATCCGCATTGTATATGTATGCATGTGAGTTTACTCTGTCTTTAAGCAACATACAGAGTTGAGAATAAGCTTTTGTGAAGTTGACTGTGATTGGTACAATCATATAGAAAGTTGGATACAGTAGGATGAAGGCAATATTTCTAATAATGTTTTAAGTTTTATGTCTTCCTCATTTTATGCACGTTAGTATATTTTGTTAGATATAGTTATATGGCAGCAAGGTGAGAAGTTGCTCACTCGGCCTTGTAGCAACGTTACGTGGATTCAAATTATATACGTATATATATATATATATATATATATGTACACATTCTTGTCGTGCATATGAAAAGAAAACATTCCTCTTGAACGATGCTAAGGGTGGAAAACGGAGTAATTTGAATATAACCCTTTTTTTGTGATTCATATTTTGTGGATTGTGTGCTGCGTTATGTGGTGGTGTGGTTGTCCCTTTTTGCTAACATATGTGATTTCATTGAAGTTCCATAGATGGTAAAACACACAGGAAATTAATAAATTTGTTTCTTTAAAATTTAACTAATGTTTTTTTTTTTTTTTTCTTTCTTTTTTTATCACAGTTGAAAAACATTTGGTGTATTTTTTTTTTTTATTTCCCCTGACATGAACCATGATGTTTACAAAATGACAAAACAAATGGGACGCACATTTATATTATCGTGAAGTGTAAAACGAAAAAAAAAAAAAGTCATGGACTTCGTTTTACACATAAATGGTGAAACTAATTTAGGCTCTCGAAGTTAATTTGCAACACGATGCTTGTGCTCAAGAGAAGGAACTCTCCCTTCATGTAAGAGGTGTTTTCTAGTATGCACATATTTATATACACCACATATGTGTGATCTTCTTTTTTTTGGGAGGTTATGTAAAAGTTGGATGTTTTCTCAAATAAAATTGTTATAAAATTTTTGCACAAAAAAAAGAAGAAAAAAAAAAAAGCGAAGGTTTCCACCGCTTTGTGCAATTATTTTCCTCTTGACTTTATGTTTGATTTTAGTCATGCTTGTGGAGGGAGTGATTTGAACTTGACTTTTTTTTAGCATACGGAAAAAAAAAAAAAAAAAAAAAAATACGTCAAACTTTTACCATTTCCAGTTGAATACTAATAATACCTAAATTGCAAACAATTTTACTAGCTTTCAAAAATAATTTTTTGCACGCTTGGAAAATTCAAATGATAAACCAAATTGAGAACGGCAAAAAATGAAAAGTTTTTTTTTTTTTTACTTTTTCATTTTTTTTTTCCAACATTGTGCGTGGTAATTATTTTTTTATTTTTTTTCCTCTTCGCATGGTTTTGATTTTTCCCTCCCTTTTGAACAATTTTTAGCAAATAGATGTAGGGAAAAACCATTTTTGTAAAAAGTTTATAACAAGTGGAGAAAAAAAAAAAAAAGTTAAAAAAGAGTTGTCAAAAAACAATATATTGAAAATTGTGAAACTCTGATTGGGCTTAAAAAAGAAAAAAAAAAAAAAAAAAACGATGATGATTTTGATACGAACGACTGCCATTTGATTGATATTCATATGTGTTGATGTAAATAAGTATATATATGTATATATGTTATCCATAGAGAGATAGGTGCTATTTTGTTTTCAGAACGATGCACAACAGATTTTCTTCTTGTTCATTCGGTTGTATGCATACCAATACTAGTTCTTAAAATACACACTCAGAAAAAAAAAAAAAAAAATAAAATAAAATAAAATACTAAAACTATAAATGGGGAAACAAAGTGAGTCATTGCCATTTAAGAAAAACGTAAGTTCTTCAAATAAAACGAAAAGCACGAACGTGGACAGTCACACAATTTTGGATCGAGAAAATTCGGAAGTTAGTTTTCAGAACAGCAGCAGCAATTTGTTGGATCAAACACGAAAGAGAAAAAATAGCAGTCACAAGTTTTATATGTACTCAAGGAAAATTATAACTGTATTAAGTAAAAATGCATACTACACCTTTTACTATACTTTGTTCTACTCCTTTTACTACACTTTGTTCTACACTTTTTGAAGTTTCGCATGTTCACATGTGTGTGTCTTAACTATGACTCGTGTTCCATTCCTGTATGTATGCCGATTTTAGCCTTAAAAAAAAGGAATGAAATATAACAAAATAAATAGGGGAACATAAGCTTCCTGCCTCGAGCAGTTCGTGCATATAAGCACATATATCGTTTATTAAGGAAAGCTACCATGCTTCGTGTGTATTTTTATTTATTTATTTTATTATTTTTTTTTTTTTTTTGTCAGCTTTACAAGCTGTGAGACAAGAAACTTGCGCTTTCGAGGTATTTTTTTTTTATTTTCCTCTTTTTCTTTTTTTTTCAGATTATATATTTTGCATCCTAGGAATTATATGTGCATGGGGAGTAATAGTAAGAAAATAAAAATGAAAAAAGTTCTATTTTTTAACGACATCATATAAGCTGTAGAGTGAGCGCACAATATTATACACATGTAAATACATATAAGAACGAAGCAATTAAGTTTTTTTTTTTTTTTTTTTTTTTTTTTTTCTTCCTCCACTCCCTATGTACATTATTTTATTTCATTTTATTTTTAATTTTTAGGATTCCCTCGTTCAGATAATTTCCGGGATGCAGGTATACCTGTCACTTGCATGTTATTCCATTATTCTGTTATTTTCCCTTGCATTCTTAACATTTTATATTTATTTTGTAGATAGAGATTATAGACCATGTGACTTTTTTTAATGTTATATATTTCTTTTTTTTTTTTTTTTTTTTTTTTTTTTATACCATTTTGTTTTATTCTGTTTTTCTTTCCTTTGTTTTTGTTGAAATGAGCATGAGGATGTTATGAGAAGAAAAATGAGTGTACTGAAATAAGTGTGTGATTTGCCAAACTACGCAGGGGTATTTTATTTTTTTTATTTTCGTTTGGACTCCTTTTATCCTTTTGTATTGTGTCAAAGCAATATGTTTAACAACGAAAAAAGGAATGCTACAAAACAGATTAAATTGCACATATGGGATTTAATTTTTTCATTTAAGGAAAAGAAACAAATGGAGGTAATAATAACATGTGCAAAGCTGATATGTTTTTTTAGGAATAAATGTAAATGTATTTGTCTAAAACGGAAAAGGGAGAAGAGGGGGTGAGAATGTTGGGGAAAAAATGCCTTTCATACGGTTTTGTTCTTTTTATAAATTTGTCATTTTGTAGATATATGTCCATTTATATTTCTTTTTATCTTTTTATATTTTTTTTTTTTGTTTTTTCCGTTTTGTTTATTTTTTCTGCTTTTTCCAAATTAACCGCTTCACTTTTTAAAAATTAAGTGGGGAAAAAAAAAAAAAAAAAAGCCCAACGTTGCGCGTAAAAAAGGAAAATATTTTTGTCTACCATTTCGTAGTTCCATTTAGACTTGAACGAATGTATATAAAAATTAAAGTGTTATCAATTTTGCACACATTTATGTATGAATAATTACACGCCCTTGTAGTACTAAAAGATTTGTGTGTGTGTAAAAATGAATAGAACATCATGTGCTAAGGTTAGTCATAATAAGCTTGAGTTGGTTGAAACTAATTATGCGTACTTGGTAAAACAGAAAAATTGTAATTTTTTTTTTTTTTTTTTTTTTTTTTTGCGCTGTTCTGTTTAGTCTAGTTACCCCAGTTACACGCATCATTAAGGTAGCCAAAAATTTGAATCGGAATTTTCTTAAAAGGTTGTTAATAAAATGTAGGACACTTTAAGAAAAATGACAAGTGTATGTAACCAATTGGATCTAACCTGAATTGAAAGGGGTGGATTTTTTTTTTTTTAGTTTAAATTTTATCATGCACTTGAGTAGTTGTGTGATTTCGTTTTTTCTACAATTTTACGTATTTGTCCAGATTTTCCATAAATTTTTCCACACTTTCCATAAATTTGTCCGCACTTTCCATAAATTTGTCCGCACTTTCTACGAATTTTCCTACCCTTTCCACTTACATTTCGCGGTTTTTGCCCAAACTTTTGTGCAGAAGTGCATGAAATTAAGACAGGAAAGATGAAAGAAATAAGATTCCATAAAATGTGTATATAGTGTTGTAACTTTACGTTTTGGAATTTTTGGTTCTTCCATTTTTTTATGTGTTTTCCGTTTTGCACGTTGCAATTTTTACCTTTACCATTTTTGTTTCACCTAGACTTAACATACAACTTCGTTACCAGACTGATGCAAAAAAAAAAAAAAAAAAAAAAAAAGCAAAGAAAAGAAAAGAAAAGGAAAGAAAAGAAAAGCAAAACAGAACAAAGCAAAGAAAAGAAAAGCAAAACAGAACAAAGCAAAGGAAAGCAAAACAAAGACACATTTATTTTATTATTATTATTTTTTTTACTTTTTTTTTCCTATGCTAACCGCTAACCGGATTAATGGGCCGATAAAATGAATAACATTCCGTATATAAAGAATCTATATTGTAAGAAAACGAGAACGACACGAGAGAATATGTTTCCCTGTTTTTGTTAAAAAGAGGAAGGGCATATCAGTGTGAAATTCTCTCGAGCGCTGTAAAAGCAAAATTGGCTAGACAGGCCAAGAAACAGACGATGCAGTACGAACTCATACGGTGCGGTACGAACTGACATGATGCAGTACGAACTGACACGAAACGGCTCTCCTTCCTTGTTCAGCGGATCCCTCTAATAACCTTTTTGGAGATTTGAGAATATGTTCTAGAGTTATCGATTCATGTGGCATCGCGTGCAGCTCGGGGTATGTGGCGGTAAGTGTAACGGAAGAATGAGAGGCAAAATAAGGAGAGACAAAATAAGGAGTGACAAAATAAGGAGAGACAAAATAAGGAGAGACAAAATAAGGAGAGACAAAATAAGGAGAGACAAAATAAGGAGAGACAAAAGAGTTATAAGCAAAAGGGTGATAAGCTGAGAAAGGAAAAGCACGAGAGGAAATACAATGTGACATCGAACAGGTTGCAAAGCTTGTCTCGATGAGTAAGGTGGAGAAATATATATTTTTTTTTTTTTTTTTTTTTTTTTTTCCTTTTACATTTCTTCATAAATTTTACCCCTTAATGTTTTTTCATTTTTCATATTCTCATGCGCACCTGACCCCCTTCGCATACTATATAAGGTCCCTTGGGAAGTAGACGGAGGAGGGTTGATAGGAGTTATTCGTTTGGAAAATCAAATGCGCAATCCACCAGTAATAAAACTAAAGGGACACACATCTGCTATTCTAGACTTACAGTTCAATCCATGCTTCAGTGAAATTTTGGCATCTGGATCAGAAGATTTATCTATACGTATTTGGGAAGTACGTCATAATGATGAGACAGTAAAAGAAATAAAGGATCCACAATGTATTCTAAAAGGACACAAGAAGAAAATATCAATTGTAGATTGGAACCCATTGAATTATCATATATTAGGTTCAAGTGGATTCGATGGAATTGTAAATATCTGGGATATAGAAAATGAAAAAAGAGCTTTCCAGATAAATATACCCCAAAAATTATCATCTTTAAAATGGAATTTAAAAGGAAATTTATTAAGTGGTACATGCATTGGAAAATATATGCATATAATTGATCCAAGAAATAGAGAAATTTCCTCAAGTTTCCATACTCATGGTGGTGGGAAGAATGCAAAAAATATATGGATAGATGGATTAGGTGGAGATGATAATTATATATTAAGTACAGGATTTTCAAAAAATCATATGAGAGAAATAAAATTATGGGATATAAAAAATACATCATCTGCTCTTGTAACAATGTCAATAGATAATGCGTCAGCTCCATTGATTCCACATTATGATGAAAGTACTGGACTTATATATATAATTGGAAAAGGGGATGGTAACTGTCGATATTATCAACATTCAATTGGTAGCATAAGAAAAGTAAATGAATATAAATCTTGTTCTCCATTTAGATCTTTTGGTTTTATGCCCAAACAAGCTTGTGATGTATATAAATGTGAAATTGGTAGAGTTTACAAAAATGAAAATAATAATAGCATAAGACCAATATCTTTTTATGTACCTAGAAAAAACCGTACAAAATTTCAAGAAGATTTATATCCTCCTATATTGATGCATGACCCATACAGTACATCTAAAAATTGGATTAACGGAAAAGACAATGAAATTAATCGAATAAATATAAAAGATTTAACTTATGATGATCTTAGAATTACGAAGAAATATAAACATATTAATCAATCCTGTGACAGTATTATTATAGGAGAAGATTATGTATCTAAGAGGACTACCATTATCAGGCAATTTACAAAGAAATTTACATTTTTTAAGAAAAAGACGAAAAATCCAGTTAATATTTCTTCAGAGGATAGTTTGAGCGAAACGATTCCTATTCTACCCAAACGATTTAAAGAAAAGGGATTCTTAAATGAGCGTGGCGGTGTGCAATTCTCATCTAACAATTACCAAGATGGGGAAGGGGTCCACGCTGAGAAGGAAATTGCTGAACTGAGTGAGGAGGAAATTGCTGAACTGGGTGAGGAGGAAATTGCTGAACTGGGTGAGGAGGAAATTGCTGAACTGGGTGAGGAGGAAATTGCTGAACTGGGTGAGGAGGAAATTGCTGAACTGAGTGAGGAGGAAATTGCTGAACTGAGTGAGGAGGAAATTGCTGAATGGGATGCGGTAAAACCAGACGAATTCGTTGGCAAAAGTGAACACAGTGAAAATTCGTACACACGTGGTCCTCATATTTCCGGACCGATATCAAGAGGAAAGACGAGTCGAGATAACAAGGCAAGTTGCTTTGATGCGTTGAGGTGCATTAATTTCTGTAAAAAAGGGAAATCGTGAAACTGGTTCATTGCGTTTGCTAAAAACGGGCTTGAGAACAGTTCAATTAGTGATTCATCGAAAAAGAAAAAGAAAAGAAAAAGATACAGTTTGTTGAGATATGTGCCACATAATTTTAGATGAATGCTGGTTACATGTCTAGGGGGAGCAAATTATTACAAGTGAGGAGATGTGCTGTCTGAGGGACAGGCTGGAGTGCATAGTACTCGATTTGTTCATTTTAAGATATGTCGCTACAATGATGCGATGTGTTTCTCCTTTTTTTTCTTCAAATGGATGTACATTTGTGGCAAATAGCAAGGGCGAATAATGACATGAATGCGTATTTATTTAGTTGCCTTTCACCCAATAGTATGTGTGCATGTAAATCATGCACACAGGAGAGCGAGAAAAAAACATTTATAGTACTCTCTTGAACTTTGCATATCGTTCGTCTTTCCACGTTGTGGTATTTTCTCTCCATCTTCTTTATCCATATTGAACACGTGTAGCTTTGCAGTTTTTTTTTGAGAATATATATTTAAAGAATTTTTTTTTTTCTTTTTTTCCGTTTTACGGATTTAAATGGTTGAAGCGTTAATGTAGAGGTAAGACATGTGAAAACAAATCCGCGAAGGGTTAAGCAGCGAAAAGTAGGGCAGTAAAAAGACGCAGTGAAAAGACGTAGTAAGCAGATGTAGTAAAAAAATAACATAATAAGAAATGCAAAATGTAACAAAGTGTGCAAACAAAAGGCTTCATAAGGAGGTAAATTAAAAACAAAAAAGGAGGTAATGATAAGGTTGGTGGTGGCTACTAATAGAAGGGAAAAGTTGTCTTCATCCCTTTTTCACAGCAGCATACATGGGTATATGTGCAGGGATGATATGGGTACGCTTTGCACGTTTGGATCTCTAAGGCCACAAGAAGGTAAATTCTTCTTCCTTGATTGTATCCAACTTTAATATCTCTTTAAGAATGTCAGTGTGTATGTCCTAAACCGAGAAAACAGCAGCAACAAAAAAAAAAAAAAAAAAATAAATAATAAAAAATAGAATGAATGAATGAATAAAACAAAATAATATGTTTATTGGCCAGTTCTTGGATTTTTTAAAATAAACTTTAGGGTGCAGAACATGGTGAAGAGGAAACTCTTAATTTTGTGCCCTGCATACAGTGCGTGACTCATTTTGGTGTAACACTTTTTTTTTTTTTTTTCCCTTTTTTTTCCTCCTTTCTTTACGTCTATTTTTTTGGTTCCATCAAGATTAATCCAATAATGTTCTTGATAAAAATTTTTGTAAGTTTCATAAATTCTCTTTTGTACTTCGATCTTTTCATATATTTCTTCACCTTGGTTAAAAGTTGCATGAAAGGATGAAATGAATTTAAAATAAATTATATGAATGTAAAAATAGGTATACAGTTCAGTTTTATATGTCGTATTTCATTTGGGGGATACATCTTATCCCATCGACGTTTGTTTGTGGAGAGATATAGTCTGACATGTTTATCAACCCTATGAATACACATGTAAACAAAATAGTTTTCACTTTTCACTTATGATAATATATATATATGTATATGTATATATGTGGTGATACCATATTCTGATCTGTTTTTTGCGTAATTTGGAGGCACGTTCAGGTAAAAAACGATGTCCGGTTTTATTAGACCTTGATCTGGATTCATGCACCACGTTTTGGATAATTTCTGTAAAATATGGGGTTGCATAAATATATTTTTCGACATGTGGATTTCAAAAAGAAAAAAATAAAAAGAAAGAACAAACGGACGAATATGAAGCTACAGAATATCACTGCACGCATTAACGAATGTTTACACATTTGCATGAGAAGTTTTTTTGTGGAATCAAACCAGGGCTCCAGCAGAATAAGCCACACCAGAATAGGCATATCTATCGCAAACGACCCACACGTCATT